CCTGGGATACGGTATCAAGTCCTGTGTCAGGCTTCTTATGGGGAGCCTGCTTCTCCCTCTGCCTATATCTCTGCGTCTCTCTTTCTGTCTTTCATGAATAAATAAATAAAATCTTTAAAAAAAAAAACTCACAAATTATACTAAAGCAAAGGTGATACTCAAACTCATCACTTTCCAATTATTTCACTGCGTTTTCCTATTATCTCTTGAGGTTATTTGCATCGATAGGGTCTGTATAGTGGAAAGGCTATGTAACAGTAAGCTATGGCATGTCTCTTCCTAATTCCTGGGTTCCATCATGTCGTATTTGAAATTGGGCATGGTGGGAGTAGACAACAGAAACAGGTGAACACTGTAAATCAGGGCTGTTTTTTTTTTTTTTTCTTTTCCCCTGGGGAGCTTTTGTTAAAAATTTACCAGCATACTGCTGGTTTGGTGCAAAATCCTTCCAATGTTTTCCTTTGCTTATGTCTGTATTGCTATCTTTCCAACTATGAAGTGGATATTTGGAGAAGGGGTTTTTGGCCACCCAGTGTTCAAATCATCTTCCTGTTTCTGTATGTTTCCCTACTGTAGGTAATATTGGTTGGCTGAGGCTACATCCTCTTTATGACCTTCTAGGTCATTCATCCTGTCTACCACTTCTTCACAGCCCAGGGGTAAGCCAAGTCACTGCAATGCTCCCAACTGGACTTTGAATCTTAAACAAGTGAAAACAAGACCTAGGGAGAGTTCGTGATACAACCATTGCACCTGCAGTCCACGAGGGGCAGGTAGCTGTGCCAACAGGGAAATCCTCATCAGCAAGTTATTGTGGTGTGACTGGTGTAGCCCCTGTGTGACTGGTGTAGCCTTTGTGTAATGGCAGCCACATGTTCCTACTTCCTGGCCTTTCTTGGTTCCTACCCCTTATCAAAGCAAAGTACAAGATGAGCCCAAAACATTTTGAAGTGCTACGAAGTAAAAAAGTGCTCAAAGCATGGTGGAGACATGTGAACAGAAATCATCTTAAAGAAATGCTCACTGACCAAACCTGGGACATAGTTCAGCATCAACATAAATAATGATAATAATGGACTATAACCCATTGACTGAAATAGGAAACCATAATGATATCAATAAATACATCTGTAAAGGAATGTAAGAAGGGAAACCTCCTTTCACAGTAGCATGCCATCTAATACATGTAGATAGAATAATGGAAGTAGAAGGATTACATTTGGCAATTATTACAGCACTGTTGATTCATACAGTATTCATCAATGGATACTAAGCCAGGTGGGTGGAAGTTTGATGGGGAGAGAATATCAGAGTAGTTTCAGAGTATTTCCCCAGAAAATAGCTAATTAATTACAAAAGTGAAAATGGTGACTTTAGAGTGGAGAAACCTGGCAGACACCACCCTGACCAGGTGATAAACATTAGCATCATCAGTGGTGAGACAGGCTGACACCATGTGCCTCCTGGTGTGTGATACACCAAGGAGAACACAGCATCGTTGTTTTTTTTTTTTTTTTTTTTTTTTTTTTTTTTTTGTGTGTGTGTGTGTGTAGTATTCCTGCCAACAATTATGAGTCAAGACGTGAGGAAACATCAGATGGATCCAGGTTGAGGGACATCCTAAGGATTGAAGACCTATACTTTTTTTTTTTTTTAAGATTTTATTTTTAAGTAATCTCTACACCCAACATAGAGCTCGTACTTCCAATCCTGAGATCAAGAGTAGCATGCTCCACCGACTGAGCCAGCCAGGTGCCCCCAAGACCTGTAATTCTTAAAACTGTCATTGTCATGACAGCTAGGGAAAGGGTGAGTAAATGTTCCATATTAAAGCACATCAAAGAGACATACCATGAAAAAAAAAGAGAGAGAGAGAGAGAGAGAGAGAGACATACCATGGAAATGAACTGCATGATTCTGGATCTGGATCCTGGACTAGAAAGGAAAAGGAGACATTAGGCTGCTGGAGAGACCTGTAGGGGGCCTGGGAATTGGATGGTCATGCTCTGTCAATGTTAATTTCCAGATTGGGAGGGTTGCACAAAGGTTATAGAAGAAAGTATTTGTTTTGAGGAAATACATAGTGATATATTTAGGGGTAAAGTGACTTCATGTCTGCAACTGTTTCTCGGATTGATCCAAAAAAGAATAAGGATAATGAGGGGGAGGGGTAATAGGAACCGTTAACAATTGGAGAATCTGATTTTAGGAAGTAAGAAACTTTGTATTCTTCCTGGAACTTTTCTGTATGTTTGCAATTATTTTGAAATACATTATATTTAAAAAATAAGGCTAAGAACTCTTTCAGAAGAGTAAAGCTTTTCCTTTTAGCCTACAAACATGCTCAAATCTCTTCTACTCTAAACAAAGCAAAACCAAACCAAAACAAAATAATGCAGCCAGGGGCTACTGGCTGTCGCCACTTCCTCCCTGCTGGGCATCAGGATGTTGAGGAAACACCTCTGGGGCTGGTGTTGGGAAGCCTCTGTTGGAGGCTGGCTCTACCACTCCCTAACAATGTGACTTTGGCCAAATCATTTAACTGCTCTGAGCCTCAGTTTCTTTATTAGGGAATAGTATCTCTCTTATGGAGCTGCCATGGGGATCAAGGGACAGAGGGCAATGCAAACAGGTTACAGACTATAATGTGTTTGACAAACACTAACTGCAGGTGATCTCTCACTTGAACTCCTGATGATACAACACTATTGCCTTCACACCCTACTAGAAAGCATCCTCTCCTAGAAGTTCAGCCAGTCCTCTGCAGGACAATACACAACTGATGTAGCCTTGGTCTACTGATACTGTCTGCCCTGGGGTGCCTTTCTTACCTCTCCTGACTTCTATTGTCAACTCTGCCTGGCTGCTCTGCCTACCTGTCCAGGACAGGTGCTCACTCAAGTCTGTTCCTGATCCTTTCCTCTTCATCTGTTTGTTCATTCTGGAATGTCTCATCTCTCCCCAATACCTTTGGGGGTACCTCTGTTACTATGCTGTTATATTCCCACTCACACCTTTTGCACTGGCTTCTCCTGGCAGTATTCCATCTCTATCTGGGCAATACCTCAGGCACTTCAAATTCACCATGGGCAACACCGATTCTCTTACTTGCTTCTCTTCCTGAGTTCTCTTTCTTACCTTAAACACCATGCTCCCTCTAAATACTTGGGCTAGAAATGCAGAAGTCATTTATTATTGTTGTCATTTGCTTACTGAACATCCACTGTTTCTCAGATATTAGGTGCTTTGCATTCTTGATTTGCTTTTTTCCTTGAAAGAACCCTCTAAAGTAGATCCTCCTTCATTCCATCTTATAAGGCTGAAATCTAGGGTTCAGAGAGCTTAAATAACTTTTGAGTTCAAGATAATACAGCTAATAGTGGAACTGGGTTTATTATAATAGGCTTGTCTGATTCCAAAGTCCATTCTGTTAATCTTAATCATTATACAACATTGACTTCTTCCTGAATTCCCATATATAATTTCATTGGTTCCTTTTAATTTTGTCACTGAAATGTCTCTTGAATCAGTTCTTTGTTCACTGATGCTACCTTACTTAGACATACATCTTGTACATATTTAAATATGTATTTAGGTGGTATATTTTTCTAATTATAAATGTGATATATACTGACTGCATTAAGAATATGCATTATATTCTATAATATAATGTATTAAGAAAATGCATTATAGACCTAGACAATGGAAGTTCTCCAACCCCAACTTCTTCATTTTCTTAAAGTAGGATCCACACCCAACATGGGGTTCAAACTCAGGACCCCAAGATCAAGTGACATGCTCCAAAGACTGATCCAGCCAAGGACCCCTCCCCAACCCCAGCTCTAAAGATAACCACATTAAGGTGTAGTATATATTCCTCAATTTTTTCCTGTGTATATAGAAGCATATCACATTTTTAAAATGGGATCACATCATATTGAAACTCACCTTTCCTCTCTCTCTCTCTCTCTCTCTCATGCGTGCTTTCTCTCTCTCTCTCAAAAAAAAATTAAGAATAAGATTATTTTAAAAGGCAGGAAGAAGGGGCACCTGGGTGGCTCAGTCGGTTGAGTGTTGCCTCCTTCCGCTCAGGTCATGATCCCAGGGTCTTGGTATAGAGCCTGCGTCAGGCTCCCTGCTTAGCAGAGAGCCTGCTTCTTCTCCCTCTGCCACTGCACCTGCTTGTGCTCTCTCTCTCTCTCTCTCTCTCTCTGTGTCAAATAAATAAATATTTTTTTAAAATCTCTGTCTCTCTGTTTCTCATGAATAAGTAAATAAAATCTTAAAAAAGAAAAAGAAAGTCTCCCTTCACCTTTGTTCCCCAGTCACCCATCAGAATTGATGTCACTAGTTCGGGTAGCATTCCTTTGAAGAGCAGCATAGCTGCAGTTGTATGGATATACCAAATCCACGCACCAAATTATTTTGGTATTTCATTAGAAGGACACTTAGATTGTTTCTGATGCTAACTTTTGTTACCAATAGAGAGTTCCAGATTGTATAAATTCACCATAATTCATTTATCCATTTCTCTACTGATGAGAAATTAGGCTTAAATATCGTTTGCTTTGCTCCTAGGGCACTTGCACTATGAAGCCCTACTGCCATTTTGCTCGCAGTGTAGTTTCTCCGGTACTCCTCCAGGGCACTGTGAGCTCCTCAAAAGCAGGGGAAAGTGTTCATATTCATCTTTGTAGCCTCGTTGCTTAAACCCTGAATTTGGCCCGGAGTATGTGCTCACCACGTTTGAGAGCAATCATAACTGAATCGCCCGCGTTGGGTTCTGGAATCGAGCGTGCAGAGGTGGAGCGAGCGGAAAGCCTAGCGCCCCTTTGAGCAGTCCCGGCCTCAGAGGGCCCGGAACCTTTATCAGAACCCTCATTGTTTCTCAGGGAGGATTTTTAGCCACAGCGCGTGCCCCGCACAAGCATGGTTGCGATGCACCGGAAGTAGCCTGTTGTTTGGCTGGAGTCGGTTCTTCCGCGGGGCGGAAAAGGCATGTCAGCATGTGTCCCTACCATTTCCAGTCCCCTTTTCCTTGCAAGACCCTATGAGTAAGCTGTGGCGGCGCGGGAGCACCTCCGGGGCTATGGAAGCCCCTGAACCGGGTAAGCGCGGGTGGATAAAGCAAGGTGGACGTTCGTAGAAAAGGAGCCCCCGTTTTTTTTTTGCTCTTCCGAGCCTCCTGGGTATTTCGCCACAGGTGGGAAGGAGAAAGGCGGGGTGTTGTTATGGTAACTGCGTGTACCGCTGGACAAGTGAGGCCCCTGGGGGGATGGGGTTCTTCAGGGCTCTCGCTGCCCCGCTCTTGTCGTACACCGTTGACAGGCTCTCCTTACGCAGGGGAAGCGCTGGAATTGAGTCTGGCGGGTGCCCACAGCCATGGAGTGCACAAGAAAAAGCACAAGAAGCACAAGAAAAAACACAAGAAGAAACACCACCAGGAAGAAGAGGCTGGGCCGACGCAGCCGTCACCTGCCAAGCCCCAGCTTAAACTCAAAATTAAACTGGGTGGGCAGATCCTGGGCACCAAGAGGTGAGGCCAAGAAAGCCAAAGTTTTACTTGGGGAACTTTAGGAGCAGGCAGAGGTAGTAGGAGGAACTGGCTGGGCTTTCCGGTAGACAGAGTATGGGTACTGACTTCAGGGCAGACCCAAGAGGGTATAGGGGAATGCTAGTTGTAGCTGCCAAGCAGGAGGACAGAACTGTTCAACTTACACAGCTTTGCTTCTCTGCAGTGTTCCTACTTTCACTGTGATCCCTGAGGGTCCTCGTTCACCCTCTCCCCTTATGGTTGTGGACAATGAAGAGGAACCTATGGAAGGAGTCCCCCTTGAGCAGTACCGTGCCTGGCTGGGTGAGAAGGATCTGGAGGTGGGGAAACTGGGTTTCTCATTATACCTGGTTAAAGGAAGAGGGTTGGTTCTGAGGAGCGTGAGACTTTTGAGTGTCTCAGTATTAACTTGGCCAAATTAGGGTTCTCCACTTGAACAATTTTACTTTTAGCTCTCTAACTTTACTTTCCAGATGAAGACAGTAATCTGTCCCCCTCCCCACTTCGGGACTTGTCAGGGGGCTTAGGGGGTCAAGAGGAAGAGGAGGAACAGAGGTGGCTGGATGCCTTGGAGAAGGGGGAGCTAGATGACAATGGAGATCTCAAGAAGGAAATCAATGAACGGTTGCTCACTGCTCGACAGGTAAGTCAGTTCATTCTTTGTTCACTAGTTGAATATATATTGAGAACCTCCTATGTCCCAAGAATGTTGCTGGGCAATGGGGATATCATTGGTGAAAAAAAGAGGTTTCTGTTCTCATGGAGCTGCTGTTCTTGTGTGTGTGTGTGTTGGAGGGAGAGGGGTAAGTAAATAATTTTGAAAAGCACAGTTTATAACAGAAATAGGGTAATGAAATAGAAAGTGGTGGTAAGAGACAACATTAGGTAGGGAAGTCAGGGAAGACCTCTCTGATGAGATTACATTGACAATACTGGAGCTTTTCAGGCAGAGACCAGCAGCTGTAAAGACCTTGAGAGTGAAACATGGCCAGTAGTGGTCAAGGAGAAAAGTGTGACTAAAGCATGAAAGGGGTATATGCAGGAAATGATAGATTTGATTCATATTTCAGTAGATTACTTTGGCTTCTCAGTGGAGATAAGGAGTAGAAAAGCAAGACCTGCCAGGAAGCTGTTGAAGGGGTCAGGTGAGATGGTCATGGATCAAACCAAGGTGAAGTTGTGGAAATGGAGGAAATCGGATGGATTCTCGATATATTTTGGACATAGATACTTGTTGGGAGTCAGGGAGCAGGGAGAAAAGAAGAATCAAGGGTAACCCTGAGTTTGGGGCTTGACCAGTTATCTAATTGATGCTATTCACTGAGATGAAAAGATTTAAAACAAAACAAAACAAAACAGCAAAAAAACCTCTGGAGAGTTGGTAAACAGAGTTTTGGTACTCAGGGCAGGTAGGAAACGTTAATGCTTTTCTTCTTTAGAGTCAGGGACCTAAAGATGACAGTCTGGAGATCTGGGAGGAGGCAGCAGTAAGGCACCTGGAGAGGGGTGCTAATTCCACCCCTTCTCTCAAGGCCAGCGCTCCACAACACCTTGCTTCCCAGACCCCCACTTCCCTTCCCCCGCTTGGGCCGACCTCGCCTCCCTGACACCACTCGGTCTGTCTCTCCCCAGCGAGCTCTACTCCAGAAGGCGCGGAGTCAGCCTTCCCCGATGTTGCCGCTACCTGTGGCTGGGGGCTGCCCGGCCCCGGCCCTCACCGAGGAGATGCTGCTGAAGCGGGAGGAGAGGGCGCGAAAGAGACGGCTGCAGGCGGCTCGGCGGGCGGAGGAGCACAAGAACCAGACTATCGAGCGCCTCACCAAGACCGCGGCGCCCAGCGGGCGGGGAGGCCGAGGGGCAGCGCGGGGCGAGCGACGGGGAGGGCGGACGGCGGCCCCGGCCCCGATGGTGCGCTACAGCAGCGGGGCCCAGGGTTCCACCCTTTCCTTCCCACCAGGCATCCCCGCCCCCGCGCCAGTGTGTCAGCGGCCGTCCCCATCTGGCCCTCCCCCTCGGTGCTCCGTCCCCGGCTGCCCGCACCCACGCCGCTACGCCTGCTCGCGCACCGGCCAGGCGCTCTGCAGCCTTCAGTGCTACCGCATCAACCTGCAGATGCGGCTTGGAGGGCCCGAGGGCCCCGGGTCCCCCCTTTTGGCTACTTAAGGTCCTTACCCAACCCGGACTCTGCGCCCTCTCCCCTGCCGGGTTTCCATTCGTTTCCCCACCCTATTAAATTTAATCCGGTGCCTCGACTTGTACAGAGCTGGGGAAATGGGCTATGGGCAGGCCAATGCCCCGTACACACATTTTGCCCCCTCGGGAGATTGCGTCAACCCCGGGGAATATGGCCTCCAGGCACCGAGAAGACTTGGGCGGACTTTTAGGGACGCCGCCTCGCCTCGCCCCGCCCCGCCCCGCCCCGCCTCGCCTCGCCTCGCCTCGCCTCTTCCAGTGGGGTCACCTGGCTTGGTTGGGCCTCCGTCGTCATCCTCGGAAATAACGCTCAAGCCAATCAGTGGAAAATTTGCTTTCCTGGACGGCCGTTCATTGGCTGATAACGCGGAGCCCGTTCTGTTGTCCGTATTGGCTGTTGTCCCTGTCAGTCAGGGGCAGGGTCGAACCTTGCCCCACTCTTTGTCTGTGTGAGCTCTTGTTGTCTGGGCGAGTGGCGGAGGCGCGGCTGTGGATTGGTCGCCGGGAGAGCACTCCGGTCCGTTCCTATTGGCCCGTCCGCCGGCGGGCGTTGCCGATTGGTAGGGCCGAGCAATCTGGGTCCTAGTTGGCAGAGCTCGCCGCGGATGGAAGCTCCAGCCGCGGAGTGATGGTGGCGGCAGCGAAGATGGGCCGGGCAGGGGCCATGGCGGTGGCGGCAGAGGTGGCAGGGGCGGGGCGCCTGGCGATAGAGGAGGCTGTGGTCTACAAGGGGCTGTAGGTGGAGGCATGGCTCAGGCCAGCAGCGGGAACGGCAGCGAGGAGGCCTGGGGGGCACTTCGCGTGCCGCAACAGCAGGTATCCCAACTGCTCCAAAAGCCTATCACGACAGCCATTTATTTCTCTATCCCCTCTCCTTGTCCCTACCTTTTGGGGGGTTGGGGAGGAACTCACGTAGCCAAAGATACTGTGAAGTTCCTAAATATGTCCCTTCTACTCTTTGTCTAAACTTTGTAACGTAGATGCAGTTGACTTTGCCTGCAACTCCTTAGACTCCCATCCCATGGCTGCAGTGGAAGCTTGCAGTGGCTCTCCAGTGACCAAAGACATAGTGAGGCCCAGGGAAGCTCCCTCTGTCTTACAACAGTTATTTGTGATGTTTTTCTGTGTGCCTATTGTCACAACAGAGTCCGGCAGCGTCTTCTCTTGAGGGAGCAATTTGGAGAAGAGCTGGAACCCAGACTCGCGCCCTGGATGCCATCCTTTATCATCCACAGCAATCCCATCTGGTTGGGAGCACTGCTCTGGGACTCATATGGCCCTTCCTCTACCCTAGGAAGCCTGAGACCCTCGGGTGGAAAGATCTGGCTTGGGGGTGGGGAGGTATTGGGTGGGGGGCGGGTAATGAAAGCATTTTAGCATTGGTAATTACCTTAAACCCTTTACCCATTGTTTAAGACTTTGAGATAGCTCAGATTGCCCTCTGGCTTCTGCCCAAACACTCCCTTAACAGAAAACACCCTGGGGAACCAGCCTGAGTGTGAGAGAAGTCTCCATATGCAGAACTGAAATCTGTCTCTTTGTATGTCCACACCTTCCATCTTGTTCTCTAGACAGATTCTTAATGTTCCAAATCCTCTTCCACATCAACAGCCCTTCAGATGTTCCAACACTCCTCTCACCATCACTCTTTCCCTCCCCACAAATCTCTCTGAGCTCAACTTGGCTCAGCGAGTGGGACTGTGCCCTTGCATGCAGTGGGGTGGGGGTGGACAATGCCTGGGGCTGGAGTTGGAATCTCCCTTGGTTCTAAGTGCCTCCTTGCTCCCAGCTTCGAGAGCTGTGCCCAGGAGTGAACAACCAGCCCTACCTCTGTGAGAGTGGTCACTGCTGCGGGGAGACGGGCTGCTGCACCTACTACTATGAGCTCTGGTGTGAGTCTCCAAGGGGGCTGTTCTTGGGTCCTTCTGCCCACCCTCCCTTGGGCCTCAAAATTCCTGCCTTCATGGACCTTTCTGTGCCTGGGAGGTAGCTAAGACCCTCCCTCCTCACCCCTTGCAGGGTTCTGGCTGCTCTGGACTGTCCTCATCCTCTTTAGCTGCTGTTGCGCCTTCCGTCATCGACGAGCTAAGCTCCGGCTGCAGCAACAGCAGCGGCAGCGTGAGATCAACTTGTTAGCCTACCATGGGGCATGCCATGGAGTTGGCCCTGTCCCCACCGGTTCGCTGCTTGACCTTCGTGAGTGGCTGGAGGCTCTGGGCACACTGCCAGCAGCCTCTCCCAACCCAGAACCTGGAATCATCCACACATTCCCTTTTCAGAAATTTCAAAGCAAACTTTTCCTAATACTAGAGATACCACTACCCCACCTCTGGGTGCCCCACCAACCATGCCATTCTTTCCCGCAGGCCTCCTCAGCACCTTCAAACCCCCAGCCTATGAGGATGTGGTTCACCGGCCGGGCACACCACCACCTCCTTACACTGCAGCCTCAGGCTGCCCCTTGACTGCTTCCAGTGAACGCACCTGCCGCTCCTCTGCTTCTAGCTGCCCTGCCCCCTGCGAGGGAACAAATGTGGAAGGTGGTTCCTCCCACCAGAGTGCACCCCCTCATCAGGAGGGTGAGCCAGGGGCTGGGATGAGCCCTACCCCCACACCCCCTTCCTGCCGCTATCGCCGCCTGACTGGTGACTCAGGTATTGAGCTCTGCCCTTGTCCTGACTCTAGCGAGGGCAAGCCAGTCAAGGAGGCTAGGGCTGGTGCCACCCCACCAGATCTGGAGGACCCTTGTGTGCTGCCCCTCAATCCTGTACCCCAGGCCTCCCCTGTGGAGCTAGCTTCCAGTGAAGGGGACATCCCATAAACAGTTTTGGGAGGGTGGGTGGATTACTTGCCCACCAGAAACTGCCCTGGGCCCAAGTTCTCTTTGGCCTCTCCCTGCCACTTCTAATCTGCCTGAAAGGGGTGGAGTCTTGAAAAGAATGGCAGTGTTTGGGGGACTGTGCTAGCTCTACCCCCAAAAAACACACAGGAGCCTTTGATCTCATTAAAGAGATGTGAACCAGCTGCTTGTGAATTTGGGTGGACTGGTGCTCAATGGACTAGTGCTCAGCTTGCTGCATTGCTCAACTTGACCTAACTGGATTTGGAGGGGACATGTAATGCCACTTTTCCCACCCTCCTCTGAAAAACAGGAGGCAGCCCTAAGGTCTGGACTAAGCTGGAACTTCTTGGTGAGGCAGAGCTGGCAAAAGAATAGAGTCTGGCATGGTTTTCCAATTTATTTAGAAAAAATAGACTCTGAATTTACATTCACCCCCGGGCTATGTGGGATGACAGGAAGGAGACACCTGAGATGAGCTGAGAAGGATTTGAAGCACTAGTATCTGAGGGCTGGGGGGGTAGAAGCTAGAGACCTTGTTCCTCTAATCCAGACTGGGGGCCTGGCACCCCTCTCATCCTCCCTCTTTAGTAGTCTTCAGCCATGGCCAGTAGGACAAGGCTGGTCCAGCCTTGGAAAGGGCGGCACCCCATTCCCCGCCCATCCCGGTCACTATACTGTTCCCAAAGGAAACCTGTGGCCTGATACTGCCGCCAGACATTGCCCACCACATTGGTACGAAGCTCACGGTGGAGCTTGGCAGCCTGGGCCTGGTGGGGACCCTCCAGATGACCATAGTGGTAGAGGGCCCCTAAGGCCAAGTAGTTGATATTGAGCCACACAGCACCCCGCCAGTAGGGAGGATCATGCTCTGAATTGCGCTGGCCATAAAAGGGGCTGGAGGCTGCAAGGGAGCGCAAGCCAAACGGGCTCCAGAGATGGTGGCTGTCAGCTAGAACATCCAGCAGAGGCCCAAGGCGGGGGGAATTAGGGTCCAGCAGCCTCAGGAGCAGGGGAAAAAGACTGACATAGCCCAAGGCATCCACATACTGTAAGCGAGGGTGGGGCCGGCCCACTACCCGCACCAACCCCTGAGGGGGCCGAGGCTTCAGCTGCACCGCTTTTGTGTGGTTCCCAAAGTCTGCAAAGACTCCTAGCTCTGGGGCCCAGTGCAGCTCATCCAGGTTCTCTTCTGCCTCCAGTGATGCAGCCAGTGGACCCAGCTCCGCAGCTGCCTCAGCCTCTCCTAGCTGCTCTGCCAGCCGCAGCAGCACACGGGCACCCAGTGCCATCCAGCATCGCAGGTCCAAGTGCCGCTCACTGACTGAAGGGTGTGAAGCCCGGGGATAGTCATCCAGCCCCGAAGGCAGCGTCTTAGGGTTCAATAAGGTTGGCAAGACTGGGTCCCGGCCCCGCCAGCGGTAAGATAGTGGCACTGGGCCTGCCTGGCTCTTATGGAGCCAGGAGAACCAGGCACACAGACGGGGGAAGGCCCTGCGGAGGAAGGCAAAGTCTGCAGGGTCACCAACCTCTAGCATGTGGGCTACAGGCAAAAGCAGGGTTGGGGGGTTGGCGTGGGCTGCCTTCTGCACCAGGAATTCTGGGGGCACCCGGGCTCGAGCCTCATCCCCTAGCACCTGCTCCCGTCCAATCCAGCCATCAGCATTGAGCAACCCCAGCCAGTGGCCTAGGACCTCCCGGGTAAGGCGGGGATCCCACCTCTGGACCACCAACTGGTGAAAGCCCTCATCCCAAAGGAAGCCTCGTGGGAAGAATGACCGGGAGGGCACTGCTGTGAAAAGAGGGACAGGTGGAAAGAGAGCTGGGTCCACCTTCTGCTCAGACCCCTCAACCCCCATGTCTGCCAACACCAGACCTTGTCCGTAAAAGTAGCCAATCCCACCAAGGAGGCCACTGAGGGCAACCTGACCCAAAGCCTGCTCCTCAAGGCTCAGGCCCTTCTCCTTCAGTTGAAAAGTCTTCTCAAAGTGTTCTCTAAAGGCTTCAGCATGGCTCTCCAGGGCTTGGGTCAGTAGGCTGCCTGCCAGCTGCTCCAGGGCTTGGCTTCTGCCTGCCCGGGCACTGCCTGATTCAAACACCAACTCCACAGAAAAGGGGGTTTTCAGTGTCACCTGTTGTATCAAGAATTGCCCTTGTCCCTGTCCTTGCCCACTTGGGCCTTTGTCCTCCCATTTCAGAGATCCTGGCAAGCCGAGGTATCGTTCAGGGGAAGCCCCTGGGGGCCGGTGCTGAAACCAGCTATTTAGGCGACTCTTCACCATCTCTGTCAGCAAGGGAAGTCCTGGGTTGGAGGACCAGAAGACATTGTAGCTTGAAGGGAAGAAGATAAATAGGAAACATTACTCAGGAGAGGATGGTGAGCATTATAAAGAGAAGTAAGAGGAGACCAGGAGTCGGGATGGAAGGGTTTGACAATGTAGGGGACATGGAGCCTAGTGAGAAGGGAAATAACTGGTAGAAAGAGGGTAGAGTGGGGGAGATAGAAATCAGGCTACATCAGCATCCATACTACCCCAACCATCACCCCACACTCTCTTCCCCCAGTTACCTGCTATACTTGGGGGCAAGATCCCCTGGATTGGTTGGCGCCATAAGTGTAAAGCGGAAGTCACCAAGTTCACTGGAGTGCCCACTGATGAATTTCAACTGCCCTTTGGCCCCAACCTCTGGCACTAGGACCTCCTTGCCATCTGTCACCACATAGAAGAACAGGGACACCAAAGGGAGGGCAGAGGTACCTGAGGCCTGGGTGACCAAGGAGGACAGAAAAACACAGCATTAGATTAGCAGTCTCTCCTGAAAATTCAGCCTTACTGAAAGGGGCACCATGCAGGAGCAACATGGTAAACATACATCTATAGTGTTGAGGGTCAGTGAGATGAGGTACAGAGCTTTGCATGTAGGGTTCTCTGGGAATTAACAGAGTGCTTTTGTGTCATGTACTATCCTAAGAACTCTACACATCATTTTCTTTCATTCTTACAATCCTATGACTTAAGTGCTATTTGTATCTCCATCTTGCAGACTAGGAAACCATGGCTTATGATAATAAACAGAGATGGTCATATACACGAGTGTTTAAGGCAGGCAGCCAGATTCAGACCAGGCAGCCAGACTCAGCCCCTGCCATTAACTGCCTCATCATACTGCGGTTTGCTAGCAGCAAAGAAAGGGTGGAGGGAGTCTGGGCTAGGGGGGGAAGGGTGTCCTGAGGCCCTGACCTGAGGCTCTACAGTCACTCTCCAGCTCCAGTCCCCTCCGTGCTGACCCCCAGGCCTCTTGACGAACTCAGTGGTGAGCCTTAAGGCCCCATCCTGGATGTGTTGCCGCCCGAAGGAGAGACCGTCGTGGAACTCCCAGCCATAGGGACCCACGCCGTCCCCCTGCTCACACGTGTGCCTGAGCTTAGGGGTCCCTGGGGTGGCGCCTTGCTGTGCCCACATCAGTCCTGGGGGTAGAACGGCCACGTAAGTCAATGAGAGGGCAGGGGATCTGTCCCTCTGGGTCTCCGAGAACTTCAGGGTCAACCCTCCTCATAACTCTCCTGAACCACGCCCCTCCCCACTCTTGCTCTGGCGTGAAGCTGGGGCGCCCAGATTAAGAGTTCGCCTGCCTGCCCTCCCTCCCCGAGGCCCAGTTACCGGTGAGAAGGGGCTTCGGGCTGCGGGTCTTCATGCCGAAGTAGACGTGAGGGCGGTAGGTGCCCCAGAAGAGGTCCGGGGCCACCGCGGGGCTTGAAGAGTCGGGAGGCAGTGATGGGGGCGCAGAGTGCAGTGTGACCGCCCGCCGTGCACGGTGCCACTCCAGCAGCCAGCATCCTGACAAGCCCAGGGCCAGAGACAGGACCACGACGCCCAAAGCCGCTCTCCAGGCAAAGCCACGGGCCTCACCGCCCCGTCGTGCCGGGCCGCCCCGAGCCGCCCTTTCAGCTGTCCGCGCTCCGTCTACAGGAGCTCCGCGGCGCCGCCGCTCGCCCCGAGCCATCCTAGCACCGAGGTATGTGTTGCAGGGTCCTGCCTGGCCTCACCCGCCGGCCGGTGCCTCCCGCTCCGCTTCCGCCTCCTGTCGGAAGTCCCGCCCCGCCACGTCAGATTATGTCTCCGAGTACGGAACCGCCGCCACCTGCGTGGCAAAAGGCTGTCTCCTGGGTTAACGTTTCTTTGGCACCCTCGCGGATTTCTCAGGCTAGTAAAGTAATCTCACATTGGCTTGTTCTGTTTTTCAAATGACTATGTATTAAGAACGTGACACGCCATCCCGAGTATTTTACAGTCAATCGCCCCAATCAAGTAGTTGAAAACTGGCCTAGAAAATTCAACTTGGCCCAGGCCAGAGCCAGAAAATGGCTAGCTTGGAGCCCAAGTGTATCTGGATCATTTTGCCCACGCCCATGCCTTCTTTCCTAGTTAAGTGGAGTGTGCCAGAGTGGACCCAAGAGGAAGCCTGAGATCTGTTCCAAGTGTCTTTAAGCAACCCTCTGACTTTAGACAAGTCAGATCTCAGCCTAGGATTCCTTATCTAGATGAACCCTAAAAGGCCATAAGGTGGTGCACGCATTTTAAGAATGCATTTTCTCTCCTTTTCTACAACCCAAGCAAAGAAGCTTAGGGGAAGGATCAATTATATCCAGGTCAGGGAAAGCTGTGGGAAGGAGGCAACATCTGGACCTCAGGTGGATCTAGAAGAATTTACATTACACTTGATGGTGGCTCAGAAAAACATCTTAGATTCAGTTAATTATTTCTCACCAACAGCTTGGCACAAAAGTTATTTTTATAAAGTACAAGTCCCTATCCTCCTTTAAAAAACCCTACTCAACACTATTATGCTACTCTAGCTATTACCACACTTCCCGTCCAAACTCATTATATAAAGCCAATACTGCATGTTGCCTGTCCACTTTCTATTTTGCTATAATCTGATATCTGGCCCCTCCTTCACTGGTAGACTTTTTGCTCTTTCACTAATCACCTGACCAATCCCAATGGTCAATCCTGTCTTTATCTTTCTGCTACCATTGCATCTAGTTCACATCTCTATTGTAGCACTTATACCTGGGTTTCATTATTCATCGTTGTATGCCAGGAGCAATCACAGTTACAGGTAAAAGGTAGGTAGTAAATATTTGTAAACTCAACAAATGTTTATTGCACGCTAGGTATCAGGCACTCTGCAAAGTGCTGAGGACACAGAGAAAATGGCCCCAAACTCAAGTTCACAGTGCCAGCATTCAGTCTACATTTACAGCAACGTTTGAACCATCAACATTTTTGCAGATAAAGAGAGTGGTAAAATCTGGCCACAAAAAATAGCCAGTTAACCATCGAGATGGTAAACTAAAATCCAGGTTGCAAGTATCCTTTCATCTATAGCATAAGGCCTCTTAGGTAACACTTATGCTCCTAGTAATGTCCTAGGCACCTTACAGATTCCAACTCATGTAATCCTCAGCAGTTTTAAGAGATAGGTACTATTATTCCCATTTTACTAATGAGGAAACAGGCACTGAGAGACTTAATTGTTCCACGGTCACAGAGCTACTTAGGGGCAAAGTTAGGATTTCAACCTCAGGAATTCTGGCTCTTGGCTCTTTACTATACCATACTGCCTCCTGGTAGGGTGTTTTTTGGTAGTTTCTTTTTTAAAGGGGGTGGGATGGGAATAAAACCACTCTTGAAGATAGCACCCTTTTTAAGCAGAGCAGCAATATAGTAATGCTGTAGCAAAATCATGAAAAATGTATCTGACAGAAGATACAGTAGCCAGTGTTGAGAGATCCTTGATTGCCTAGCTGAGCACTCTGAAGTTGTCTAAACCAGTAGACCTCCATCTTTTTTCTACAACCCTGTCTTGGTAAGAAATAATACTACACTGCAACCAAGTATACACAGATACACACATATATACATATTTTCTATTATATATATATTCATGATTATAAGCTGAAAACTTAAATTTCTTTTTTTTTTTTTTTTTTTTTTTTTTAATTTATGGTAGTCACACAGAGAGAGAGAGAGAGAGGCAGAGACACAGGCAGAGGGAGAAGCAGGCTCCATGCACCGGGAGCCTGACGTGGGATTCGATCCCGGGTCTCCAGGATCGCGCCCTGGGCCAAAGGCAGGCGCCAAACCGCTGCGCCACCCAGGGATCCCTGAAAACTTAAATTTCTAAAAAGAATACTTCTCATTCCCTGTGCCACGCACTCTGATACTTTTTATTCTATTTTACTTTGTTTTTTAAAGGCTGGTTTATCCCCCTAAATTAATTTGATGATCCATACCAATGGGTGGTAACCTGGTAAGAAAAACATATTAGGTATAGTGTGAAGCAAGTAGTAGTGTGACATAAATACAGTGATGTGCTTTAAAAGATAAAATTTAGGGATCCCTGGGTGGCGCAGCGGTTTGGCGCCTGCCTTTGGCCCGGGGCCTGATCCTGGAGACCCCGGATCGAATCCCACGTCGGGCTCCCGGTACATAGAGCCTGCTTCTCCCTCTGCCTGTGTCTCTGCCTCTCTCTCTCTCTCACTGTGTGCCTATCATAAATAAATAAAAAATTAAAAAAAAAAAAAGATAAAATTTAGCAGAGGAAAAATGTTCAGCAAAAAAGGAGACTGGGTGGGAAAATACAATGATACAGGAAAGTGAATGGGAACAGAGAAAACATTTTGGAAGCTTTTAAGACAGAATATTCTGAACTTACTGACTGGATATGCAGGGAAAGGAGAGGGCAGAACCAGAGATAATGCTCTGGTTTCCCACCTCGAAGGCTGAGTGAATGAAGTGCCTTTAAAAGAAATGGGAACGTCAGGAGAAGAGGCAAGTATATGTGTATGTAAGATTAACAATTTTATTTTGGACAGTGTTGTGGGATTTGGAGGAAATCCGTAGTACATAATATAACAGCAGTTGGGATTAGAGCTAAACAGAGATGTAGGATTTAACCCAAGAGTAGTTTGAATTATGACAGAGAATAGAAAAGAGAAGAGTATGGAATATTCCCCAGGAATAGAAAAGAAAATGAAGGATGAGAATAGTACACTTTTATGGTTTAGGAAAAAAAAAAAAAAAAGACCCAAGAGGAAGAGAAGTTCCACAATGGAGTGAATTAAAAGTGGCAGGCGCTACTGAGATGGTAAGATGAGGACGAAGAAAAACAGCACTGGATTTGGCTGATAAAAGTAAGAGGTACCTTGAGTGAGTGATGGGAAAAGCCAAATTCAAAACGGTTAAGCAGGGAGTGATGGTAATAGAAATAAATTCAGGTTTGTCCAGACCCCTATCTGATCCGTGTCTCGTTCCAGAAACGTTGGGTTAGATTAGTAATCACAGGGCTCGCTCTCGCTGTTTTGTTTTGTTTTTTTGGCGCTCTTTTCCTCTGCAGATGGTGATCTTGGTGATGAAGTCTCTCGAGCTCTTTTTAGGTAGTTATCCTAGCAATCCAAAGCTAAAATCTGCTTGTTGGGCTCTTCTGCGCTGTCAGCGCCCGGTACCAGGTCCGGGCTTGTCCCCGCTCCCCGCGGTAGCCCTCGCCTGGATGTGGGAGGCAAAGGCTGTGAGCATTTCCTGGGCGGTGAGGTGGGCGCCGCGCATAATCAGGCGATGCCCGTCTCCTGGAGAAGAAACAAGCGAGTCAGGCACCGGGAGGACGGCGGGGCCGGGGCTGAGGGCGCGCGGGCTTCCTGGCACCCCTCCCGCCCGCCTCCCTACCCGAGCCCACCGAACAGCACGTCCACGCAGGGCTCGGAGCCGTCGTGCCTCACGTCCGCAATCACCGAGCAGTTAAGGTTGGTAGAACGGACCTTCTCGCTGCTCACCGCCTGGAGGAAGGTCCTGCGGTGCGAAAACTGCTTGAGCGCCCGGCCGAGGGGGCTAGACCCCCGGCGGGAGGAAGACGCGTCCCCTTCCCGTCCCCAGTCCTTCCGCCTTGTACCTCGTGGATTCCACATTCTTCTCGAAGGGGCAGAATTGAACCCGAACCTGCTTCACAGACCGGAGGCCGAGCCGAGCCAAGGATGCCGCCATGGTGACCTCCGCCCCGGAAGGCCTCGCTCGGGCGGAAGCGTCTCTTCCCACATCGCTCTCCTCCCTGACCGGGCCGCTGCGGCGTGCTGCTCTCTGGCCCTCCGGTTCTCCCGCCCTCCGACTCCGGCGCTAGCGTTCCGTGGTGCTTGCCCTCCCTCCGCCGCCCGGGGAGAGGAGTAGAAAGGCCAGCAGGGAGGGAGGTGGTTTCTATACGGGGTATGAAGGGCCCCAAAGTAAGCGGTCGGTAAATACCTATCATTAATAGTCCTCTGGTACCACGGAGAGAACAATACATAGTGCAGAAGCCGTCGCGCCTGGTTCGGAAAACACGTCCGCCTTGGGCGGCCTTTACCCCTTGCGTACGCTGCTGTACCAGATCTAGGTTAGCACCATCTTCAGCGCTGGCCCCTTCCGTGAGGACGCTACCCTGGCAGGGGTTATACAGCTGCCAGCGGGTAAACCCTGCTCAGGTAACTGAAGATTAGACACGTTGAACTCTGAGTAACCAAAGTTTAAACGTTAAGGTCCCTTTAGCCCAGCATCTTTAAGTGACTGAGTTACGAGTCGGGGAGTACAGGGTAATACATCTCTCCGGACTGATCCAAGTGCAGAAATGCCTGTTCCACCTCTGGTTCCTGAAGAACTTTATGGTCAACCTGGTTCCTGGGACTTAAAAGGAAGTGGTATCCCAGGCTCACTGTTTTGTATTGCTTTTTTTCTCTCCCTTCCCCCTGGGCTCCAATCTGATGGTTCTTCTCCCAGGGCCTAGCCCTGAGAGGTGTTCACTGTCAGAGAACTAGACCTGAGCCTCCCATGGATGCTGACCTCTAGGTATGGCCCTTTACTCTGGATTGCAGGCACTGGAGGGATCTCGGATTCTTCACTTCTAGGTCCAGGCTCTATGTAGCTTGTGGTTTCTCAGGTATCCTTTCCTCCAAGCTCCCAATTGTAGGCTTAATAGGCAGTTCTAAATGTCTGGGCTTCTGGATAGCTCTTTCTGGCTCCTGGTCCCAGGATCCTTAGGATTCAGGACTGGTCCCCAGGCAGGAAGGAAAAGGCAAGTGCCAACGGCGGCGCTGGTGCTGCCTCAGGGCAAGCCAGGCCTGCTGATTTCCCACCAGGTAAGCCTCTGGGCTAGGTCCCCCACCCCATAGTGTGCTTAGTAGCTGAGCTGTCTGGGCTGAGGGTGCTCCAAGCCGAAGAGGGGGCTCCAAACTTTCCAGGCTGTTGAGGCTGCTGCTGGGCAATTCCATGGTCTGGATCTCACTGCATGTACCTGGTAAGGCAGGAATGGAAGACAGGCAGTGCGGAGGAGGAGGTATGACCACTATTGACAACTACAGGAGGACAGTGATGAGGATGGGAAGTAGGGCACAAAAGTAGCAAGGGGCAGAGCAAAGAGAACCTAGAGTTGGGGGAAGAGTGACTCACAGCAACAGGGAGGCCTCCTTTGGGCTTCAGGCTTGGGCAAGGGCTGCTGGAATAGACACAGCAGGGCCCCATCCACCCTCTGGAAGATGTTGAGCATGAGCAGAGTCTGGCGAAGTTCAGGGGACAGGCCCCACTGCTCCTCCTCCAGCAACTCCCGGACCACTCCGAAGTCTTGTCTGAGCTGCAGCGCCCCCTGCAGGCTGAAAGAAGGCCAAGGTACAATGTGGCCACTTGCCTCTAACTGCTCTGCCCCCACCTATCCCCTCCCTTTTTCCAGTTCCGTTCAGCCCTCTGCCATTGCCTCCTTTTCTCCTCACCTGAACCGGATCCCATGTGTGAGGATGTGGTCAAGCCAGGCACCCAGGATGGCTGTCAGTGCCTGGCCAAGGGCAGGGGCCTGGGCTTGGGGTGGCAATCCCTGCAATCCTTGCAACACAGGCTCCAGTACAGTACGAACCACCAACCCAGCATACTCACTAGGAATGCTGGGCAGTTCTGGAGTGAGAGAAGAGAAAGGACAGGATATGAGGCTATAGGAGATCCTTTGAGGCCCTAACAGAGTGCTTGGGGGAAAATGGTAGGATTTGTGGGGGCACAGAAGGTGAGGGCAAGGATGGAGACAGAGGAGTGGAGCTAGGATTTGGAAGGGTCAGGAGACTGTTACCCATGGGAACTGTGAAAGGGAATGCTAGGAAGAGGAGTTACCAGGAGAGAGCCGATGCCGCCAGTACCGACCCCGTGGCATGTAGAGTTCAAAGCCCTGTGTGGCTTGTTTATGACATGTTTGAAAAAAGAGACTTAGTGATTCTTCAGGCAGGAGCTGTGGAGATATGGAGAAAGTAAAAAGGGCTTATCTGCTAGGGACTTGCCAAATTACGATGCTCTTCTAAATCTGAGGTGTTCAGGATGCCTGGGTGGCTCAGCAGTTGAGCATCTGTCTTTGGCTCAGGGCGTGATCCTGGAGCCCCAGGATCTAGTCCCACATCAGGTTCCGTGCACGGAGCCTGCTTCTCCCTCTGCCTGTGTCTCTGCCTCTCTCTGTGTGTCTCGAATGAATGAATGAATGAATGAATGAATGAATAAATCTGAGGTGTTTAATCTTGCTTCCATAAAGCCCCAGAACAGAAGTGTGTATGCATAATTCGATGGGCTTGGACAGTTCTGAAGAGAGATGCCCTTTTATTGGGTTTTACTAAAGGCCTGGACCCAGGTCTATAATCTTTTATAGATTATAAAAGATTGTCTATAACCTAAAATAGACAATTGTCATAGGATTACCCTGTTCTCCTCAACTTGGTTGTCTAAAAATCCTCCAGGTTAATTTTACTCTATAGGAACATTAATAGGAAAAAAAGAGGGAGACATCCTCAATACTACGAATGTTCCAAAGCAAATGGTAGAGAGAGGGGTCTGCATGATCTACAGACAGGCAGAAGCTGAAGAAAGAAAGGGGGAATTGTACGATCTTCCATCATCTATGAAAGGAAAGCAGGAACTATATGCAGACCAGGAGTGATGACTGTAACTTTCTGAGATTCAGGAACCTTTGCAATGTCCTTGCGCTGAAATTTTTTTACACCCTACTTCCATTTACCCAGAGTAATAGTAAAGCAAGAAACGGCCTAGGTGCTGGTTTGGCTTCTGTGCTTTGATAGGTTATCTTTTTGTAATGAGAGAGCAAAAAAGAGGGGTCTCTACAGTCCATCTTGGAAAGGAACCCTAAGAAATGGGTAATGTGGTGGCAGCTCTGTAAAGAAAACGTGATTAGATGCCTATTAGCCTGATTAGAGAAAGGGGCCTGGGGGCTGGACTGGGAGAAGTAGAGCTCATGTAGCTCCTGGTACATATCCTGACTACAGCCTATCCTAAATCTAAATTCTACCTCTCTTCTCCTGAAAACCAAAACTCCTTATTTATGCCAAGGAAATTACCCTTTTGTCAACTGATATTTGTTAGGAATCTCCCTGCACTCAACACTCTCAGAAGACACAAGGTCACACTATGAAATGATTTTTCTGTCTGGGATGTTACAGTCCAGCTGGGAAGAAATCACATCTGATTCTTCTTTTCCATGCCAGTGCCCTATGCAGTAGAATGCCCAGAGCAGACTCCCAACACTGCAATTACCAGGCAGAGAAACAAGGCATGAAGAGTCCTTTGCACGATGATCAGTTCACATGGTAAGCACACTTTCCCTATCTCTGTTCTTAGGTCTCCTCACCTCCCAACCTGACCACTGTAGCTGTATCAGACTCTATCATAGTCTCCACTGTTCCCCTCCTGCTCTTCCCATGGCTATTACTCATGAGACAAAGCCCAGATTCTGTGGGCTGGTGTTTAGTGCCCTTCACAATATTATGCCAACCTAACTTCTCCACCACAGTCCCCCACCGAACCCTAAACAGAAGTATGTGTGTGTATGTGCACACACTCATGCACACATGCACACACATACACACAGGGAGCTTCTGCTTTGGTCAGGTCATCTCCCCACTACTCCCTCAAGGAACTATGAACTGACCACCTCCAGTAACCCTTGCCATTCCTCTGAGGCTGCCTAACCACCAGCTCCAGCCACAGACCCTGTACGGAGCTTCTGTAACAATATGCCTGCCACAGTCTTCCTTCTTCAGAGTTTCCATGGCCATCATTGTCCAACATCCTCATGAGGAGCCTGCTCTGGGGTATGTTGAGTTGAAGAAGGTAGCAATAAATTGAGGTAGAACAGGCAGATGTAGATGGTATGTTAGGGCTAAACTGTTAGGAGGGATAGTTCAGTGCATAGCACCAAGGCAGTGTGAGTAAGTAGGAATGCAGAGAGAAAAGGAGCAGGGGGACAAAGTCTGAACTCCATAGTCTTGTCCCTATTCAGGGCAGAGGGGAACTTGGGCAGGAAGAGAAAACAAAAAGACAGAGAAACATCTTCCATAGGAGGAACAGATACTCTGCAATATGGGGAAAAATTAAAACAGAAGTTTAATAATTTTATTCATAAGTTTAGAAGAAAAATATGAGAAGGCAGACAAGTGGATGAAGGTTACCACTGTGGAACAGGAACCAGAAGTGGGGTGGGGGCAATTAAAGTGCTGGGTTTTTTTCATCAGAAGCCTTCTAAAATAATATCCTATTTCTCTTTTAAACTATGGACGTGTATTACTTTAATAAAAATATAAGTGATATATTTAGAAAAGAGAAGGGACATCATCTCAAAACTAGTAAATAAAAGGAGTGTCTGGGTAGCTCAGTAGTTAAATGGCTGACTTCAGCTAAGTTATGATCTTAGGTCCTGGGATCCAGCCACCCCACCCCCACCCATGTGCTTAGCAGGGAGTCTGCCTGGCACCTTCCTCTGCTCCTCCCCCTGTGCGTAAGTGCTCTCCCTCTGCCCCTCCACCTGCTTCTAAGTGCTCTCCCACTCTCTCTCCCAAATAAATAAATAAAAGCTTTAAAAAAGCTAGTAAGTAAAAGGAAAGATTCAATCGTTTATCTTACCTTTTTTCTACAAAATATACTTCAGAGTAACCAAGTAACTAATGAGGACAAACAATAGCCAAACTGTGGAAGGAGCCTCGGTGTCCATCGAAAGATGAATGGATAAAGAAGATGTGGTTTATGTATACAATGGAATATTACTCAGCCATTAGAAATGACAAATACCCACTATTTGCTTCGACGTGGAGGGACCTGGAGGGTATTGTGCTGAGTGAAATAAGTCAATTGGAAAAGGACAAACATTATATGGTCTCATTCATTTGGGGAATATAAAAATTAGTGAAAGGGAATAAAGGGAAAGGAGAGAAAGTGAGTGAAAATATCAGTGAGGATGACAAAACATGAGAGACACCTAACTCTGGGAAATGAACAAGGGGTAGGGGAAGGGGAAGTGGGTGGGGGGTTGGGGTTACTGGGTGATGGGCACTGAGCGGGGCACTTGGCAGAATGAGCACTGGGTGTTATGCTATATGTTGGCAAATTGAACTGCAATAAAAAAATTTAAAAAATTAAAAAATTAATGAGGACAAATTTCACTTTATAGGAGTAAGTCAACTAATAAATGAAGAAGAAATGATAGAATTGGAATATCGTCACTTTGCACCCCCTAATGAAATAATGGATCTGGGGATGCCTAGGTGGCTCAACGGTTGGGCATCTGCCTTTGGGTCAGGGCATGATCCCAGAGTCCTAGGATGGAGTCCCACAGCGGGATCCCTCCATGGAGCCTCACATCGGGATCCCTCCATGGAGCCTGCTTCTCCCTCTGCCTATGTCTCTGCCTCTCTCCCTCTGTGCCCCTCATGAATAAATAAAAAAAATCTTAAGAAATAATGGATCTAGGCAGTAATGATCAGTGGCTGTTAACATCACAAAATGAGAGCCTGACATAAACATGAAACAAAATTGACCATGAGTTGATAATTGTTAAAGCCTCGGGGTAGAAATATGGAGATCCATTATGCTTTTCTACTTTTGTATATGTTTGAAGTTTTCCATAACAACAAGTGAAAGAGAGAACAAAAAATGAACAGAGCAAGAAAAGATAAATTCAGCAGACTCCAAGGACATTCCAAGTCACTGGGATGTTTCACCACCACCACCCCAACCCCAAAGCTGGGCACAGAACTGACTCTTAAACTGCCACTGTCAGGACTCCTGCACTTCTCACCTGGATCTGTGCAGTTAGCTTCTGGATCTCTAGGGCCAGCTGCTGCTCCAGTTCAAGGGCCAAACTTTCCTCTGAGGCCAGTCTAGACAGAGCTGCTGCCTCCTGCAATAGAGGCTTTGGCAGAAACAGGAAGTGAGATTTGAGCCCAGCCCAGGCTGCTCCCCTTCCCACTCCCTAACTACTCACAGGTAAGTTCTTCTGGATCAGAAGCAGGAAGGAACCTGGGGCCCATGCTGCCAGATGCTGCTGAGTTCTGCCCAAAAACCAGACCAAGGTGGTCTGCAGGGTACAGAGCCCCAGAGCAAACAGTGCAGGACCTGGGGAGAGGAGGATGGAGTATCTGAGAGATCCAGAACCCCTCTGGGAGGAGGCAGGCTTCAGGACAGAGTAAAGGCATGAAGGGGACATCTTCAACTGTTCTGTTTCCTCCATCCCCAGCACCTTGTCTCACCTGGAGGCTGACAGAAGAGCAGCCCTGACCTGGGTTCTCGAAGGGCATCCAAGAGAGGAGGAAAGAGCTGTTGCAAAAGTTCAGCGGTATGAGAGGATGAGGTAGGGCTGCTCTGATCTTCACTAGCAGATCCCAAGGCCTGGCAGAAGCCTGAGGATGAGGGATACGGTTTGATGCGGAAGGGGCAATCTGGGGCTGTGTCATTCCCAATGCCCCTTCCTTCTCACCTTGGTCCCAGCTCCAGATAAGAGACTGATGAAATAGGCTGCGACACAAAGAAGCCAACTCCTTCTCACACTCCTGAGGCAGGGATGCTAGTGGGAGAAATGGCTCTGGAGCCTGAAAAGAAGGGCCTCTCTTTTCCAGAACCACTGCCCACTCAATGACAGCGGAAGAGGAGAGGCTCCCACCAAGACTCAAGACTTGAGTAGAAAACAAGACTGGCCTAGAAATCCCAGAAGCTTTAGCCTGTCAGGTGGGGAGGGGCGTTGGGGAGGGGCGTAAGGAGTGGGGGTTGTAGTGTTCATTCTAAAGGGCCTGCTTTTGCAGTCTGGCTGGCCGGGGAATGAGGTGGCTAGGGAGAAGAATGAGACCCCAGACTGCCCAAATGCCCACCCAGGCCCATCACTCACCCTGACCCAGTGCCTGACTCAGCTGTTGTACCACTGTCCTGCGGTCCCTCCAGGGTCCTAGACTTAGGTCCAGACTCTGAGCACAAGCTGCCCACAGCAGGGTCCAGTACTGGCTCCACAGGGCTCCAGCCCCTCCAAGCCCCAGTCTGCTGTTGTCTGGATCCGTCACGCCCCCCAGCAGCCTCAGCAGCCCGGGCAGCAGCTCCCGCTCCTCTTGGCACCGACTGCGGAGCTGATCCCGCAAGCCTGATCCCTTGAGCGCCTCATCTAGCTGCCCTGCCACCTGGCAACCCCGCTCCCCCGTCAGGAGGCGGAGCACACGGGAAGGCGGGAAAGGGCGCGCAGCCCCTGGGACGGGGCTCAAGGCTTTTCCCTGCAGCTGGTGGTAGGCGGGAAGCGCCAGCAGCACGTCGGCAAGTTGGGACGACCAGCCGGGGCTGGCTGGCTCCCGACCCAGAGCCCGAAGCTGCATCTGGATGGCAGCATCCAGGCACTGGGCGGCCAGTCCGGCGGGCCGCGCCAGGAGTAGCGGCAGGCGAGTCTCCAGCGGGCCGATTCGCAGGACGGCCCCTCGGGAAGGGTGCAGGAGCAGGTCGCGGCACAGCTGAGGCAAGGGCCCGGGGGCCGGCGCGCTGGGGCTCAGGATCCTCAGGAGGCGCACAGCCGCCTGTAGGTGGCGGGCGCAGTCGCGGGCTTGGAGGAGCTGCTCCCGCTCGCGAAGCAGCCGCAGCAACACGGCCCGGAGACGCTGCAGCGCGGGAGGGCTTGGGCGGCCGTCTGCAGCCTCCCGCCACCAGCCCGCGGCGCCCGCCTCGTGGTGCTCTCCCGCGTCCGCCGGCGCCGCCCACCACGGCTGCCCTCCTGGAGCTCCGCCGGGCCGCGGGTCCTGGCCGGGAATGCTCCCGGCAACCGGCAGCCCCTGCCAGCCACGAGAGTCCCCGCGAAGAGGCCCCGCCTGCCTTCTCTGCCCCCGCTCCTCCACAGCGCCTCCGGGTTGCGCCCTCAACGGCGGCACCGTAGCGAGCGGAGGCAGAAGGCCACCGGAGCGAGACGCCTGGGCCATGGGGCGCCCGAACGAACCTAACGATTCCTACTTGCCCGCCCCGCCCAACGCCCGCGGCCGGCGGGACTCCGCCTGGTCCCGGGAGCCGTCATCTCTAGCCGGCGCGCCGCCGGGACCGACGTGGCCTCTCTCGCGCTCCGTAATCGGAGGCTCTGCCCCTAACAAAGATGGCGGCCTTCCCCGTCCTACGCCGCCCGTCGGCGGTGTCGGACAGCCGGCCGTCTTTCACTTTCGGGTCACTGTTGATAGGAGATGGCGCCGGTTCCGAAGACAGTGGGGCGGATAAAGCTAGGTAAGCAGGTGTGGCAAGACGGGAGGGGGTCCAGGAGGGTAGGGACAGCCCCACGTGGGTCTGTCTTCAGTAGGGTCTTGCGCTTCACGCGGTGGGCGGAAGGCTCCGGCCCCTGCTGCCCGAGTCCCTTGACGCGTCGCCGCCTTCCTTTACTGTTACAGACTGTCCTCTGCTGCCTGGCTGCCCGCTGGGGGCCGCTGCTGTCCCCAAACTGTGCAAGGAATTCCGCCCTGAGGACTATGGCGCCGAGGTAAAAAGGACTCCTCGCTCCCCCTAGCCCTGTTTATCTCGGCCACGCCTCTTTCCAGTCAGCTGTGCTGAGCCCCGCCACGGCTGGGCGCCACCCTGGACTCCCAGGGCTCCGCGGAGGGGCGCCTGGCAAATGGAGGGTGGTGGACGTGGGCAGGATTGGGCGGACGAGGGTCTCCGAGGCGAGGATTGCGGAGTGGGCGGGAGCTGCATAGGGCAAGATATTACGAACAGAGGGAACAGTGTGAGCAAAGTCGCCAAGGCAAGGAAAAGTTTAGAGAACACTGAAGTCAGATTTGAGTGGTTTGGTTGGAACTGTTAGAAATGAAGTGGGGGCGGGGGGATGAAGTGGGAAAGAAGGCAGCAAGTGGCTTGAAATGCTTTTTGTCTGGCACAAGGGCTTGGATGTCCTCAGCTAGGTGATGGTGTATTGAAGGAGGAAGGCGATCAGATTTGGAAGCACTGAGAAGGTGTATTTCCAGCTGCTTCCTGGGTATCTCCAAAACCTCAAACTCACCAAGTCCAGAAGTTAATTCATCATCTTTGCAAGTTGGATGTTTTTCTCTAATCTAAATTTTGTCTGATAACACAAACTGACATCCAGTTGCTTAATGCAGAATTCTAAAAATCATTGTATATGATCCTCCCTTTCCCTTACCTCACACATTGAGTCAGTCACTAAAATCCACTTCAGAAATGTCCCTTGACTCAAGCCCCTCATTTCTATTACTGCCCCTGCTGCCACTGGCTTAGTTCAAGAATTCATTCTTTCTGGCCTGAAGAGTCACTGTGGCTTGCTAACTAAACACTCCACCCCTAGAATCATCTCCTTCCCCAGTGCTATTTCACTTGAGTGCTTCACTCCCCAGATCAGTCCCACTCCCATCACTGACAAGTCAAAGCCCAAACTCATTGGATCACACAGGGTTCTTCAGACCCAGCTCTTGGCTGCATCTCTAATAGAATGGTATCCTCACCAGTCTCTCTGCTTTTGCTCATTCAACACTCTTACTGAGCACCAACAATGTACCAGGCACTGTTTTTAGGCACTTGGAAGACAGCAGTAAACCAACACAAAAATCCTTTTATTTATTTTTTTAAAGATTTTTATTTATTTATTCATAAGAGACACAGAAAGAGAGGCAGAGACACAGGCAGAGGGAGAAGCAGGGTCCGTGCAAAGAGCCTGACATGGGACTCAATCCCAGGAATCCTGGATCAGGCCCTGAGCCAAAGGCAGACGTTTAACCACTGAGCCACCCGGGCATCCCGCAAAAATCCTTTTAGTCAATGAATTAGAAGCATCTAGTGGAGGCAGCCAGTCAACAAGTAAACAAATATAGTATACCAAATATGAAAAGTACAAGGGAAAGTATAACAAAAATGGGGAGTGCTGAGTGGAATTGAGTTTCTTTTTTTTCAAGGGAATAGGGCGCCCCAGTGGCTCAGTTGGTTAAGCATCTGCTTTCAGCTCAGGTCATGATCCCAGAGCCCCACATCAGGCTCCCTGTTCAGTAGGAAATCTGCACCTCCCTCTGCCTCTCCCACCACTTGTTCTCTCGTCACTCTCTCTCAAATAAATAAAATGTTTATGAAAAATAAAGGGAAGGGATCCCTGGGTGGCGCAGCGGTTTGGCGCCTGCCTTTGGCCCAGGGCGAGATCCTGGAGACCCGGGATCGAATCCCACGTCGGGCTCCCGGTGCATGGAGCCTGCTTCTCCCTCTGCCTGTGTCTCTGCCTCTCTCTCTCTCTCTCTGTGTGTATGTGTGACTATCATAAATAAATTTTTAAAAAATAAAATAAAAAATAAAATAAAGGTAATAGTCAGAAATGGCCTCTTGGAGAAGGTTTAAGCAGAGATCTGAAGGGGTGAGTCATTCATGGGGGAAAGAGCATTCCAGGGAGAGGAAGTAACACAGACAAAAGCCTTGAGATGGGAGCACACTTGATGTGTGTAGGAACTTCAGAGGAGACCACTCACCACTGTAGTTAGAGATAGGACCAGAGGGTAGGAGATGATTCATGGAGTACTGAGGAGCCAGATTGTGTTGGGCCATGTGGTGAATTAAGAGAATAGCACAGACTGTGCTCTGGGGAGAGGTAGAAGGTCAAGGTAATCCCTTTTTTGTTTATTTTTAGAAATGGCTAGACTGGGCCAGTTAGGAAGTTGAATTAAACCCACCAGGAAATTGAATTTGAGAGTAAGACTTGATGGAAGCACACAGCAGTGTAAATGAAGATGCTGTTGAGTCAGGACTGTCTCCTGAAGGATATTCTGGCTCTGAAACTGTTTAGAAAGTTGACTATCCCTCAGTGATCTGAAGTCCTTCCCATGTATTAGTTTAGCACTCTGCCGTTTCATGTAGCTTCTAAGTTTCTCAGTCAGTGGGCCACCACCTAGTCAGGTATGGTGCCCTGTTCAGGCCCGAAGATGCCACACGGGGACAAGATGACTCCTGTCCTCCTCCAAAGCTGACACTGAGGAAATGATTCTTATAAGAATCACAGAATGACAGGGAAAGATTTGAAGAGTCTCATCTCATTTTGTGAATGATGAAGCCAAGGTTCAGAGAGGTTAAATGACTTGTCCAAAGTCAAACAGCCAGGCAGTGGCAAAGCCAGAACTAAGATGTGAATAGCAAAGTGCTCTTTCCAGTTCTATGCTTCTCACCAATTGAGAGAGCAATAAAAAGCAGTGAATAATAAGGTTCTAAATTATATGACACAGACTATGTGAGTACAGCTTGTGAGTGAGGGCAGAGATCATCGGAGATAAAGAGGTTTGAGGGAAGGTGGAATTGGACTTTGAAGGTGAGACAAAGTGTGGGGAGAAGCTCGGAGCCAGGAGGGATTCGGGGACAGTTGGGGGGAAGATCCCAACACTGGAAGGAACCTGATAGCAGAGGGATGATGGCAGCCAGGCAGGAGCAAATTACAAAGGAAGATTGGGAAGGTCAGCCAGGGGGTTTTTTGGAAGACTTCAAATCCCAAGCTGAGGAGCTAGACTCAGTTTTGCCTATGGCCCTGGCAGTGGGGGATTACTGGACGTTCCTGAGTAGGGATGTATCTGTTGAGAGCTTGGTTTGAGGGGGAAACAGATGGAATACAGGGGAGAGGCCAACCAGGAACTGCTGTATACATTTAGGCATGAGGTAGTTCCAGTGTGGGTTATGTGGGGTTGCTCATAATGAAGGATATGGTGGGAGACATAGCTGGAAGAACAGGTAAGAGGGCTCTTTCAGGGACATCAGTGTAGCTGACTTGGTGGCAGGTCAAAGGAAGATCTTATATGATGGAAAAGGCTGGGCTGAAGGCCACACACAACCCTTGGGAAGCAGGAGAGTAGTGAAGGAGGTAATATACCAGGAAAGCCAAAGCAGTGTGTCTTAAGGACACTGAGTGGAGAGAAATCAACCTGTAAGATTCTCCAGGCTAGGTGGCTGGTTTGTGGTTGCCATGGTGGAGGGATCAACCCAGCCAAGCCCCTAGAACTACCCCCAACATCAGCCTCCCTTCCCTTCCCCCTTCCAGGACACAGTGGATTTTCTTCGACGGCTTGTGGAGAGTGATCCCCAGCACCTGCACCAGATCCATGTGGATAGGAGCAGCGGGCGGCTACAGCTGTGGCACCATGGTGGGGGGTGCCGGGGGCTGGGCCCAAGGATGGAGGCTGGGCTCTGAGATCGGGCTCTGGGGAAGGCTAGCCCTTAGATGCTCCTTTCTCTCATGTTCCTTTTTCTTTCCCTTCTCCTTATCCCTCCTGACAGATTACCTCCTAGACCATTTCTGTGATGAGGGGAAAATGCCTGGACAGAGTGAAAGGACCAAGGGGGCCAAGGGACTGGGGACCTACTGTAGTCTCCAGAAGTCCTTTCTGTATCCTCCCCAAGGGCCTGAGCCCTGTGCTCCTAGCCCCTCTTCCTCTGCCAGTTCAGACAGCCTCCTGCAGGTGGCCATGCCCCAGAAGCTCCTGCTGACTGAAGAGGTGAGACTGCCAGCAAGGGGCTTCCAGCTCTCCCAGTGCTCTTACAACTGCCATATTCCATGTAATACATCTGTATTGTCCCCTCAGCTGGGCCCAGCCTTTCAGGGTCTTTCCATACTTCTGGCCTCTCTTTGGCTTTCTTATTCTCTGCCTCTCTGTCATCTGGTTTTCCTTCTCCAGGAAGCGAACCATCTGGCTGAGGAGCTGGTGGCTGAAGAGGAGCGCATGAAACAGAAAGCAGAGAAGAAACGACTCAAAAAGAAGGTAGCTGGAGGGCAGAAGGATGGGAACCCAGAGATATCTAGGAGAGGGATGCTTTGTGAGCACAGGAGAGAACTCAAGGTGGCCCATTGTGGACCCTCTTGCCAGAGGGGGCCAAGGGGCTCAGAGCTTGGACAGAGAGGGTCTTGTGGAAGCCATATGGTATGGTGGTTCTGGAGTCATACTATGCTGCCTGGGTTGGAATCTGGCTCTTTCTTACTGTGAGACCTCTGCCTGGTGACTCTCCTGTCTGCTTTTTCACCTGCAGCATAAGGATAATAACAAAATCTACCTCATGGAGTTTTAGGGGTTTATTTGAGATAGTGTACGCAAAGCTCTTAACGTGGTACACGATGTATAGTCTGTATTGTACGCATAAAGAATTGGCTTCAAGATACAAATTGTTTGTATGTTTACATATAGTGTTCAAAATATGTCATCAGCATCATTGCCGTTATCATTGCAGCGTCAAAAGGATCGCAAGCGACAGGAGCGCTTGGAGCAGGAGGGCGGGGAGCCCAAAGTGAGTGTCTACAGGCAGATATGAAGAACACTAAGTGCTGGAGGGTGGGAGCTGAGAAGGCAGGCAGCTCAAGGTGATCCCCACCTGCCTTCCCTCCAGGTTGAGGCCACCCCAAATGGGGATGGGAGCCCTCCATCCAGCCCCAGGAACCTTGCTCAGGGACAGTGTGATGAGGAAGAGGTGAGAGCGCCCCACCCTGCTTCCTTCACTTCTTGGTCTCTGTCCACCTTCCCTCCCCCTCCTGCAGAACATACTTTATCCCCACCCCCTCCTGACTTTCCTTTTTGTTCGCAGGACTCACTGGATCTGTCTAGCACTTTTGTGTCTCTGGCTTTGCGCAAGGTTGGGCGCAAGGAGGATTGGCCTCCTGGTGCCCGCAGAGAGAAGGGACTGAACCCGGAACCTCGAGGCAAAACCCGGGGCCCCCATCAGAAGATGCGCCAGGAGGAAGGGAGCTCTCGGATAGAAGAGAGCCCCAGGCAGAGTCCTAAGGCAGAGGTGAGGTGACCAGTAGAAGGAGTTTTCTGGCTCTAGGATTAAGAGATCTGGGGTCAGGCTCCATCACGGACATCCTGACCCTGGGTCGTTTCTTCTGCAGGAAGGTAGGGCTGGTACCATCTTGCAGAACTGTCATAAGAATTACATAAGTTGGATAAGGCTGACTGCAATATTCATTGTCTCAGCCTCCCCAAATCCTTCTCCTTTGTTCAGAGTCCTGTTTGACTTTGCTCCCCATCCCTAGGCATGTCCGGGACTGCTGGCAGCTGCCTTACAGCAGAGCCAGGAGCTGGCAAGTGAGACTCTCTCCACACCTCCCCACCCTGCCCTCCCTCCCTCACCCTCCCTCCTCACCCTACTCTCCCTGGAATAGGCCCATCTGAGCCCCCCCACCTTCTCTCTTCCCTAGTGTTGGGTACCAGCTTTGCCCAAAATGGTTTCTACCACAAGGCTGTGGTTCTCTTCACCCAGGCTCTGAAGCTCAACCCCCGGGATCATCGGTGAGTAGGGGCTTGGCCACTGTGCTGGGAGGTCAGGGCAAGGCAAAGTGTTGAAGATCCAGACTTTTGGCTACTTTGTCTTTATCAGGTTGTTTGGAAACCGTTCTTTCTGCCATGAGCGGCTGGGTCAGCCAACATGGGCCCTGGCCGATGCCCAGGTAGCCCTTACCCTGCGACCTGGCTGGCCCCGGGGCCTCTTCCGCCTGGGCAAGGCCTTGATGGGACTGCAGGTATTGGGTCTGAGACTGGAAGCAGAATTTGGGTAGTGTGGTATAGGGTTTGGGTCTATATTGCCATTTTGTAGTAAAGCTCCTAGTATCACAGTGTCACAGTGTTAGCAGCACTAGGAGCTGATGTGGGTTTGAGGAGGGGGCAGTTTTAATTTCCCTCATCCCCTTGATACCTCCTACACTTTCCTCTTTCTAATCCCTCTGGGACAAAAGCGTTTTGAGGAGGCAGCTGCTGTGTTCCAGGAGACTCTGAGAGGTGGCTGCCAGCCTGACGCAGCCCGGGAGCTCCACTCTTGCCTTCTGCACCTCGCTCTGGTAAGGGAGCTGGGCCCATTGGCAGACCACGGGGGCAGCAGGAAAACTGGCTGCAGTTTCCACAGTGAGCTCTGCTCCCTTCCACCTCAGGCCGGTAGTGAGGGCAGGAACAGGTGGGATGAGGGGCGTGAGCTGTGCTGCCTGTGCTGCCGAGAAGGAGAAATAAGTGCGGCTCCTTCTCTCTCCACAGCAGGATCGGCAAAGAGGAATCCGGGAACCACCTGGCTTCCCGCAACCATTTTGCCGTGCTGGGCCCAGTGTCTCAAACCTCCTGCCTGTCAGCCGCCCTCCAAGCGCTGCTCCAAGAGCCTCTGTCCTGTCTGCACCCTGGCGTCATCTCCCTTGTCACCCGAGCCACTCCAACTCGCCCATCCCCCAGACTCTCCATCTCCAGGGCCCCTCAAAGGGCTCTGGTATCAAGACCGTGGCCCCAGCATCTACCTCAGGCCAGATGATGGAGGATCAGTACCTCATAGGACAGGGCTATGTGTGTATCCCATAGCTCCCTGCATATCTTGAGACCTTGTAGTCTAAAACCATAATTAAAGATTCCCCCGGTGGTCACTCCTCTTGCCACGGAGACCTGATGAAAGAAAGGAGCCCCATGTCCACTGAAACAACCTTTCTTTGATTCTGAAGCAGATGGCTTCCTCTGGGGGCAGTAAGGAGAAAGAAAATCCACCAAGGCTCAGGAGGGCACTGCACGAAAGTTCAGGTCTTCAGACTCCCAACAGACCCAGCAGGAAGCATACGGGTTTGCTCTGAGTTCGCTCTGCGTCTTGGCCCTGAGGGATTCATTCACCAGCCAGAACTCTGCTCAGGAATGGGGTTAGGGGATGAGTGAGGCCTGAGTCCCCCCACCCCCTTCACTTTCCTGAACCCAGCTCTCACCTGGTTTCTTGTAGCCTGAGCCCTGCATGCCTCATTTCCTGTCATTTGGTGCATATTCTGACCTCTCCTTTGTCCAGTAGCCTCACTTCCTCCAACTACTAGAAGATTCACTGGGGTTTGCATTTGGGAAGTCCCTTACCAGCTCCTGCCTGGAATAGGCAGGGTTCACAAATCTCCACCTCCCCACTGCTGGCTCTTCTGCTGATGGGACCTCAGCAGGCACCCAGGCTGCTACTACTGTGGCCATGCTCTTTCTTCACTCCAGCACTGGGCATTGTTTTTGTTTGTTTTGTTTTTTAAATATTTTACTTATTTATCCACAAGAGACACAGAGAAAGAGGCAGAGACACAGGCAGAGGGAGAAGCAGGCTCCATGCAGGGAGCCCAGCGTGGGACTTGATCCTGGGTCTCCAGGGTCACACCCTGGGCCAAGGCGGCGCTAAACCACCCAGCCACCCCGGCCGCCCCCAGGACTGGGCATTGTAATGAGCATTTCCACCAAGGGTCACTGCCCCCCCCAAAGAAGGCTGTCATTCCCTACTGCCTGTGTAATAATCACGGTCTTTTGGGTTCTCTAAGATCCTGGCAGCTTCCTCTCTACCCCTGCCTGGGACTCTCCCAGCTCATTGAAATGTGGATCTGCAGAGGACTTTTAGGTCTCCCAGAATGCTTCGCCTAGAGGAATCGTTCATCAGGATAAAATGATCCTTTCTGCCTTAAGGTCTTGACAACACCATTCACACCTGTATAGGAGGTGTTGAAACACCTCCTTTACATAGGGCTTTCCCAAATTCCTTTTATGGAGCAGGCTCCTTAGATACTGTGTAGCAGACTGAAATCTGCCATTGCTGGTTGGGTCATCTTGAGCAGGTCTCATAACATCTGTGCCTCAGGTCCCTCCACTGTAAAATGGGGCAGTTCTACTTCTCAGGGCTGTTGTGATTACTGAAAGAGTGTGAGGAAATACCTACCAAGTGCCTGGTACATTATGGATGCTAAATAAACTGGATTTTGTCTGCAAGGGTGCTACATATTTATGATTCCTACAGTGAGAAGAGATGAGTTAAGTTGTTGCTTATTTCACAAAATACAGACCCTGGGGCTGCAGCTCTCCAAGCATAGGCATTGGATCTGCAGCAACCTGGGAAATTGTTGCAAATGCACATTGTCAGGCCCTACCCTAGACCTTCTAAATCAGGGGCCCAGCAATTTGTTTCGTGAATCCCTCCAGGTGATCCTAATGCCCAACCACTTGTTTTAGGATCTGGAGGCTATTGGTGGGAGAGATTTGAGTTTTGTTCACCTCCGGCTTGATTATGAGAAGTGGAAGCACTGGGCTAGAATTTAGGAGGCCTCAAGTAGAGGGGGAGTATGGCCTAGAGCCAATTAATTTGCCTCAATATACCTTCCTAACAAGAATTCTTTGCTCTGGGAATTCTTTGTTCATGCCTAGTTGGGGAGAGGTGGTTGTGTTTGTTTGGGGGATGATTATATTATGGTGACTCCATTAGAGGCCTGTTCATGTGGCCTTCTTGTTCTAGGCAGCAAGGAGGTACTTCCCTACTTTGGGGACTCCACTAGGGTTCCTCAAAGAATGGGCACCCATCACTACTTTGCTTTCAGACTAAGTTGGCTCCTTGCTCTTCCAGCCACTCAGAGAAATGTCCCCTCCCCAGTAGCTTGTGACCTATCCTGGACTTGAATCTTCTCTGAGAGCCACAGGACTCCTGACATCTTGTCCCCATTTTGCCCCCTACACACTGCTGACTGGTAGGGTTCCAACCCAGCAGCCTGAGTTCTGAGTCCCTAGGGTTGAAATGCACAGTGACCAATCATCCCGGTTTTCCTGGGACTGAGGGATTTCCTGGAGTGTGAGATTTTCAGTGCTGAACCTGGGAAAGTCCTTGGCCAGCAGGAATGAGTCTGTCACTCTAAAGGTTCCAGAGAGGCAGCCTTAGGAAGGGGATGAAGGAAATGAGAAGGGGCCCTAAACCAGAACCAGGGTGCGTGTGTGTCGTCTATATGTATACAAAGGACAACACAGGTGCAAAGAATACTTTTCGTATGATGGCTGACAAAGTCTTAGCCCTAGGCCAGTAGTCCTTATTTCAGTCCATGATGCCATTTTTCTTCTGGTTGCTCAGGTTCGTGAGGTTGTCACTGATTGATGAAATTTTCAGTCACCGGGATAATCACACAGATTCCTCTTTTGTTACAGCCTCCCCCACCTGCCAAGTCTGGCCCTGGATTCTCTCAGCTCTGACTTTCTGCAGCGCCCAGAGATACAATCCTTTCTCAGGTCCCTGCAGTCCCCAGTCCACCTTACACTTGCAGCCAGACTGGCCTGCTCTAACGCTGCTGGCATGGCTCTCCCCTCTAAAACCTCCAAGGACCACAGTCAATGTACAGTACAATGCCTAAATTCCTACCTTTGGCCCTTTCTCCCCTGCTTTCTTTATAAACCATTTTCTTCTCTCAAGCCCAGTTAGAGTTACAGGGACAGAACCGTAGTGGCCAAAAGAATGAGTCCCTGAGGCAGGCAAGCAAGCAGGTTAGTGCCATCCCCACCATTTACAAGCTTCATGACATGACCAAGTCTTCTTGAGTTTCTGACTCAGTCTCTTTACACTTAGAAAGCCTCATGATCTCCTGGGATAACTGTGAAGGTTAATCCATGCAAAACACTTGAATTGTGCTCAATAAGTGGTAGCTACTAACTGCCAGGTTCCCTTCTGCCTTCCAGCCTTGTTTACTCTCCCTGAAAAATCCTCTCCTAGGACCTCCACCTGGAACTGAGGCCCTAGCTGACTCCCTTTGAATCCTGGAAGTGCTACTCTCAGAGCATTCTTGAGAATGAGATTGTGGCATCTGGGCAGAAGCATGGAAAGGTCTGAGGGAGCAAGGAAGGATGGACACGGAGAGGGAGGAATCAGGAAAGAGCCTAAGCATGGTCTTCTGAAGATCAGCAGGGATGGCCCTGCACAGTGGTAGGCCTCTTCCCTCCCCACCAGACTGCCAGACGGTAAATAATTACCTGTGGAATAAATTAATCTCGGAAATGTCCACCAGTGGTGGCAGGCCCCATGCCACTACAAAACTGCCTCTGCTGCACTAAGCTTCACCTCAGCTGGCTGGGCTGGGCCTCCCCATCCTGTCACGGCCACCATCCTGGTGGGGACATTTCCTACCCAAGTGCAGGGCAGAGGTCCTGGACAGTAGGGTTGTGCCCTTTCTCCCTGCCGGTTTCACTCAGGCTGTGTCTCAGTATAGGGTTCTTTCAGAGGAGGCAGGAGGAGGGTAGAGACCTCACTAACAAGCAACCTCATCAGGGCGGGAAGGGTGGGGAAAGGGTAGAATTAGGCACATCATTGTCACTCTGGGGCTGCCTAGCGGTTAGGAGCCAGGTCCCCAAGGTGAGGGGGGATCAAAGGCCTGGTGGAGTCCTGCCGCCTACGGCGGTGAGTAGGGGTGGATCACCCACAGCTAGTAGAGTCCCATCTCTTACCCCTCAGCTCAAAGTTTGCAGAGCACTGTCTGGGCTGACAAGCACCGGCTTTGAAGGCTGGCGTAGATCCAAATCCCTACCTAGTGGTTCTTCCTTTGTGAAATGGGCATAACCACATCACCTACCTTATAGAGTTGCTATGCGGGTTAAAGGAGACCTTGCGTTTAAAGCGCTCGGCCAAACGCGGAATCTGCAAGATGTTCAGCAGATTTTGCTCTTCCTGCTGCGGGCGCCGGGCACCGGGGATTGAGGCCTCAGACGACTGAGTCTCAATTTTATTCTCAACAATTGGTTAAAGTTAGCGTCTGGACTGTGAGCCAGAGGAGGCGGACGCTCCACACCCTCCCTCCACCCCGGAACCCGGACAGGGCGCGGGGCTCGGAGGCGGGGCCCCAGAGTCCGCGGCCGGCGGCGGCTCTGCCTTCAGGCGTCCACCTCAATCTCCTCTTCTGCCAGGTGGGGCCCGGGGTCAGGCCGGCCGGGGGCTGGGGCGCCCCGGGGCAGCGCGAGGCGGCCCTGGACGTCGGGGGACAGCGCGCTCAGCGAGGCCACGTCTGCGCGCATCTCCTCCACGTCGCGCTTGAGCTTGGCGCGCCGGTTCTGGAACCATGTGACAACCTGTGCGTTGGCCAAACCGAGCCTCGCCGCCAGCCCGTCGCGCTCGGAAGGCGCCAGGTACTTCTGGAAGAGGAAGCGTCGCTCCAGCTCCAGCACCTGCTGCGCCGTGAACGCCGTGCGTGACTTTCGCCGTCTGCGGCCGGCGCGGCCAGGGCCCAGCGCACCGGGGGCGGAGCGGCCTGCGGGGATAGGGCGGGAATCAGGCTTCGGCCCGGAGGACAGCCTAGGGGTGGGTGCTCAAGCCCGGGCGGGGGAGGTGGAGGGAGAAGGTGGACGCGACCCAGAGCCGTGGTCCCTTACCCAACCGGGTGTCAGGCGGAGGTGGGAGTGGGGGACATAAAGTGGAACGGGCCACTTGGGTATGGAAGGCAGCAGGCTTGAGGGCATCCTGCGGAGGTCAGGGAATGGGAGCAGAGCGAGACAGGCCAGAGAAGAGCTGGCGCAGGGTCAGGCCATCTGGAGCGGAACCTTTGAGGCCTTCCGGAGCCCCAGGGAAGCTGCCTGTAGGCTGGGGCCGGCACCCTAGGCGGGCCCGACCGTGGTCAAAAGAGGGGCATGATGAGTGCAATAGGACCTGGACCATACCGTTCTCAAGACTCATGGGTCTGGGTCGTGATGGGCACTCTCGGTTTACACTTCTTTAATGACCCGGCACCTCCTCCTCGAGCCCCAAACGGAGGTATAGGGGATCAAAGGGTAAGGAGGGGCGAAGTCTGTAGTTCCCCCACCCTTGCCGCCCCAGGGACCTTCTGCTCCTGTGCCCTCTCCGGAAGAGAGCGGCGTGGAGCGGCGCGAGGTCACCGGAGAGGCCCGGGCCTCGCCTCCCAGACCTTTCTGCACCGCCCTTGCCCTAGCTCACTCGTTTACAGCCTCCGGCTCAGGCCTTTTGTCCCCTTCTCACAGGTCTCTCTGCCGTGATTGCCCCGCCTACAGCGAACCGACGCCCGGGTCACTCAGCTTTCGACAGACCGGCCCTGCCCCTCGGCGTTGGCGGTCTCCAGGAGCGGCCACGAAGCCTGGGAACTAATGGAGGGGAGGGGAGGAGCGGAGACGCAAGTCCCAGCACGTGGGTTGAGGGCAGGGGGCAGATTAGGGTGGCAGCCAGGGTGAACGAAGGTTCGAGACCGGGACCTGGAGGAGAGAGATGGGGAGAAGGCCAAGTCCAAGTGCGCGACCTTGCCGGCGCTATACCTTCAGAGGACTCCGGTGCGTGCCCGTCAAGTCCGCGGAAAGTTTTACTAGTCAGCTCCTCCAGCGCACACAGAGGCGACGGGGGCCCAGGGTTCCACTCTGGAAGCTGAGACGTAGAAGGTCCTCGGGCGACCATGCGCGGGCCCAGGATGTCTGCGATGCTGAATAGTGTCCGGGGTGGCCGGGGCTCGGGTCCCGAGCTCATGGCCGGTCGGGCTGTGGCGGTCCCGCCGCCGGCTGCGCTCGGCTCCGCAGCTGCCTGGGCCCCAGCGCGCGGCTCCCGATCTGGGCCCCCCGCCTCGGACCCGCCCCCCGCGCTGGGCCCGAGCCCCGGGTGCCCCTCCTCCTGAGCCCCCAACCCCCCCCCCCCCCCCCCCCGCTCGGGGCCGGTGGAGCCGGTAGATGTCACAGCAGCAGTATTTCTACAGGGTGGGGAGGCTCGGAGAGTCCCGAAACAACCTGCTGTAGCGGGCTGCCGACCTGCTCCGGTGCACATCCTGGCTGGACTCTCCCTGGACGGCCCCCGAGATTCTGCGTGCCACTGACTCCCCGTCAAGCCGCTGCTCTGGCTCATAAACTAGCCGGCAATAAAATTGCTTCCCCTGGCCCCAGCGGATGGGGATTTGCAAAATCCCAAGGAGGGAGAATCAGAGCTGACTGTTCTAGGATCTCCGATCCCTCCTAGGAAGGACCTCAGTCTCCCGACCTAGCCCCCGCGTCCCCGCCCCACCCCTGCGGAACGCTCTTAAAGAGGTCCGGGCGGCTGGAAGTTATTAGTGCGGCGCGAGGGGGCTGGGGGAACTCGAGACTTGGAAGGACCTGGCAGAGCGTCTGCAACCCCGGGGTAATGAGGATGCGATGTGGAAGCAAAGGCAGGTGAGTGGACTCCTCCTGCTCTCTGGACCCAGACAGGTCCACCAAGGCTCAGAGGCCCTGAGAAAGTCAAAACACATGAAGAAACGGAGGACACCTGGACCTCAGGAGAGAGGACACAGCAAATTAGCGCTCCTGCCTGGGCTGGGTCTTTGCCAGGGAAGACTGGCCTCCACAGTCACAGTCCATCTTTGCCTCCTTGTTAAGCTCCTGTCCTTCAAATAAGGGTTCTCCAGCCTGAGAAGCCCAGAAACCACCATGTAGGAGCAGCAAGGGGAAGGGCCACTGGTCCTCCCCAGAGAAAAGTGACTTGAAGCGCAGACTTCATGGACCCAGCCAGATCATGAGACAGAAACCCCTGCCAACTCAGCGACAAACTGTAAGGTCTGGGATATTCATTCCTATTTTATCTGTGTCCTTTTGCTTTTCTTCTACACCTACTCTAGTCCTGAGTGCTCACACCTGGGTGAGCACCCTGCAACACTCCTTTGTAGGAAGAAGGCAGCTCTGGGAGTGCTGCTTCATCAGTGGAGGCCCAACAAGGCAAGAGTTCTGTTCACACAAACACCCCAACAGCTAGGGGATTCACAGCCCCGAGGCAGTGAAGTCCCACCACTCTTGAGTTCACCATTCCTAAGGAACTCACCTCCACAGGATTCTTCTATTTTTTTTTTTTCCAATAGTGCCAAGAAGCCATCCCTCCTAGACTGTGTCATGTCACTCACCTCGGTAGATCTCTGCACCTCCCACCATTCGTGCAGTGAGCCTCTGTGCCTGTTCCCTGGGGCAAGTGGAGCCTGCAATAGAGGCACCCTAGAGTCCGGGAGATGGAAGGCACCCGGGCCAAAGACTCCTTAACAAGGAGAAGAAGGCACTTTGATAGTGAGGGTGAGGGAACCTCATGTGGCCTGAGGCACTGGCCTGGCCCACCAAACAAAGATGAAGAAACACAAGGACTCCTTGTTGGTCAGCCCTCTACCCTCCCCCTGACACACCCAGACACTCGCAGAGTACCCTCCTGGCAGCCTGAACAACACACTCTAGCCCAGTAGGCCACCGCTGGGGCAGAGAGCAGAGCCACACCACAGCAGAAAGCTGAGCTGCCTCAGGATCTTGTAAATTGGTTATTAATGGCGGGAGGTGGAGGGGGGCCAAGAGTGATCCTCTCTGCTGGAGGCCTCAGTCCTCAGAACCATCCTGGTGATTTAATCTCCATTTAAAGAGGGTCCCAGAAGGCTGCAGGAACTGCGGAACTCAGGTCCCAGGCTTGTTAGACACCTCAGACCTTTACTTACGCGACCTTCACTCATGCATCTTCTAAAAAGCTTTTAGGTCATCTCTTCCTCTGCTTTCAATTCCTAGTGTGTTTGTGGGGAGCGCCCTCTCTCCTGAGGGGCCTTTGCCTTCCTGCCCTTCTCTCTCTCCCGCCTATCTTCTCCCCCCAGTAACCAGGCTCAGGTAATGGGGTTGGACAAAAGGGTTGGGTGACCCCCATTTGGGGGACAAAAGGGAAGGAGAGAGTAGTAAAGGGAGGAGGCCACAGCAGAGCCCACTAAGATCAGCCCAGTGGCCAGGGAGCCAGGGACGTGTCCAGACAACGGTGGGGCCACAGGAGGGGACTTCTCCCAGCAAAGTCTCTGGAACCTGAGCTGGGAAGAAACCAGATCCACCGATGGGGGTAGGAGAAAGGTGAATGATTAATGAGGGAGATTAAGAGATGAAACCTGGGATCTGGGCTTGGGGGCGGGTGGGGTGAGGGAGTGGTTTGCAGTGCTCAGCTGCCTTGTAGGCTCTCCCACCCATACCTCCCACCCCAGGGTCCAACCCTTCTTGTCCTGGGCATTTCAGAGTGATTCCTAGATACTCACCTCTCCACCCCCTCCCCGCGGGTGAGCGTTTTTTCTCTCTCAGCATTCCCAAGCAACCCATCCTCATCTCCCACCTCCTCAATTCCCCTCACAATCCTTTCAGACATCCAGGGTCTTCCGCTCCTCCCGGTTGTGGAGCTCCCCACATTCCAACTTTCACTCCCCCAGGAAGACGCCTCCATTCCAATTTAAGGATGCCTTCTCACACTTCTGCTCCTCACCCTTTCAGATTTCCCCTTTCTTGCGGCCCCCACTTTCTCTGTCATTCCTTGATACCACACTTTTCCACCACCTTGACTGCCTCAGCTTTCCATCTGGTAGGTTCCTTGACCCAGGCCCACCAGACTGCTGGCATGGAGATATGCTCAATAAACCACCTTTAGTTTCGAGTTTCCCTCCCTGTGCATTCCTTTGAATTCTGTGAGTGTGGAGGGGCAACTGGGGATCCTCCAAAGAACCCCCTCAGGTGGAGAGTCACAGAGAGGTGCTCAGCCAGCCCTCCCCACCATCAGGGAGGTCCGTTAGCCAGGGGGAGGGGAGTGGAGTTTAGGGAGGAAACTCCAGGCAGCAGGGTGCGGGGCGGGGCAGCCGCCCGTCTTGGCCACTTCTGAGGTTGTTTTCTCTTTCATAAAACTTTGTTATGGAGTGAACCGACTCAGACACTTAACATTTTAGTTTCCTTTCTTCTAGGGCCGCCCTGTGAGCCCCTGCCAGCTCAACAAAGAACTCGGTGCGCCTGCTGCAGTTGCGTGTGTGCCATGCTGGGGGAGCAGCAGGATACTCAGACCCCCATCCTTGTCACAAACACACACACACACACACACACACCACACACACACACCCCAAGACCCACTACTGCCCCACTGCCATTGAAGTCCCTTTTCCTTCCTTTTGCCCACCCCTGATGTTGGCAGAGACTGGCAAGGCTGAGAGGAACTGGTCTCCCCTGTGCCAAAGGCGGGTGCAAATCTCATCAGTGCTACCTCCCCCCAGGTGAGGGTGGAGTGTGGAAAAGGGCTAAATGAGAAAGGACAGCAGGGGCAAGGGCCAGCTTGACCCAGTGGGTGAGGACTGATGCCTCTACCCGGAAGTGCTGTGAAGTCAAGGGCGCCCCAGGGCGCCCCAGGGAAGGCCAGCCCAGCTGCACCCTGGGACTGCCCCATGGCTGCCTCTTTGAATGCGACCTGTGCATTCTGAGTCACACAGCTCAAAGAGAACCCTGGGCTTGATTCTCCCCCGTGGTGCAGATAGCAGATAGTAACCTGAGTGACGGTGGGGGAGAGGGTCTGCGCAGTGCAGGCCAGGCAGAGTGGCAACGAACCCATAAACAGAGGAAAAGCAGTGCTCAGCTCAGCGCAGCTGGCCTGCATCAGCCACCTCAGGAAACAGAGATGGAGACGCACCATAGCTGCCTCTGCCCCCGCTGCTGACAGACGAAAAGAAGATTCTGCTGAGCTGGGGGTGAAGGGAGGCCACCGCTGCACCCCAGATCCAGGCCTGAGCACCTTCTGCTGGTCCTTGGCCTCAAGCCATGCACCGTTAAAAGCCTCATCCTGAGGCCTGGTCCCCAGGTCAGCCTTATCTTCTGACTTGGACCTCTTGATGCCAAGCTGCTCCCAAGCCGCAATCAGACTACTCCCTAACTCCTGCAGCTCCTTGGGGACCCTAAAGGCCCTCAGGAGCATTTCTACTCTATTTCCCCCTCAGCTCACACATCATTCCTTAAAAATGCCCTTTCAGGCACTAACCCCTTCAGAACAGCCTCACATGGCAAGCCTGAGTGGGTGATGGAGTCCCAGAAGAGATGGGGGGGGGCCCTGAGATAGATAAAATTAATCCCAAACATCAAGATATATACTGGTGTAGAGGCAGGCACAAAGAGGTGGGAAAAGCTTGGGTTCTGGCTTCCTGGAGAGTGGGTTTCCTGGAGGAAATGACACTTGGGCCTTGAGAGAACAGCCGAATACGGGGTGGGGGAGAGGCCCACTTCATTCTGAGGCCCACACATGGGACCCTGGGAATCCTGGATTCGGCCAGGCTGACTGTTCTGTAGTGTCCCCACCCTGGTCCTCACTGCCTGTCCATCACCTGAGGGCTGCTCCCTGCTCTCTGCAGTCTCCCCACATTGTGCTTTTCTCATTGTCTCCAAGCTTCATCTGTGTGGAGGGAAGGCCAGGTCCAGGGCACACTGGTTACCATGCTCAGGCCCCTCAAACCGCGCCCCCCCCACACCCCTGGCCCCTCTCAGGCTCTCTTAGGCAGCTCACATCATCTTCACAGTCCTCCTCCCCTAGGTCTTCTGCCATCACGTCTCTATCCCCGGAAGCTCCATGCTTTCAGCCCTCACCAGGCACAATGACCCCTTGGAATTCATGGAGTCAGACTTATAGTATAAGACGTAGGCTTTAAACCTGAGTTCTAGTAGGGACGCCTGGGTGGCTCAGCGGTTGAATGTCTGCCTTTGGCCCAGGGCATGATCCTGGAGTCACGGGATCGAGTCCCACATCGGGTTGCCTGCATGGAGCCTGCTTCTCCCTCTGCCTCTGTCTCTCTCTCTCGTGAATAAATAAATAGATCTTATGTAAATAAATAAATAAATCACAAACTTGAGTTTTGGCAACATTTATGCTGCCTTCTCCATCCCTCTTGTCCCAGATTCAGCCACAGCCCCTTAATTTCCTTCAGGAACTCCTTGCTTCCTCCTCCATCTGTCACTGTCCCAGTTGGGCAAGCTTCTGAATATCCTACTGAGAAGCCATACAACAGGGAGACTGGCGAGTTTATTTCCAGAGCCCAAGGCTCATGGCTGGGCTCCTACAGACACGGAATGTTTGCTGAATTAATAATCAAGGGAATTAACAGTCCACCTGCTTCCCTCTTGCTACTTGAAGCTACTTTTACTCTCCTGGACACTAGTTCCCTCTTCTCACCCTGGCTTCACCTTTTCCAGGGACCTGAAAGCCTACTGAATCCAGTATCTCCAACTCAACACCCTTGTGCTCCCTGTGTCCCACCCCTCAATTGTTTTTGTGCTTTAGATTCCTCCCACAGTGCAATTCTTTGAAATTTTCTTTAAAATATCACTTTCCTTCAGTCCCGCAGTGGCCACTATCCAACCCTAGGCCTACCCTCACCACTCCTAAATTAGGACACCTCCACTCAAGCCTGTAGTCCTATGCTACAACACTCAAGTACAGTGAGATCTCCCCTGCAAAAAGCCTTCCCTTCACCAAAAAAAAAAAAAAAAAAAAAAAAAAAAAAAGAGTTGGTATGGGTAACCTGGTTCCACTTAGCTCACCTTCTGAGTTTTACATGTGTAGGGTCCTCTACCCCTCTCCTTTGGCAATTCACTGAGGGACCACGGACATAGAGAGGCCCTCCTTCATGATGAAACTCAGAGGATTTCTGAGGGAAGCAGAACACAGAACAAAGCATGAGTATGTGGAAGGCAGGCAGGCAGGAAGAAAACAGATGCTTTTTTAGAGTTTTTATTTCAAAAAATAAAGCCGCAGTTAATTTCACATAAATATCTGGGGAGGGAAGGGGACAGGGATGTGGTGGGGGCTTGGCCCCTACCTCCTCTTCTCTTTCACACTGTATTGTAAAAGCAAAGGGGATGGCTAAGGAGAGAACAAGCAGAAGAAGCAGTCAGTGGAAGTGTTCTTACCTCAGGTGCCCCCTCAGCCCATCACTGCCCTGGGGACCACTGTGGCCCTGGCTTACCTTGCCGAACCAGCGGGAGAGCCATATCTGCTTCATGGTCATGTGATCTGGGAGAACTTCATTGTCAAAAAGGAGCTGTACCTAGGAGGGAGATGAAGGCATGGCTTTAGGAACTCCTCTTTCATGCGGGTCAAGAGCTACCTTGGTCCGCTACAGACTCTGTCCCTCCCTTTGAGCCCCCCTGTTCCCCCAAAAACCTCCCGTGGGAATACTCACATGCTGGGGATTTAGCATTAAGCGGTGACATAGGACCCTCCGGAGATGACGAACTTCGGCTCTAACAGAACATCGGACATATTTGTTCTGGGGATAGGGAGGGAAGGGAAGTGGACAAGGGTGTGTGAGGGAAGGGCCACAGGGAGGTGAGTCTCCTTAGAGAGGCCCTCCCCTCAGCCCCTCTCACCTGCAGGATGCTTTTATTCTTGTCTTTGCCAGAACTGGGGGAAACAGACACAGGTTAGTGAGTCTGATCTTCTCCCATCCCCCACCCGGAGCTAAGGTATACTCTCTTCAAGGGAACAGATGCTCCCTCACTTCTCACTCTCTCACCAAGCCCCACCCTGGCTCTGAGTCACTGACACTGTGACTCATGTGACTCATGTGACTCTGACAGCTCATGACCTGCCTCTTACCTCAGCCGCTCCAGGCAAAGGCTCAGCTGCTCATCATAGCGGTAGTAGTGGGCTTTAGAGTGGTCGAAGCTGCTGAAAGGGAGGCCGAGGTTGCTCAGGGCTGGCTCTAAGAAAGAGTAGTGAGGAAAAGTGGCACAGATCCCATATTCCTTTCTCCCCAGAGAGCAAAAGTGGGCAAAAGGAATGCTCGAGGGGCTTTACCTTACCCTCCTGCTGCCAAGGGACGGACATACCTTCCCCACTGGGTTGGGTGACCCGGTCCAAGCCTCGGGACTGGTAGAATTCTCGAATCCGTTTCTCTTCACCTAGAAGGGAACGAGTGGGAAATGAAGTATTAGCCCTCCCTCATACTTGGCCCTGGTGACTGTCAACCTCTTTACCCACACGATTCCCACCAAAGCCCTTGTCACCTCAGGTTGCCACCCAGCATCAGTCCTCTAGAGGCCCCTCAGAGTTGGGTTGGTCACTCACTGTCTTGTAAGCCAGGCACTAGCTTGTACACGATATCCTGCATGACCCGGTCTAGTTTGAGGTTGAGCAGTGGCTGTGTCTCGTGGATCTTGATGTTGCACATGGGGCAGTACTTACTGGTTTGGAGGTACTTCACAATACAACTCTTGCAGACTGCAGGGGAAAAAAAAAAAAAAAGCAGACTCTTAGGCCCTCTGGAAATCAGGTTCATGGGCTGAGTGGGGTGCCTGGATGGTTGGAGCAGGCAGCCAACAGTCTGGCAACCAGGTTGGTGAGGACTAGGGCCTGGAAGAACCAGCCAGGGTCCAGGGCACTCACAAGTATGAAGACACTCTGTGATGGTGGTAGCATCCACGAAGTAGCCAGCGCACAGGCAGCAGACGATGTGCTCATTCAGGTCTTTGATCTTTACTCGGACCTCCTCCTGCGGACCCACTCTCCGTCAGCGATTACCCCCTCCAATCCCAAATCATACGCCTTCCCAGCTGGGGAGATGCCTTTCATCATACCCCACGGCAAGCCTCGCACCCAGCGCGATCCACAGGGGATCTGCTCCCCGGAGCTGGAACTTCCCCTCCGCCCAGCAGGGGGCTCCGCACACAGCTGGGGCTCCCTTCACACCGACTACCCAGACCTTCCTTTCCCAGGGGAGACTACACGACGTGGGCGGCACAATGCGCAAGCGTCCTAGCTCGGAGTTTGGCAACCCGACCGCAATCGCGCAGGCGCATTGGGCACCCTGTCTCTGCGCAGGCGCACTGGGCGGCGGGCCAGCCACCGCCCGTCCTCTCTCCGGCCCCAGTTCGCACCGCTAGCCGACCACAGCAGTAACCCTGCCGCCCCTGCACCTCGTTCCGTAGTGGGTCCATCTTGTACACTGACTGGAGCTGGTTCCGAAGCCTCATCGCGATCGCAATCTGGCCCCCCTGAGGAGACGCCATCTTAAAGGCTGATCCCGGCCTGCCACTTCCGGTGCCGCCTGCGGGGCGGGACTTGTCGCCCAGTAACGAGGGCTTAGGTCTTTTCGGATTCGCTGACCCTTTGTAAGGCCCCGCCCACGTGCCTTTCTCCCCGTGTGCTCACCTGAGTCCCACTGGCCCCTCCCCCTCCTCAATCCGTAATTAGAGAGGGGGGTTGTGGAGAGAGTGTCCTATCTCATTGACGTCTTGTAGTAATCATCACAATAGACCCTACCCTACCGCAGGACTAACTTTTGGCGCCTGCGGAAGACTGCCCCCTTCTACCCCAAAGGGCCCAGCGGTCTCCGCCCGCTGCGACTCTGGGTCGTCGATCTCCGGTGACCACGACCCCGCTGAAGAAGCCCCTCCCGGGTCCTTTCCTCGTAATGTCGCCCTCGTCGGCTGACGCGTTCGCGATACGGAGCTTCATCCAGATGGCAGGCCTTCTCCCCGCTCCGCGGCGGGAGTTTCTCGGGGCTTTGCGGAGTCTCGGAGAGGGTGGCGGGGAGGGAGGGACCCCCAGGGACTTGGTAGTGATCTTATTCGGCCCCCCCTCCCATCCTCCCCTGCCGCCGGGGCTTGGGGGGGGCAGACCCTAGTTAATGATGATGATTCAATCATCGGCGCCTGCGGAGGCCTGGGACAGACTAATGCAGAGCAGATGCCGAAGGAGGAGGGGAGGAGGACTGAGACACCGCCGCACGGAGCCACGCCGAAGCAGCCAGTGCCTGCAGTAGCATAGGCCCTCCCCGTACTTGAGAAGGTCTCAGGAGCTCTAGACCTTGTACACCGCTACCCCTAGGTACTTCCAGTGCGATTAAAAACCAAGGATAAGTTTACTGTGAAGTATTAACATCAAGTACAGTGGGAGACTCGAAGGACAGATCCCAACGGAGACCACCAAAGGCTTTCTGGACGAAGTGGGACTTTGTGTGGGCACAATTTAGAGAATGGAAGGTGGGATGGGTGGATAAGAAGAGTGGTGGACATAGAAACGAACGGCAGGGATCCCTGGGTGGCGCAGCGGTTTGGCGCCTGCCTTTGGCCGGGGGCGCGATCCTGGAGACCCCGGATGGAATCCCACGTCGGGCTCCCGGTGCATGGAGCCTGCTTCTCCCTCTGCCTGTGTCTCTGCCTCTCTCTCTCTCTGACTATCATGAATAAATAAATAAAATCTTAAAACAAAAAAAAGAAAAAAGAAAGGCAGAGTGGAGGGGAATGACCAGAGGAACAGGAAAAGGGCCAAGGTGTGGATTTGAGAGTAGTGATAAAAGCAGGGCCTAATGGAGCCGGGACTCTAGCCTGAGGGCAATCCGGAGCTAGCTGACTTCTTTGAAGGGAGAACGTTACCCTATGAAAGAAACATTTTTTGCTCATTTGTCTTTGAGTTGTTGGGGGGATAAGCAGCAAGAAGTTATGAGGTTAGTGATTTTTCTTAAAATTTTTTTTTTATTATTTATGATAGTCACAGAGAGAGAGAAAGGCAGAGACACAGGCAGAGGGAGAAGCAGGCTCCATGCACCGGGAGCCCAATGTGGGACTCGATCCTGGGTCTCCAGGATCGCGCCCTGGGCCAAAGGCAGGCGCCAAACCGCTGCGCCACCCAGGGATCCCGGTTAGTGATTTTTTTTAATCAACCCCTTCTCACTACAGCCACTGCTTACCTCCCTGGTCCAAGATACCATCATCTGTCCTCTGGATGATTGATTGCAGTGGCTTCTTGTCTGCTTTCCTTGCTTCCACGTTTCCATATGAATAAAAAAGGATATAAGGAAAGTTTTTTGAGTTGATGGATGTGTTTATTATCTTGATTGTGATGGCTTCATGCGTGTACACATACACTTTTATATACTCCAATTACGTACAGTTTATTGTATGTTTTACCCTAAGAAGCATAAAATTTTAAGATCAGGCATCTTTTCCTTAACCTTCCAGTAGCTTCCCTTTTCAGAATAAAAGCCCAAATCCTTACAATATTTCAAGGTTTTGTGTGGTTCTCCAAGTCACTTAGTCTTTCCAGCCATGCTGGAACCCATACCATTGGTTACGGTATAACACCAAGATATACTTGCATTATCACCAATTGAAATGCTCAGATATCCAAATGGCTCCTTTCTTCCTCCAGGTCTTTACTCTGGGAGGCCTTCTGTGGTCACCTTTTTTTTTTTTCCTTCATAGCATTTGTTATTATTTAGTATATATTGTCTTGTGTTTTACCTGTCTCCCCCACTAGAATATAAGCTTTCTATAGCAAGGATTTTTTTTTTCTGTTGTGTCTGCAGCTCTATCTCCAGTGCCTAGTGCATGGTAGATGTTCAATCAAAATTTTCTGGATGAACAAACAAATGAATGTAGGTGGTAGTGTTGGCCTAGATTGGGTATTATCAGTGGAAATGGAAAGAAAGGGCTGCATATGAAACATTTCAAAGAAAAGCATAGGAGGAAATGAACGAGGAGCTTGGGAGAGGAGCATGTCCTCCAACGTGTTGGACTTTAAGGTGACTGCAGCAAAGGTGGGTGGAGCTGGCCAGAAGGTTAGGACAGAAGACTCTGGAACACAAGTGTCAGAGCCAAGGATGGAGGTCTCAGAGTTTTCTGAGTGGCTATAATAGATGGGACTATTAGAACGGCTAAAACCTTGAACGGACAGGGAAAGCTAAAGTCAGGGCACTGAGAATGCTCAGTCTCCAGTGGAAAAAGCAAAGTCAGTAGAGAAAAAATATAACCATTGACTATGAAAGAAACCAACAGGGATAGTTCAAGAAATAGTTGGTGATCAACAAAGCAAAACATGTCATAGAAGTCTTCAATAATGGACACTGGAGCTCTTTGAAAAAGAGTATAGTGAAGCCAAGTTGTAGTGGGTTAAAAGAATAAATGATGAGGGACGCCTGGCTGGCTCAGTTGGTAGAGCCTGCTACTCTTAATCTTGGGGTTGTGAGTTTGAGCCCCACACTGGGTGTAGATATTACTTTTAAAAAAACATTTTATTTATTTATTCATGAGGGACACAGAGAGAAAATGAGAGAGAGAGAGAGAGAGAGAGAGAGAGGTAGAGACACAGGCAGAGGGAGAAGCAGGCTCCATGCAGGGAGCCCGACCATGGGACTCAATCCCAGGACTCCAGAATCACGCCCTGGGCTAAAAGCAGGCGCTCAACTGCTGAGCCACCCAGGGATCCCTGATATTACTTTTTTTTTAAAAAAAAAGATTTTATTTATTTATTCATGAGAGACACACACACACAGAGGCAGAGACATAGGCAGAGAGAAAAGCAGGCTCCATGCAGGGAGCCCAATGTGGGACTTGATCCCGGGACTCCAGGATTACTCCCTGGGCTGAATGCAGAGGCTTAACCGCTGAGCCACCCAGAGGTCCCTAGATATTACTTTAAAATTAAAAGAATAAATATTCAGGAAGTAGAGGCAGTGGTTGTGCAGAGTACCAGGGAAAGGAAAAGCATAATCTCTCTTGAAGAGTCAGGCAAAGATTTTCATCCAGGTAAAAGAGACCTAAGACAGTTGGGGATAGGAAGTACTAAGCTAATGAGAGGAATGGGGACTGTGTGTGGGAAAGATACTGCACAAAATGCAGGAAGGAAGGGACAGCACAGGAGCACAGGCTGGGAATATGCCTCTTTCTGTGAAGCTGCAAGCTTGAAGTTCTGAAATGTTGAAGAGTTGGGGACCATATGCACACAGGACATGGTGAGACAGATGCAAAGGAACGTGTATGGCATCAGAGAGGTAGAGACCAGAGGAATTCCTAGGGCTGTGGCTGACGGAATTCCATACCCTCTGTTCTTGAAGTAGGGCACTATTTTTTTTTTTTGATTCCCCAGTAGATGTGTATACATTACTGGGTTTGTGACCATTCTCCTCCAAGGGTCAGCTGGGCAATCTCTGGGTGGCAGTGCCATCTATGCTGATCTCAAAAGGCAGGATGAACAGTCAGCAGGTATATAGGTCTGCATGATGCTGCCTCTTCCTCCCTCACTGATTCATTTAAGAAGGACGTATTCAGCCCAATTGGAGACACACTAGTGCCCACCCTTTCCTCAGAGGCCCACTCACTAGAGTGGGGAAAAGAACTGACAGATTCCTAACCCACAGGCCAGTCCCCTTCAGAGTCTTTATTTACTTTGCCCTCTCCCTAGGCTCTCTGTTCTCATTCAGGGGTCCAGCCCAAACTGCCTCTGGAGGTTTTCCCTGAACGGCAGAAGTTTCATGTCCCCAGCACCCCCACCTTTCTCTGCTGAGAAAGGGTGCTTAGGCTTCTGGGAAGGGCTAGGGGAGGTGATAATGTCTGACTTTCCCTCCAAAGATAACAACACAGCTGCCAAATTGGCGGGAGGCCTCCTGCTCCCCTTTCAGAGGGACTGTCAGCAGGGTGGGGAAAGGGCTGGAGAAATTGGATAGTGGAAAAATGGACATGAAATTGGGGGGGGGATGTCACATATCATTGATGCCAGCTGCCTCCCTCCTCCATGGTTCACCCTCTTCAGATTGAGGCCTCTGAGAATACTGAGGGAGGGCCTGGCGCCTTTAGTGGGGAGAGTCCATTTCTTTTCTTTATCTTCCTGCCCAGATGCCCAAATATCATTCCTAGTTCCCTGGAGAGAAAAGACCCCTCACCCTGCCCGAGGCGCAGGGCTGCCGCCCATCTGCTGGGGAGGAAGGAGAGGCAGAGTCTTTCCCAGGAGATCCTGGAGATTCATCTGGAAGACCCGGTGCTCCCAGGAAGACCCATCTACTAGACTTAGAAGGCATTTCGGTTTACACGGGTATCAGGCAGACTGGAGCTGAGCACCAGAGTGGGCTGGGGTCTAGGGGCGAGGGCTGGCACAGCAGGGCGGGGTCCTTTGGCTACCACGTGTCCAAGACAGGCTGAGCGGCTCATCCGTGCCCACCCGCCTCAGAATGGTAGGAACACCCCCCTCCCTGCGCCCAGTCTCACCGGCTCCGAGGCGCCAGGGCCCCCCCGGGGCCGGGGCGGGCCGGGGAAGGTAATGTAATTCCGACCCAGCTAACCCGATTATGGCGGCCTGCACCGGGCCGGGCGGCGGCGGGGGCGGGTCTAAGGCGCAGGGGCCCGCCGGGTCCGGGTCCCATCCCGCGAAGGACGCGGAGTTCACACACTCCCAGCTCCAGGGTCCCCGGCCGGAGGTCACAGGGTCATAGAGCGCCTCCAGTCTTGCCCCACCTCCCATCCCTGACACACTCCAGGCACAGTTTCTGGGGTTTGGGTGGTGAGAAGCGTCTGCGGGAAAATGAGGCGGCTGAGACCGCCGGAGGCTTCATTGAGGACCCACGTGTCGCCGGAGGCGATTTTGTCCTCCCGCCGTTGAGGGGGGAAATGTGTGAGAACTGACTTTCGAGGCGTAGAGTGGAGGCGCAGAGTCCCGCGCTGGTGGCCCCCCGTGGGGAGCGCAACGCCAGCCCCGAGCTCTCATCCGCCTTAGTCTTAGTCTTAGTCTGGGTTGAGCCAGGGCTCCGCGTTCACACCGATTTCAGAAAATCAAAATTCTAAGAAATACAAGTACTGGCGTTCCCGGAAGGAGGAGGTAGGGACCCCGGGGAGAGGCCGGGAGGTGCACCAGGACCGCCGGCCCAGAGTCGGCCCAGAGCCGTTTGTTCCCCGCCCTAGCCCACCAGACGCGCCCTGCTACCCCCTTCCCACACCTGTCCTCTTCCCGGGCCTCCAGCTCGCCGGCGCCGTTCCCAACCGCTTCCCATCGCAGCCAGGAAGCCACAACGAGATTTGGTCTTCGAGGACACTCAGGCAGGGGCCACAACGAATCTGGGAGTCGGCAGGCAGGACCCATCGCGAGGCGAAAAGTGGGGGCTCTGGGAGGAGGCACCTGTGAGGAAGCCGGTGAGGCCGAGGAAGCCCAAAGGCGGAGGCCGGCGAGGATGGAGTTGCTGTGCGCATCTCGCCTGACTCAGCGCGCAGCGGCCCAGGCTCTGGCCCCTCCCGTGCGGAGCCCGGTTTCTAACACCCTTGCCACCTCCCCCCTTACCCCCACCGTCCCCGCCCGCCAGTCGTCCCCGCGTTTGGCGCAAACAGGCGTCTCTTTCCCTTTAACGGGTCCGGCCCCGCCCCTGCCCTACCCCCACCCCCCACTGCCCACCCAGTGCTGATCTGTCAGTCACTGCCCCATCCCCAGCCGGCCAACCCTCTCCACCTCGGACTCGGGCAGAGGCCCCGGCAGCCCAGCGTCCATCTGCGCCTCAGCGACAGCAAGGGCGCTCCTGGGGTCCCCGCCGGTCGCGCTCCCCCGGGATGCGAGTCCCTGCGCCGACGTCCGGCAGAGGCCGGCACGGGCGCGGCTACTCCCCGTGCACAGGGATGAAGCTGTCCCGGGGGCCCCGGCGACCCGCAGCGGCCAGCTCCGCGGGCCCCTGAGGCCGCCGCCCCGAGCGCTCCGCTACTGGGCTCCCAGAGTTGCCTGGGGCGCCCTTCCCAACCGCCAAACCTCCAGTGGTCCTCCTTAGTCCCGGACCCATGGAGCCGGCGGTCCTGGCCTCGCACAACCTCCCGCACCACGAGCCAATCAGCTTTGGCATCGATCAGATCCTGAGCTGCCCGGAACCCCCCGGGAGCGGCCTAGGCCCGGGTCGCCCAGGCCAGGGCCATGGGGAGAGTGCGGCGTTCTCGGGTGGATTTCACGGAACCTCAAGCTACGGTCCCGCGGGTTCGCTGGCCCCGCTACCTGGCAGCTCCGGCATGGGCCCCGGCGGCGTGATCCGCGTCCCGGCGCATCGCCCGATGCCGGTGCCGCCTCCCGCGGGAGGCGCGCCAGCGGTGCCTGGACCCTCGGGCTTGGGCGGAGCCGGGGGCCTAGCGGGACTCACCTTCCCTTGGATGGACAGCGGCCGCCGCTTTGCCAAGGACCGACTCACGGGTGAGGTTGCCCGACCCTCCAGCGTCCTGCCCCACATTGACCCCTTTTCCTCATGTTGATCCTTCTGCTCCAACTCAAGTTCCCCGTACGCTCCCCGCCGGGATCATCCCAGGGGATGCTCCCCCAACATGCATCTCTTGGTCCTGATGCTGAGAGAGGCAATGGGGAGAGAGCTGCCGTCGAGGTCCGCGCCCTCCTTTGCAGTCTACTGTCCACATTGCGGGTAGGGCAGGGTGAAGTTCCGGGGGCCGTCTCTTCCTCACCCAAGGGGTTGGGCCATATCTTCCGAGGCCCTTTCTTGTCGGGAGGCCTTTGCCGATGCGGGGCCGGGCCGAGCTTGGGGCACCTAAAAGGGCCGCCCTGAAAGCCCTGCCCTGTTCTTTCTTCCTTTAGCCGCCCTCTCGCCCTTCTCCGGGACACGCCGCATAGGCCACCCCTACCAAAACCGGACCCCCCCGAAGCGGAAGAAGCCGCGCACGTCCTTCTCCCGCTCGCAGGTGCTGGAGCTGGAGCGGCGCTTCCTGCGCCAGAAGTACTTGGCCTCCGCCGAGAGGGCAGCGCTGGCCAAGGCCCTGCGCATGACCGACGCTCAAGTCAAGACTTGGTTCCAGAACCGGCGCACCAAGTGGCGGTGAGGCTCGGGGCGCGCGAGGGTTCGCGGACGGCGTCGAGGGGTGGCGCGGCGCGGCGCGGGCGGGCGGGCGAGGAACGGCGGGCCGGGCGGGGGACGACGAGGCGCGGGGCGGGCGAGGGCCGGGCGAGGGCCGGCCTCGCTGACCCCGAGTCTCCGCTCGCCCAGGCGCCAGACGGCCGAGGAGCGCGAGGCGGAGCGGCACCGCGCGGGCCGGCTGCTCCTGCACCTGCAGCAGGATGCGCTACCGCGGCCTCTGCGGCCGCCGCTGCCCCCAGACCCGCTCTGCCTGCACAACTCGTCGCTCTTCGCGCTGCAGAACCTGCAGCCCTGGGCCGAGGACAACAAGGTGGCTTCCGTGTCCGGGCTCGCCTCGGTGGTGTGAGCGGCTGCTGCCCGACCGGCCGAGAGCTCTTTAGCGGACCGAGGCGCCACGCGCAGCGCCGGGCCCAGGACCACGGAGCGCGCGGCTGACCACGCCGCGGTTCCGTGGTAGCGCTTGTGAGGAGGAGCCGGCTTTGAGGCTGTCGTCGAGGGTTTCTCGGCCACCGCGGGCCCCCAGGCTGGCGTTGCGAGGTTGCGCCGCGCCTTTAGACGTGGCCTTTCCCGCCATTTCCCACTAAACTGCGGTCGCACGGCGGCTGGAACCTGCGGAGCCGAGGAGGCGGGACTAGCAGTATGGTAGCCAATGAGGTGAGGGGAGGGGGCGGACTGGCCAATGGGAGCTGCTCTCCTGAGGACTCTGGATTCTTCGGAGGGTGGGTTGGAGCCGGGGTTCTGGACCCACAGAGCGGGCTAAAGGTGGTGCTGGGATGGGATGGCGGCAGCTCCCGCTGCCGGGGTCTGCACCAAACGTGGGACGGAAGGAAGACACCAGTGAGAGCGGAATAATGGAAGAGGTGCTGGAGGGCAAGAGTCTGACTGTGACAGGAACCAGAGAGTTATCCACACTGGGCATCTCTTTCTTCAATTGTAAAATAATCGCTAAGGACACCTTTCTGACTTTCAACCTCATGTTGACGTGTGTGTTCAACCCGCTAACTCCTTGAGTCGCACAACGCACTTGGGCGGCAGGCAAGACGGATATTTATACGCCTGATGAAAGAGAGAATCTAGGAACACTAATCTGGCTCTGGTCTCCCCTGGGGACAGAGAGGGGAAAGGGGGAAACAGTGGATAAAATTAATGGGCCCAATGGAGTTAGGGCTAGCAGAATATGGCAAATAACTAGGAATATTTAAGAAGAATCAAAGATAATTCCAAGGTTGGAAATGTAGAGGATCAGGAGATCAATGGTGTTGTGGATAATGAAGGGAAAATTGAAAGATCGGGGCAAGATCACTACAGGCAAAACTGAATGCTAGATCTAAAGAGAATACATTTTGGAAAAGTGCTTTCGGGGGAGGTTGGTTGACATCTGTATAGAAGTGGAGATAGAGGGCATCCCTGGGTGGCTCAGCGGTTTGGTGCCTGCCTTTGGTCCAGGGTGTGATCCTGGAGTCCCGTATCAAATCCCGTATCAGGTCCCGTATGGGGCTCCTGGCATGGAGCCTGCTTTTCCCTCTGTCTGTGTCTCTGCCTTTCTTTCTCTCTGTGTCTCTATGAATAAATAAATAGATAAAATCTTTAAAAAAAAAGTGTAGATGGAATGATGAGAACAGATAGACTCTCCAAGGAAAGAAACTCTGAGAAGGAAAGCAGCATTCTAAGGATTAAATCTTTCTTTCCACCAATTTCTTTTTTTTTTCTTTTAAGATTTTATTTATTTACTCATGAGACACACACACACACACACACAGGCAGAGACACAGGCAGAGGAAGAAGCAGGCTCCATGTAGGGAGCCCGACATGGGACTGGATCCTGGGTCTTCAGGATCAGCCTGATGTGGGACTCCACCACAGGACCCTGGGATCACTACAGGACCTGAAGGCAGACACTCAGCTGCTGAGCCACCCAGGTGCCCCCAAAATTAGTATTTTAAAGGAAGAAAAGGGAAAGGAGTACCCAGCTGGAAAGAAAGGAAAGCATGATGTCCCCAAGGTTATTAGAAAAGCTTCAGCATGCTGGTGGGCCAGGGGCTGCTGGGAAGCTTGTTGGTGGAAAGTTGAGAGTTTGGGGATGGCTGCAATAGCCTTGAGGTTTAAGGAGTGGATCTAAGTTGTATGTGGGGGAAAAAAGGGAAGATTTTGTCTGATTTCTTATAGCATTCTCATTCTTCCTCCTCCGTTGGCGGGAGTAAGATAGAGGGAAGTGATCTTTGGGCAGGGTCAGAGACCAACTATAGTCAAACTACACATTTTTCTGGGTTAGTGTCACCTAGGTTAGTCATACTGCAAAGGCTCGACCACAGATGGGAACCAGGCAAGAGCGTTTTGCTAGAGGAGCTGGTAGATACTGTGTCATGTCTAATTCCTGGATGTTGTATATGCTGCTGCAGAACCAAACTCAAATTTGGCACCATAGGGAAAGACCTTTTATAAATCAAAACGAAGCACACAGAGTCGGGTTTGGTATGAGCTGGGGGTTTAGGGGGCATATCAGTCATTCTCTAATAAATAGAACAAGGCTAAGGAAAGGGTACAACCTTATGTATCCTGTGGCTTATCCAATTTCCTCTATTTTCAGTCCACCATTTCTTGAGACTCAGGTTCCAGGATTTACATTGGATCCTAACCTTTGGCCTTCTAAATCTGGCTGGCTGCCTTGGTGCTAGCCTGAGGGAGGATCTAATGCCTTGAGATGAGCTCAGTTCCATTCCTTAGGCAGGTCACTGCAGGACACAGGCATCTCCAAACTCTTGGGTGGAGGGTGATTCACTCTCTATTGAAGAATCTGTCATTTCTTCTCTCAGCTCATTCAAGAGGTCTCTGCTCTCACTGGGAGGCAAGTTACTCAGGAAGTAGGGAGGGGCCAACTCTACCAGCCTGACAGAGAGAGTCACAGTTAGATGATTTCTGCATCCTCTCTTATAATGCAGATTTTTAAATTTTTTTAAAAATTTTTATGATAGTCACACAGAGAGAGAGAGAGAGAGGCAGAGACACAGGCAGAGGGAGAAGCAGGCTCCATGCACGGGGAGCCCGACGTGGGATTCAATCCCGGGTCTCCGGGATCGCGCCCTGGGCCAAAGGCAGGCGCTAAACCGCTGTGCCACCCAGGGAGCCTAATGCAGATTTTTAAACTTCTTCCCATCCCTTCCACAAAACCTGTCCCCTCAAATCACTTGTCACTACAAAGCACTAAGATAATCCTCTTCTCCTCAAGGCTCTCTAACTCCCCATCTATAATTATAGCCCCAAGAGGAGGAATGGGCAGTCTAAGAGGGGGTGTCAGGGAACTCACATCTGTGGTTGAATCTCAGAAACAATGGAAAGGCAGTTGTCTTTGGAAATGGAGAAACTGTGGTAAAGCACCCAGGGCGGAGATCTGGCCGGAGACCTGCGGCTTCGGTAGCAGCAGTACGGGGAGAGCTGGGCCACATGCTTATGTGTCAGGAGCAGGTAATTTCCAGTTCCATCTGTGTCTCGGGCCACCTCATTGAAAAATATAGTGAAAGAGTAAGTAAAGGAGAAGAGAAAGATAGTAGAAAAGAGAAAAAGGGATCTGAGAAAGAATTAGGAAGGGTGGTGTGAGTATTAAAAGTAAAGAATCATCTCTAGGTTAGAACCCCTATCATTTGGCCTGCACCCCAACACCTCAAAGGAAAAGTTTCTTCTGGTTCTAAAAAAATCCTTTGAAGGATCACCTTGGACCATAATTTCAGAGGTGGCATATCAATTTTTGATCCTTCTGCTTTCTGCTCCTTTTATGACCTTCACCCCAACTCTTTCCCCTAACCTTAAGGAAGTATCCTGACACCAGTGCTTTCTGAAGGTCTCTGCGATTCTGCTCAGAGCCAAAGGCTGGCTGGGACAAGGGAAGCTCAATTTGTTGCATGAGTTCTAGGAGTTCGCCTCGAAGTTTCTGGGCTTGGCACAGTGCTGCCCAGTTTAACCCCCGAGCCTGGCACCAAGCCTCTTCTGCTCCACCTAAAAGAGGAAAGGGAACAGCTGCAGCTACAGAGAGACCTCCAAGAGAACTCAGTCCTTAGCCAAAGGGACTCCTCCTGGGCATAGAGATCTGCCAGCTGGTTGCACACTATTTCCCCTCTTTGAAAATCTGGGATTTTATAAGAAGATGCAGAGTGGGTTACTCACTCTGTATAAAGGCTTCATACACCTGAATCAGAGAACTGTGGTCGCCATCTGCGTGTTCCAGGGCCCGACGCAAGGCAGCTTCTTCTGCAGAGAGTGGAGGATGGGTAAATCCAGGAGCAGCTGGAAGCAGAAGAGAGGAAGGTCATTTTGGGGAATGAGAAATGATAGCAGTACAGAAGAGAGGGTGAAAAGGCAGGAAGTGTCACTCTGGGAAATTTATTCAAAAGCCATGGATAACTTCTAGGTGCTTTGCACTTTATTAGACTTTGAAGATAAATAAATGAAAGATAGTCTCTGCCCTCAAGTAGCTTAGAGTCTGGTGGGAGACATAAGCAAACTTGATCAGCACAACAGGTGTGTGGGCCAATATTTGAAGTTTTATTAGGAATTACTTCTCAGTAGAGAAGGGGCAGGGAGAATCTGAACTGTGGACATGGCAAGGAACAAAAATTAGTAGCATAGCCTGTTTGGAGAACTGCAAGCATGTAGTAAGGCTGGATGTGTTGTGCCAAGGAGTTCACATTCTGTCTAGAAGATAAAGGATAGCTGTTGAAGAAAGAGAGTCCAAATGTTTAAAGAAGCTTACTTGACAAGTTAGGAGGCTAAAGGAATCCAGGGTGAGTGGTGGTGAGGGTCTAACGTTGGCATGGAGAGCAAGTATGGAAACAAACAGATGAATTAAAAAAACATTTAGGAGATAAAAGAAAGAACCTGGAGAAAGATCAGTCTAGAATGATGGTAGTGGAGCTGCAGAGACGATTGTATGATTTTGTGATGGTGGTAAGGAAATAGTTTAAGCAAGTGCTTGAGTTCTGTTCTGGACTGGGGTCCTGAAGACAATTCTGATAATGTCCATCAGGAATCAGATATATAAATCTAAGATTCAGAAGAATGGTATTGGCAAGGGATACAAGGCTTGGAAATTTTAAGTGTAAAGATGGTACTTGAGGCTATGGGTGGGTGTGCATGAATTTGCTCAGAAAGTTCAAGGAATGAGAAGTCAAAAGGGGCAAGGATGGAACTCAGAGGTCTGATTTACAGTGGATGAGTGGAGGACACAGTGCCAGGCGAGAGATGAAGAGAACAGAAGAACAGCCAGGGAAGTGGGATGAAAACCTGGAGGAGGGAGTCAGAGAGGTTTAGGGAGGGGATGGTTTCAAGGTGGGAGTGGTTGGCATTTTCAAGTGTCAGAAGGTCATAAAGAATAAGGACTCAGAAGTGTTCAGCAGGTTCAGCCTTGGGTCTATTGGTCCGGTAGGTCAGTCGGTCAGGGTGGGCATAATGGTGGGGGGAGGTCACTACGGAGCTGGGAGATTTGTCAGTGTTGTTGCGGGCCCGAGGCTGGTAAGGAGTGGGTGGGAACACACTGGACAGACTGGGATAGAGGTGATTCTGTCGAGCTGTAGGGGAGTAGAGGGGTGGAGGGAGAGGGCTGTAGAGCTTTAGTAATAACAGGAGAGATTTGGGCATGTTGGAGGCAAGAACCGGCGTTGGGAAAAGGCTATCAGGACAGGAGAGGGGTAACAGCGTAAAGCTGTTTTTTGGGGAACTGTAAGGGCTCTTTAGGGAAAGAGCTAGCCTTTGGAGGCCAGAACACCTGAAAGGGCTGGGAAGGACTGAAGTAGCCACATGTAGATACAGAGAGAGGAGTGATTAATACCAGTGAGCATGGCGGCAAGGGTGAGCATCTCATCCACACAGTCAAACTCGCAGGAGGCCAGCAGGGCTTTGGCCAACTCAGGGGGCAGGGGGAACTCTGATAGGATGACTCCCAGGTCTGACAGGTTCCCATCATCATCCAGAGCTGCCAGATAGTCTAAGTCTTCCAGGGCCTGCATCAGTGCTTCTGGAGCTGGTGAGGAAATAGAGCTGCTAGGACAGGAAATAGAGCTGCTAGGACAGGAAGTCTCAGAGACTGGAGGTCAGGAGGCAGGACTTGGGCAGGACAGGGGCTCACCAGGGCGGTCCAAGAAGTGACACTCCCCTGGCTCTGCAATCTGTCTCCTCTTTAAAAGTAACACCATGGTGCTCAGATTCTCTTCACATACCCTGGGTGGGGGCAGTGGGGGTGCCTCTAGTTCTAGGAAGGACTCAGGATATAGGCAGATGCAGGACCCTGAGGGGAGAAAGAGCTGAGAAAGATCTTGTAGATTTCTTAGGGTTTGCGTGTGGTGACTCTTCCTGTTTGATCTCAGTAAGGCCAAATGCTCTTACCTGGTGGGATTCCTCTTGCCCGTAGTCTTCTTGCCTCTCCCTGACACCTGCTGATTGGTCTCAACACTTGGGATTCTGCTCGGATCTGAGGATTGTACACCTGTCACCACCCCCCAACCAAGGCCAAGACAGATCAGAGTGGGCCACTTCTATCTTTAGCCCACTTATCCCCCCCATCTCTCTCACTCACACTTCGAAGCTCCAGTCCTGAGTCAATGACATGTCGGATAGAAGGGAGGGAGAAGGAGAAGTCAGCCAGCCAGTGAGTGACCACGACCTTTCGGGCACCCAAGTCTATGTCCTCGTATGCAGCCTGAACAGCTGGACCATGTCCTGGGTGAAGGGGCAGCACTCGTGGTGGAGGCCCTCTGAGAGCCAAGGGCTCCACCTCTCTGGACAAGGATTCACAGCACTGCAAAATTTCCTGAAGAGAGGGGTGGGGCATTATGGCAATTCTCACCTTTTTTTGGTGACAAACCCCTTTGAAAAACTGATGAGAGCTAGGGCTTTTCACTCTGAAAAAATGCACATACTCCCATAAAGTTATTATAATTTCAGGAATTGACTGAGCCACAGTCTCTGCATTAGATGGATTCAAAAAAGGGTAGACCTCTTTACCCTGAAATCTTTGAGTTTTTCCTAAGGATTCCAGCATAGTAAATACTACAACTCCAATGTTCTGAACAAGCATTGCTCCAACTCCCCCAGGAAAGGAAGGTGGAATACATGAGAACCTCCTTCTGCAGCCCATTTTTACCTCCTCACTGGGCAGGTATACTAGCACATCTCCTGGAGCCTCCTTCGCACACAATTCAAGCACAGCTTGGCAGGCAGCTTCCACTCGATCAGTAGGGACAATGTCCCTGTATACAGGAGTGGGACATGCGCCAGGCCCTCTGGGTACATGCACGATAGTTGGATTGCCCCAGAAGGCTTGGAGCTTAGGTTCAAGGGCAGGGTCAGTAACCACAACCACTCTGGAGTCTCCTGGAAGATTTCCCAGCTTGGCATTTCGCAGTAGCCCCTGGAGCAGATCTGAGGCCACTGACCGCTCTTGAGCCTCATCCAGGACCAGCACACCCCAGGCTCCAGTGCCCCGGGTTGAGGCCACCTCCTGTAGAAGCAGCCTGTCCCAGCAAAACCTGTTGACATTGGCAGTGGGTAGAGGAGTCAGTGTGGACACTGAACATCTCTAGAAGTCCAGGGGAACATCTTCTCATAGGGCCTAGATTTTAGATTTTTCTGATTTGGGGTCAGAAAAAGACTGTGAACCCATATTGAGACCCACGACCTTAATGATGACACTTTTTCACAAGCTATACTCCAGCTGGGAAAGTGAGACTCATGATGAGGGTGGGGTGGACTATCTAAGGTCCCTGGCTGGGTTTAAGGGCTTAATTCAGCCTGTGTCATGTGTGATCTAAAGCTGGGCTGAGGGAGGGTTTGGTGAGATGTCAGAGGACTGGGCTTGTTTTCTATTGGGTAAGGGAAATTAGACTTGGGTCAGGCCTGCAAGAGGCCTCACCTGAGCAGGGTGTCTGGCCCAGTGCAGTCCTCCTGGGGAATGCTATATCCAACCTCTTGACCCAGGGTTAGGTCCATCTCATCAGCAACCCGCACGGCCAGGCTCAGGGCTGCCAGAGGGTAGGGCTGAGTGACAGTTACTCGGCCTTCCTTGAACCCCCTGGCCAGTGCAAACTCTGCACACCACTGAGGAATCTGGGATAGGAATAGGAAAGGACAGTCAGCGAGATGCAGGACTTCAGTCAGAAGTGCAGGGGGAGCTGTGGCCATTCTCATGTGGGGAGTCCCCTGGTCCTTCACCAGCCACCCTGGGGTCAGTCTAACCGGTCACCCTTTGACCACTCCCCTATAACCCCATGCAGCCCAATCCCCACCTTGCCCTTGGAAGGACCAGTTCTCTGGTCCCTCCCTTTGTCTACTCCCAGAATCTCCCCCACCTGGGTGCTCTTGCCAGAACCAGGCTCTCCAGACACCAGCACCACTCCACTGGGGCTACTCTCCAATTGCTCCAAGAAGATAAAGCGAGCAGCCCAGATGGGTAAGGCTCGGCGCTGTTCAAGCAGCTTGTAGTAGCGGGAAGAGAAGGGGAGCCCATCAAAGGGGTTCACAGCCAATTCAGACTCCCCGGGGCTTGGGCCAGACTCCTCTGCCAGCCCAAGAAGCTGAGAGGCCATGGTAGCTGACTGGCAGTACCTACAGAAGGCAGGGCAGTGATTAAGGCCTCGTATTAAATGACTGACACCAACTTCCCACCCTCAATCCCTAACTTGTACCCTCAGGTGGTAATGCGCTGGGGTCCATCCTTCCCAGCATTTCTTGGCTGCAGGAAACAGTGGAGACATGAATCTGAAGGTAAGGGACTATCAAAAGTGGACTATTAACCTGTAGTCAGGTAGTAAAAATCCAATGGCTAACACAGGGGGCATCTGGGGCAGCAGGAATTACGGTAACCCATGGAAAGGTCCCGAGGGGAAAAGGATAAAAAGATAAAGACTACGAGGAAAGCAGCAGGAACCTGAGAGCAGGGCCACACGGATCCTGGAGTCAAACCTGCTTGCAGCTCTGAGACGTGTCAGGATGGCAGCCAGGTCCAGACCTATCCAGCCAGTCACCACGGACCCAGACACACCCAGACCCAAGAAAAGTACAAAGGTAAATTCCGGCTCCACCCCTCCACTACGGGCCTTGGCTGAAACAGGAATTCTCAAGACTGGTTTGGGGGTGGGGCCATTCGCTCCACCTTATTTAATCGGCCAGAAGCCTATGGAAAACAGGTTCCAGACATCCCAAGGAGCATGTGTACTCTACACACAAAGTACATAGCGCTTGTTAGTGAAAGGCATTTTGGGACTTGTAGTTTTGCAGCTGTTTCTTCAACAAAGCTGGGCTGAACACTGGTGCCGCTGGTCTTCGGTTCAGTTACACTTCCATGATATCACTTATCTCTTGACACGAAGGCATGATTTCAACCACTTCTCACAAACCCACAAGGAGGCTCCCAACCCTGTTCCCCCCATCCAAGGGAAAAGGAACCTGCTCGGTGGGTTTTTGAGACCCAGAGAGGGAACAGAGACCTTGAGTGAAAACCCTGAATTTAATGTGATTTTGGGGGGAGCCCCATCCCTCCCTTTTTACCACCCACCCTTCCAGCCAGTTGTAAGTGGGGTGAGGGCTGCCCCCAGTCTCCGTCCTGCGGCTCTGGGTGCCATCCTGTGCTCAGTCAGCCTCCTGGGCCTGTCTCTCTCTGAATCTCCTGTGAGACATAGGAAGAAGACGGTGTATGGGCTTTGCCCTATTAGCCCTTTAATTAGCTCTCTTCTCCAGCCTGCCCCTTCCTACCCACTGTCCTCTAGGCCCCTCACCTTCTTGCATATTCATAGAGTGCCTGCTTTCGCTCCTGTAGGCTCTCCTGCCGGGCCCAAGAGGACTTGGCAAATGTGAGGGCTGTGGGCTGAGGGGTCACCGGGCCAGAGCTGGGGAACTGAGGTGATCACAATGTCAGAGGGCTTGCGAAGTCATCATCATTAAACACGCATCGAATGCCTACTTTGCAAGAGAGGCACTGTGCTAGGGTCTCAGGATCAAAAAAGAGACATCAAGAATAGGGAGTATGCAGACTGCCCATCCCAGCACTAGTCCTAGACCTAACCATTTCCTCTGTCTCACCTTGGGGGCGGAGACTGTGGGAAGGGACTGGGTCCCTTCAGTGATATCTTCAGGCATGAACGCTACAGCTCCCTCAAGCAGATTAGTGATGGTCAAGTCTACACAGCCAGTTCTGGCTGGGGAAAAGGGAAGAGAGAAGAACGGAGTCTGTTTCCCTGCTCACCTTCTCCCCTCACCACCCACTTTTCCTCTCTGTGCCTGTCTCCTGTGTGAGGCTACCCTTTCCCATACCCAGGTCTCTCTGGATGACGCCCAGTGGCACATGGGGTAAAACCTCCTTGACTCTCTGAGCCAGAGCTGCCAGCTGCACATCAGGAGAAGGGCCAGGGGAGGGAGGGAAAGAAGACTGGGCTGCAAAAAAGAAATCCGAAACATGGTGAGTGGAGAACTGGGAGGAAGGAGAAGCTGACTAGCACAGGAATAGGAAGGGAATCACAATAGGCTGAGAAAACCCAAAAAACTTTGTGTACAGAGACCACATACCTGACTGAGGGCGCAACCTGGGGTGTCTTTGTCGTTTCATGTGCTCTGCTTTGTCTGCTGGAGTGAGTCGTGTCCCTGTCTGGCCTAATTCTTTGGCCACCAGCTAGGGAGAATTAGAAGGTTGGAACTGTCAAGGTCTCAAGACTTCCTCCTCCTACCCTTAAGGAAAAAACCCACCTCACCCTGCCTGTGTACCCTACCACCTGTTGTACACGGACAGCAAACTCCTCATTCCCCTCTCCAAGCTGGCGATGAACAGGCGGGAGCCACCTGAAAAAAAAGAAATTCCAGGACCATGTTGAGTGTGCCTGGGTTAGAGGCTTTCACCCTCTCCCCCACTTTGATACTTATTCATGGAACAGTTGTGATCACAGTGGGGAGATAGTAAACACTTTGTATAGCTTCTGTTATAGAACCGTGATACTAAAAGATCTACAAATGAACAGGGAAGAGGCAACTTCCCTGACCCTGAGGTGAGTTCCTCCCAGGCACCAAAAAGTAAAGGCAGTTAATACCTTACTTGATACACCGTGAAAGGGACGAAGAGTGACCACAGCAGTTCTGAGACCCAGGAGGCATCGGACACCGTCTAGAGGGAGGGCATGAAGTGAGGTCTAAGCCTAGGCCAGCAGTGAGAAACTTACCCTCCAAGCCCCAGAGATTCCCTGTTCAACACACACTCACCACAGAGACTAGGGGTCTCTGGACTCGCAGGGTAAGAGGTTGTACCACATCCTGAATAGAAAATGGCCAGGAACTGGAAGACGGAAGAGACAGTAGGATGGGATTCTAGCCAGCCTGTCAGCACCTGACTCAGAACAGAAAACTGTTAAACTGCACGAGGAGGTAAATAAAGAATAAAGAGATATAAGGGGTAAAGAACTAAGAGCAAACAGAAAAGATATCAACTAGGACGGAGAAAGTAGGGCTGAAAATTGTGAAAAATCAAGGGCCCCCAAGCCTGACCACCTACCCAGCTGGAGACCGATACCTGTGCTCACCCACCTGAAGCGCAGGAGCCCCTCCCGGCCATTGGTGGCCTCTTCCTCAGGGAATAGCAGCAGAGGGGTGGGGGGAAGCCTCGTGGAAGCACAGAATCTCTTGAGTGACTCCACCAACTCCCCCCGCCCATCCATCTCCATGAAGCCCCGAGACCAGCACACAAAACTTGGGGGACTATTGAGTAGAGGCTGGGAATCGAGAAGAGAGAAAGCAAGAAAAGAATATTGGGAAGTGAGAAAAACTGACATCTATGGTACAGAAGCGGGATTAGGGGTAAGCCTCAGTATTTCGTGGTCCCCAAGGGAAACCCGGGCGGGCTAAGGGGAGCCTCCAGCTGGGCCCCAGGGAACCGCCCCGTAGAGCTCTCGGCTTTGTCCCCCACTCACGGTGCTACAGCTGGTGAGCAAGTTGACTATGTTATGGTCGAAAGGTGTCACGTGGTTGGAAATGAGGACCCTGACGCGGTGATCCCGGAGTCCGGAGTTCTCCTGCCGGGCCACGAGCCCCAGCACCGCACACATGGTCCGCACCACGAACCTGGGGACGCGGGCGGTGGTGACTCCACGGCCTCCGGCCGGGCCCAGCCCAGACCTTCCCGGGACCCCCAGGTCGTTACCTGCGAAGGACACTGTCCGGTAGAGCGCAGCTGACCAGGAAGACGTGGATCCCAAGAAAGAGGCGCAGGACAAGGAGGCAGAACCCGACGGGAGCATAGAGCAGCAGCGCGAGGAGCAGGAAGCCGTCACCCGGGAGCCTGGGGGCGAAAGGCGGGGTGATCGGGCGCCGGAGGCCGAGTGGACGCGGGAGCCGGCCTCTTTCCGCCAGGGCTCTTACCGGTGAGAGTCAAAGAGCCGCTCCGGCCCCAGCGCCGGGGAAGGATCCATCGCGGGTGCTTTAGAGCTCTCCGGACGCCGCCGCCATCTTCGCGCCCGGCCGCAGGGGCTCCTGGGAAGGCGGAGTCTTCGGGCATCCGCCCAGGGTGCGGGCACTCGAAATCTTGAAGCGCCCCGGAAGGGCTAGCGGTCCCAGCATGCCTCGCGGGCCCTTGGGCCACCTAGGAACTCGCGTCCCGCGGGGACCACAATTCCCGGCATTCATGGGGCGGGGGCGGAGTCGGCCTCCCGGAATCCTGGGTCCCGGCATGCACTTCTGGAGGACTTCAGGTACCGGCGTGCCCCGCGTCCCTCCATCCGCCACCTCGCGTCCAGGGCGCCGCCTCTGTGTAGGGCGGGCGAGGAGGCAGTCGAGGCGGAGCTGATGGCTGCACTGAGGGCGGGGCGGGGTGCAGCCTGGAACCTCCGGGGATGGCGGGCTTTGGGGGGGGTTCACTCGGGGAAGGGACCCCTGCTGACCCCTGACCTCCGGGCCTTGCTGACGTCAGGAATTCCTGACCCTCGGGCCCGAGTGACTTATGGGACCCCCAGCCTCCGGGCCCGGTGGTCTGTGGGGGTCCCTGAACCACGGACGTGTCTGACGTCGAGGACTTCGGATTCCCGAGCATGGCTGGCTGTAGGGACCCCAGATCCCAGGACCCAGGAGGGCTCAGGGACCCCTGGAACCCGTCCGCGTATATGGCTGGCGGTGGCGCTGGGCGCTGGGGGGGCAGTGCTGTTGTTATTGTGGGGCGGGGGGCGGGGTCCCCCAGCGGTCCTCGCCTCGGTCCTTGGCTCGCCGCCCAGCTCTCCCCGGAGCCAGTACAACTTCATCGCAGACGTGGTGGAGAAGACAGCACCTGCCGTGGTTTATATCGAGATCTTGGGCCGGTAACGGTGGGGAAGGCAGGAGGCACCAAGCCGCGGGCTAGAGGGCGGAGGAGCCGGGGTGTGAGCCTCCCTGCATCCTTGCTTCTCACCCCCACCCCCTCCAGGCACCCTTTCTCTGGCCGCGAAGTCCCTATCTCGAATGGCTCAGGATTCGTGGTGGCTGCCGACGGGCTCATCGTAACCAACGCTCATGTGGTGGCAGATCGGCGCCGGGTCCGTGTGAGGCTGCTCAGCGGCGACACATATGAGGCCGTGGTCACAGCTGTGGATCCTGTGGCAGACATTGCGACGCTAAGGATTCAGACTAAGGTGGGGGCTGAGCAGGCTGGGTCTGGTTGGGGCTGTGAATTTGCTCACATCTTCAGATGACAGGTCTCTTACACCCATTCTCTCTCAGGAGCCTCTCCCCACACTACCCCTGGGACGCTCAGCTGATGTCCGGCAAGGGGAGTTTGTTGTTGCCATGGGAAGTCCCTTTGCACTGCAGAACACGATCACTTCTGGCATTGTCAGCTCTGCTCAGCGTCCAGCCAGAGACCTGGGCCTCCCCCAAACCAATGTGGAATACATCCAGACTGATGCAGCTATTGATGTGCGTTCTGATATAAGAGAAATGACAAACTAGGTTGGGGGTTGGGGGAAAGGCTGTGTGGTACAGGCACCAACTGTGATAGATGGCGGATGAGCCTGTATACAGAGGTTGGGCTGCAAATATGTGACTACTCAGGTTGGGCTGGGAAAGGAGAGAATTTGGAAAAAGTGCCTACATCCTGGTCATGCCTCCAGGCATAGAGTTCCTGGATCTCTTCCATATTTTCTCCTTGTCCTGCAGTTTGGAAACTCTGGAGGTCCTCTGGTTAACCTGGTGAGTGGGACATCCTTCTTTCCAAGAATCCCTGCCCCAGGTCAGTGTGAGAATGGGTGTGCTTCCTCTAATTCAACGATGTTTGGTCAAGTTTCTAAGCAGCCTCCTGTTGGCTATCTCCCAAAATCCAACCAGGTCTCCCCAGTTCCCTCATTCTCCCTGCTACTCTTGTTCAGGGCTAGGGATTAGTGGGCTCTGTTCCTGCAGGATGGGGAGGTGATTGGAGTGAATACTATGAAGGTCACAGCTGGAATCTCCTTTGCCATCCCTTCTGATCGCCTTCGAGAGTTTCTGCATCGTGGGGAAAAGAAGAGTGAGCCTGGCTTAGCGGGGAAGAAATTACTTTGAGTGGTGGGAAGGGCATTCATTTGTGCTTTGCTGGAGAGGGGTTGTCTACTGGGAGGAAAGGGAGGGGAAGGAAGGATGTAACTGGGTGGGGCTCATTTGTCCCTCTATCACAGATTCCTGGTTTGGAATCAGTGGGTCCCAGCGCCGCTACATTGGAGTGATGATGCTGACCCTGACTCCCAGGTACGAGCTTTGGGGGTAGTGACCTGTAGGACCACCAGTATATTCAGTGGTGGGCAAGTGGCACTTCTGTTGGGCTTTGTTCTCAGTTTTATCTTTATCTAAGATAAGTTGCCCACACTAGGAGCTATCAGAACAGCTATTCTCATGATCTTGACTTTCTCACTCCAATCCCTCTTGTACGCCTGCTACCAGATTGATTTCATCCTGTTACTGCTTTGGTTTAAAAACTTCAATCCATTAGCCCGGTGTTTAGAGGCCATTTTCCATATGTCTCCAATTTAACCTTTTAGATCTGGCTTCTTACAAGAATATATTCTGTTCCAGCTAACCTGGATTTCCTACTCCTATGGTTTTATTTATATTGCTCTTGTTTTATATAGTTAAATACCAGAACCATTTTATGCTCAGCTTATGTTCTACTCTCTCAAAGTTTCTCTTAGAATTCTAGAATGACATTAGTGCTATTAATTTAATATGATGTATCACTCGGAATGAGTTACCTTTTATATACATGTCCCACTTCCTAACTTTGAAAAGGCAGAAAGTGAATTGCCTTTGTATCCGGAGTATCTAGTGCATGCCCTTGTCCATGCAGTTGTCAGTGTGTTGATGAGAGATTTGAGGTGAACCCAAGATGGGGAGAGTGCCTTGGTGCTGTTAACAGAGTGATCTGTGTCCTTTTAGCATCCTTGCTGAACTACAGCTTCGAGAACCAAGCTTTCCTGATGTTCAGCATGGTGTACTCATCCATAAGGTCATCCTGGACTCCCCTGCACATCGGTGAGGGAGAGACTGCATTGTGAGGTGGGGATGGGTGACGTATGCATGTGCCCTTGAACTGGGCTGTCTATCCCCTCCTTTCTCTTTCTGTCTGTCTTTCACCATAGGGCTGGTCTACGGCCAGGTGATGTGATCTTGGCCATTGGGGAGCAGCTGGTACAAAACGCTGAAGATATTTACGAAGCTGTTCGGACCCAATCGCAGCTGGCAGTGCGCATCCGGCGAGGACCAGAAACATTGACCTTATATGTGACCCCTGAAGTCACAGAATGAGTGGGTCAGCAGGAGTATGAGGCTCTTGCTCTGATTTCCACCTTGCTTTCCTGGCCTAGGCTCTGAGGGTACCTGGACAGAGGATTAAATGAACCAGTGGGGGGCAGGTCCCTCCAACCACCAGCACCAATCCCTGGGCTCTGAGGAATCATAAAAATGCTTTTTATATAAAATAAAATTATACCTAGCATCATGTTATAATCAAAAATAAGGGGGGAGGGGGTACCAATCTTTCCCCCCACAAAAAGGCTAGAGGTAAAGCTGTATCCCCCTGAACTGAGGGGAGATACTGGAGCTGACCATTCTGACCTCCCTATTCAAGAAAACCAGCTGCTGTTGTCTGTCCTTGGCAGTTCATTGGGTGCTGCTCTTTGCAGTGTGCTTGGCTCGGTGCTGGGCCCGGGAGCAGAAATTCCCCATGCTTGGCAGCTGGCCTGAGAAGGAGGGCGATAACCTCGACCTGACAGTTCCACATCCATAGTGTGCACTGGATGAGTAGCCGGCCCACCGATGTCAGGGGTCCCTTGGTAAGCTCCTGAGGTAATGGCAGCCTCAGACTCCTGCCCTCAGGGGCCAGTGGTGGTTTGCAGAAGAGGGTGGCAGTGCCTCAGATGATCTGGTTGCTGGTCTGGCCAGGGTAGCGCTCAAACCTCCTGTTGGCCTCTTCACTGAAGGCGTCACCTGCGAGGTGAATAGGCGGGTTAGGTGGGGGAGCAGACCCATTGTGGGGAAGGGTGGTGAGAAGCTGAGGGGCTGGGAGATGCAGAGGCAGGTGGGAGGACACAGAACCAATGTAGGAGGAAGAGAGTGAGCGAATGAAGGCCTTTTCCTCCCACCCTGGTCTCTCTGGGCTGCCCTCCCCCACACACCAATGTGGCAGTTGTGCACCCAGATGCGGTGCCCGTCATATTTGCAGTTACACTTCATTGCGTTGTTGGTGAAGTCACTTTCTGCTACTTCAAAATTGGGGTTGATGACCACCTGTGAGTGGGAGAAAGGCAATGTGACCAGTTGTACTCCTCAGATCCAGAGGTGCCCTTAACAAACCTTCCTCCCACTTGCTAGCTGGATGTCAGTCTCCCAGCACCTGCAGAATGTAGTTTCCTGGCTTCACATCTGTGATGTCAATCCACTGGCAGTCGATGTCATGCCGGTAGAGGTCCCAGCAACCCACGGTAATGCCTTGCTCTCCAAAGTTGGCACACTCATACCTCTTGGAGACATCTGAGAGGGATTGGCACATGTCAGTGTGAGGCAAGACTGGTGGGACGGAGATACCGGAGTCCTTTTGAAGCCCAACTCACCCTCCTGACATTCAGTGTCTTCCAGACAGAAACTAGCTTTGTGGCCCTCAGCCACCTTGGTGCCATTGGGAGTCAAGATATCATAGTGAGTGAAGATGTCCATACTGTGGTAATGCCTGTGGGGACAAGGGAACCCCTGTTTCCTTCCCTACCCCCAGCAGGCTTTGCCCCATCTCCAGCGATCTTGCCCTTCTACTTGACCCTCTCACCCGTGACACTCATGCCACACCCAGGAGTGGCGCCCAGCCTTGGGCCTGAAGTCAGCTCGTCCCAGGTTGTGGATCTGAGAGGAGAATCGGAGGAGACGCCTGTGGCCATAAGGCCAGTTGGCTGAGCGGGCCGAGCGGGCCAGACAGTTTTCTTCTGCGGCACAGTACAGCATGTGCAGGGGCCGGTCCTCGATGTAGGCAGTCTCCTGTACCAAGGCCGAGTGCAGCAGTAGGTCTGACGCAGCTGCCCCAAGGAAGGAAGCAGAGTGTGGGAAGTCACTGCTGAGGGGTGGGGCTGGATGGGGGTGCTCCTCCTCCCCCTGCAGAGGGGGAGAGGCTAGTTGTCACAGGAAAGGAGTACCCCTCCAGCTTACAGCTCTCTTTTTCCCTCCAAGGCGGTGGTCCAGAGCCTCCCTTCCCTGGCTTCACTCACTCTCAGAACAGATGACTCCAGCAGTGAAGCGGGTTCCTGTTCTCTTGCAGGCAACATGGGTGCCATGATGAGCACATTGGTCCAGGGACAGTTCAGACCCTGTGCAGCGCACTCCACTCATCACCACTTCTGTGGTATTCCCTGAGTCCCAGTACCAGGTCTCCTGGGAACATAAGTTGATGTTTCTGAGGCCCCACCACTAGCCTTTTGGGCCAATGGACTCATTTCCACAGTCCTCTGCCCCAAACACAGGTATTGGAGGCAATGGCCTTGGTTCCCCTCTCACTCACCTGTAGGCCATGGTTGGCATAGCCCAGTCCAAGTTGCCTGCAGACCACCATAGCCTCCAGTGTCCCCCAGTCATCCCCACAAATGAGGCCCCAACGAAGAGGCCCGAGTCCCCCTATTTGCACCTCCACTCGCCCCTCGTGTGGGCTGCGGCCCCCACTGAGTCGGATCTGTAGTGACACAGAAGGGAAGTCCTGGGTAAGCTTTTGGGAAGGAGCAGTGGGAGTCTGTAGCAGGCTTGTGGCTGAAGGAGGATTCAGAGGCTGACAAGTAGGCACATCAGGTGGGAACTGCAGGATGGCAGGGGCCTGGGACAGTAGATCTGGGAAGCTGTCAGACTGCAGATCATGGCCAGGACTGGAGAGGATGTAAGATCCCTGAACTAGGGCAGCCCCGGTGGCTCAGTGGTTTAGCGCTGCCTGCAGCCCGGGGTGTGATCCTGGAGACCCTGGATCGAGTCTCACATCAGGCTCCCTGTGTGAAGCCTGCTTCTCCCTCTGCCTGTGTCTCTGCCTCTCTCTCTCTCCTCTCTGTGTATACTCATGAATAAATAAATAAAATCTTAAAAAAAAAAATCCAAAAAAAAAAAAAAAAAAGATCCCTGAACTAAACCAGAAAGGTAACTGACCTTGGTCTCTACCCCAGTGTAGGGCAGGTTGCATCGGACTCCAGCATCCTGGCTATGGGAGCAGTCCTCAGCTGTGATGTTCTTGTGGGGGCATTTCCAGAGGGAGGGTTCCTGTCCAGAGCATTGAACTTCACTTAAGTGGATGGCACCCATGCCTAGGGTCAGAGGCCAAAGATCAGGAGGTTATAACTGGACCTTTATTGTCTGCCTTGGGGTCTCCTTCCCCAGGAATGTACCCCCCCAGGAGAGTGTATAGCTTCTTCCCTCTTCCTCCCATCTTCATCCCCCTCACCCTGCCCCATGCGGGCACCACTCAGAGCCTCTCGAGCACTCCCGAAGCCCAGCTCCCGACACACCACGCTGGCTGCCTGCAGGTCCCACTTGCGGTCACAGACTGTGCCCCACGTGCTGGCCTTCAGGACTTCCACCCGGCCCTCTCCAGGGTGGGCCCCACCCTTTAGACGCACTCGGGTCTATAAAGGAGAGAGATTTGCCCAAAAGCAGTGAATGGAGATGTCAACACAGAAAGGGCTAAGCAGACCTAGGGGACAAAGGAGGGAGGGGGTGGTCTCAGGTCTGTGGCCCACCCCCTGGAGAGAGGTTCCTCTGCCCTCACAGGTCAGGGCTGTGCTTAGTCAGGGAGTGGCTAGGCTATGGGGTTCTCCACCTGGGGTGGGGAAGGTTATGGTCGCTGTCTCACACACCTCCCCCTGAGGCTTTGACTGTTGTTGCTTCTTCTGGTCACTGGACACTGCGTAGAGAGGGCCTGGCACACAGCTCACCACCGCAGGGGCCCCCCCAGGGCACCTGGTGGTGTCATTGGCACGATAGAACTCCAGGGAGCAGAGGGAGAGGTGGGCCTCGGTGCCCACACACGCCACCCCATGCAGACCAAAGGAGTGTTGCTGCCTCTGGGCCAGCAGCCTGGGGGGACAGGAGTGGGGTGCAGTAGGGTAAAACAATGCTCCTACCTCTCTGCCCACAACCCTCCTCCCTTCCATGCCTCTGCCATCCCCCAACCTTTCATGACCATTTCATCCCTTCTTCTTCCCCTCTGCTGCATTTCCCTCCATAGAGACGAAGGGAATGGCAAGTTTCCAGACTGAAAAAGTCCAGATTATCCAAACAGGATGGTCCTTGGGGACCTGCAGCTGAAGACCCCTCTGGCTTTAGGACAGCTAGCCTTGACTTGCCTGACAGAAAGCTTGCTCCAAATGGATTCAGGCTGCTGGCCCTAATGGAGGCTGAGGTTGGGGCTGCTGTGCAAAGACAGCAGGAAGCCAGGACTGCCCAGCTGGAAGAGACAGGCAGGAGGGAGCGGCTGCCACCAGTGGAAAGCCTGGAGAGCCAGAGTGAGCACGGCCTTCTGTGCTGTTGCTGAGATAACTGAATGGGTCAGGATGCAGAGGAGTGAGTAAGTCTGGGATCTAAATGGCTTCTCAGAGGCCGGAGGGTTTTCCAGGCCAGAATATGATGGGTGGTTATGTGAAGAATATACCAGAAGGTTGGACACAGGAAAGGACTGGGGCTGGCACATGTGGGAACGAAGATGTATAAATGCGAGACAGACAAAAGTTAGAGACCACGTGACCAGAGAAGGAGAATGAATAGGCCCAGTAGAATGGTAGAGAGCTCTCCAGACTCAAGCTAAGCTTTAATAAGTAGTCTGTACTTCTGTGACTGAAACATAACAGAAAGAATGTTTTGTAGCCTCTGAGCATGAAAATGGGACTAGAGATGGTAACACTAGGAGACACTTGGGAGAGATGCCTTGTGAAAACGAGGGGACTTGTTTATCGACGCTAGTGGGATAAGGGAGGACAGTGAGGCACATGATGACAGCAGTGTCCAGAGAGGAGGGCTGGTGTTGGTGGAGTGGGCCTATGAGGTTGGCGTGGCAAAGAATTATTGTAGTAACATGCCCATCACTTAATGTCAGAGGAAGGAAGGGATCTGACGATTTGAAGTCATTGGCTAGAAGACACAGAGAGGAGGAAAAGTTTATAAACACAACAGACAGAGGAAGCCTGGAGACTTTACAGAATACCTTTGGAGGCTCAGGATGAGTGGATTCTGAAGCTCAAACAGATCAGGTACTCTCCCAAAGTCCTGTTTGGCTAAAAATAAAAGTCAAAGAGGCCATCACAAGAAAAAGATAGCGCTCTTCTAAACTTCCGCCTCCCCTTTCCCCACAAGGAACACAGTAAAAACAGCAGTGTGCACTTGAATTTGGGGTTCAGGGAAGGCCAGAACATGGCCATGTTGGCACAGATGACCGTTAGCTAGAAGGCAGCACAAGAACACCCCCAGATTCCGAGCTTCTTTGAAGCCACCAAAAGGAGGAGCTGGGTAAGGGACCACTGGGTGATCTTAGAATGTGCAGAAGATGGAGGGGGGGGATGGAAGAAAGGGATGAATTCTCTGTGGCTTCGGTTACTGCTGAAGAAGTTATCAGGGAGACTTCTCATGTGCAAATGGTCTTTGGAAGCCTAGTGAGAGATAATCACTGGGGTTGGAAGCTTTATATATACTCTCTTGAATTCTGAAAGAACCCACGAGAAAATTATGGAACTGGGAGCCTAATTGTGTCAACTGAGCCAGTTACATAGGGACTATAATCTGAGCCAATCCCTGGCAAAATTTCCAGAGGGGACCCCAAGTCTTAACTCTAAGCTGGTAGCACCTATTTTTTAAAAACTAATCAAATAAAGGTAAGCTGGGAACATTGATCCCTTAGGCAAACTTAACTTCTTGAGGGAGGGGCAAGTGTGGCATCAGGACAAAAGTGCCAGAGTATCTGCTAGAATTCACCAGGGGACGATTAATAAACACATGGATGAGCTTCTCTCAAGATTTGCAAAAATCCTGTGATGAGCATAATTCCTCAGAAACCAATGTAAGGGCCAGCATCACTTTATGCTTCAGTGAATCATCTGGAAGGTGGTTTGTAAGAGCTACATCTTGGTGGGGGCCTCCTGGACCCCTCCCTGACCACAGCCTACTGCCCTGACTCGTCATCACTGCGCTCTTCATCTCCTCACACCCAGCCTGAGCTTCATTTACCTCTTGATTGATCCCCTGCTCACTCGGGGTTTGGGTTTGACTTTAAGCTTGGTGATTGGTCTGAAAAAAGGAGAAAGAAGTTAGTGGAGGTAGTGGTTAGGTACATGGCCCAGGAAACTTAGAGGGTTTTGTTTTGTTTTTCCTATTTCCGGGAAGGACCCCTTAATGCAGAGTGTGGGAAGGAGTAAAGAGAAGGGGGCCAGATTTTCCATGTACACTGACTGCTGCACACCACTGAACTCCATTTTAGGAACCCATGTTGCTCTCTGGGTTCAACCAGTGATGAGAAATCTAGTCAGTCCAGGGGTGGGGCAGGGTGGGGGAGTGGTGAGGGGAGAGGGGATAAGAGGTAAAGGGAGGAGAGAGAATGGGAATGTGGGTGAATTAGGGAAGGTGGGTGGGAAGCATGCAGGTGGCTAAGGCTGGAGTCCAAGCTATTTGGGGGAAGTAGAAGCATGAGGAGGCTTCTCCTCAGCCATTCCTACATTATTTCCTCCCTTGTGAAACCTAAGATCAAAGCTTGCATGTCCCCATGCCTGCCTCCCCTCCCGGAATGGCCATTTTGCAGTTGCATCCCTAATTCATCAGTTTGGGTTCTGGGATGGACATGGATAGGTTGCCTTCCATCCATCCACCTCCTGGGGCCACAGAGGCAGGCAGGAGGTCCCGGGGCTCTTGCCCCATTACCTTCCAAGGGGTTTGGGGCGTCGGGCCGAGGCTTTGGCTGCTCTCTTCCTCAACTTTCTGTGAGGATAAGACAACAGCAGAGTCAAGATCAGCCTAGAACCAAGGGAAAGGCTAGGCAGCTGGGGATAAGGGTAAATTTCTTTTCCAACAGCAAAGTTGGAAAATCATCAGGATGTTATAACATGAGACACTTTCAAGGTTCTACCCTTCACAGCTGTTTGGCCTCCCATGCACATGACCAGGCTGATGAACATCAGTGAAGCACATGGACTCAGGCTGATAGAGTCCCTATACCCGCACCCACAGAATTTAGGCTGGGACAGATGGGTAATGAGGATGAGGGTCAATATCAGGGTTGATCTAAACCTCAGGGGAGGGCCATGAGGAGGGTGTAAGTAGGAGGGTGTTAGGATTGTTAAGATTGGCAGACTGACAGGGCAAGGAGAGAGAACTGGCCGGATTATAGGGAGGCTGTCTTTTATTCTTAGACACTCTCTGACTTCCGGCATTTCCAGGTCTGAGGCCTGTGGAGCAGGACAAGGACCAAGGCTGGATGTCCAAGGACATTAACTTGGTTTGACAGGGGAGCATGAGGCCAGGCGGGTTAGGATGACAGCATCCTTCCTACTTTGATTAAATCCCATATGCTTTAGTCATTCACAAAGCGAGCTCAGCTCCCAGACAACTAAGTACTAAAACTTTCTTTTTATTTTTTTTAAATTTTTAATAGTTTTTTTTTTTTTTTAGATTTTATTTATTTATTCACGAGAGACACAGAGAAAGAGAGGCAGAGACACAGGCAGAGGGAGAAGCAGGCTCCATGCAGGGAGCCCGATGTGGGACTTGATCCCGGGTCTCCAGGATCAGGTCCTGGGCTGAAGGCGGCGCTAAACCGCTGAGCCACCCGGGCTGCCCTAAAACTCTCTTTTTAATTGGCCTAAATATTTAACCTATTTTATTCTTCAAGAGGTTGCCTTAGGTCAAGTGTCTGGAAACCAGGTCTGTTTCTCCTCTCATTCTCCCTTTGATTTCAAAGACTTTAATTTTGCCCCCTCTCTGTCCTGTCCCACTATGTACAGATGAACGCAGGTCTTTCCTGTCCTTCCAAGTTTATGGGACTCCCTGTTATCATCTTAAACGTGCTCTTACTCTGCTGTTTTCTCTTGCGGAGTCCTATCTGGACACAGTATGCTGTGGGCACATGTACTAGGATGTCAATATATAGATTTGAAACAGGGCTTTGAGTTGCTTGGTATTTCCTGCCCTGGCTTCTTCCTGAGGATGTATTTAGTTGGTCTTTTTGTCTAAATATCCAGTATGTCCAACATTCCTAGGAAAGAGTGTATACTAACTCTCAGGTTCTTTTCCTGAGATAGGACTAAGAATTTAGAACCTTTCATCATACAAGAATAATGTGAAACTTTTTCTCCAAATGTCTTTTTCATGGACCTGTCTAAAATGAAATAGATTTTGTGTTTTCTTTTGAGATTATCTTGGCCCTCCAACTAGTACTCAGAAAAAATGTATTATCTAGGAATTTAGAAATATCTTTTTTCTAAAGATTTTGTTTATTCATGAGAGACACACAGAGAGAGGCAGAGATATAGGCAGAGGGAAAAGCAGGCTCCCTGCGGGGAGCCCAATGCGGGACTTGGACTGGATCCTAGGACCCCAGGATCGCAACCTGAGCCAAAGGCAGATGCTCAACCACTGAGCCACCCAGGTGTTCCTAAATTTAGAAATTTCTAGATGATTTAGAAGTACTTCTCTTAGATATTTATAAGGTTTTTAATATTAAATATCATACAGCATACATAGTTATGTATATTATAAGGTGTGGTATAGATTATATTAAGGATCTGGTACTCATTTAGGACCAGTATTGATACCTTGCTTTACACTGCTGATACTTTACTTACATTCCTTCACTCACAAATGTGCCTGTTTCCCCCTGTCATTTGTTTCTTCAACCATCAAACAGAGAAACCTCCCCATATCTGCATGTCCTCTTTTCATTCCAGCCATCTCTATTCTTTAAGGCCACTGCCCCCAATGTTTCTGAATTCCATCCCTTAGGATCTTTTTTCCTCCTCAGTTGAGAAGTCGCATACAATTTCTCCTCAACCGAATCGTGTTAAATATGTTCAGATCTCTCCCTCCCCCACACACTTTCCACCCCATAAACCCCCACTTCATAGAAAACACTGTCAAGACTTGTAAACACTCCTCTTCTACATCCTCTCCTCTCTTCCCATTCATTCCTTAGCCTGCTCTTTTCTGGTTTTCCCCATCACTCTGTGATAATAAATCTAGTGGACAGTTTCAGCCTTCATCTTATTTACTTTTGGTAGCATCTGACCTTGCTGTTCTCTTCTGCTCTCCTTGCATGGGGGCCCTAACACTACTAGTCTGGTTTGATTCCTAATTCTGGTTGCTCTCTCTTGGTCTTCACAGGCTCCTCCTCTGGCTCGTCACTTACATTTTTGGAGCCCTGTCTGAGGCATTCTACTAATTCCATAGCCTCTCTTTATATCTTCTCTTTTATACCTAACCTTGTACATTCCATTGCCTTCTTGATGTTTCTACTTAGATGTCTCAAAGTTTTCTAAAATGTAATGTAGGTCCAATAAAGTCAACCCATAATTCAGTAAAACCCACTCCAGAACCCTAGGAGTCCACCTTGATACTTCTCGGCTCTCAGGGTTGGTCTGTAACCAAGTCATGTCAATGGTACTTCCTAACCACCTGTCTAGTCCATTCACTCTTGTTCTTCTCCAAACCATTCACTGAAATGCCGTCAGAGTGATCTTTTGGAGCCAGAAATCTCATCATGGCCTCTCACAGCCCTCCTCTCAAAAAACACTCAGTTGTTTCCCAGTGCTTTTATTATAAAGACCCAAATCCTTAATGTAGTCTGTGAGGTCTTCCGTGATCTCTCATCACCTCTTTGTTCTCAGCACTTTGCACAGTGCTTTGCAAATAGCAGTTTAATAAATAGCTTTCAGCACTTAAGCTCTTAGAACCTCAATTCCTTTGCCTGCAGAAGGACAGTAAATGATTCATTTATCTTTACATTCTTTTCCTCTTCTAAAATGCTATCACTTTCACATGTTCTAGGGCAGAACTATAAAACCAAGTTGAAAAATGATAAATGCATGATTTTCTGATTTTCTCATTCCCTAAATCTTACCAGCTGCCTTTAAAAGCTAGCAGATGTATATTCTTTCTCTAAGGAAGGTGTTCTTCGTAATGGCCTTGCTTACCCTTTATGATGGCATTATCTATGAGAAGGCTCCCTCTGTCTGATGTGACCTGTGAAAGGAAATCTAGATCATATCCCCAACATAGATTGTCCCAGGACTCCTGTAACCCCTTTCCTCCCTACGAATGATCTCTCTTCTTCATACATCTCCAGTCTTCATATCCCAGACTCAGAAGCAGATTCCAATATCTACACAAATACTCCTGATCTTTCAAAATTATTTCAGACCATACATACCTAGGGAAAATTGCTGGGTCTCAAACTTGCCAAGGACAGCTCACTTGGAAAGCTAGTTCATGTGAACTTAACGCCCAGAAATACCTGATGGCAGACACCATCTTCCTCTCCAGCAGCTTCAGGGTCATTTCCTGAAAGTCTTCTCTTATTTTCCTTTACCAGTCATCCTACAGCTCTCATTCCCCTCCCTCTTGGTTGTCACCGTCTGAATCAACCTTACTTTTATAACAAAATTCTAACTAGCCTTACTGCATCTAGAACCTCCTCCTTCCAGTTCACTACTATTAGGTAAACTTTAACAACACTGGCCTTATTTTATCAGTGGCCCATACAATTACTTTTATTTTTAATTTTGCCATAAGATAAAGATCAAACTCTCTAATCTGGCACAAAAAGCATTCTGTTTTCTGGCTTTTATGTATTCAGATCTTCCATTATTTTTCAGCAAAACCTTCTACTCTAGTCAACTGTCTTTTGAGAAATATCCTAGTTACTGTTGTCTCTGTCCAGGTCAGCAATGACTCCCATTTTGTTAAAACTAGCATTCGTTTCTCAGTCCTTGTGCTTTTACACCCACCAGCAGCACTGAGTCAGGTGATCACTTGCTCCCTTCCTCTCCTCCCTGAAGCCCTTAACTTGGCTTGCAGGCCACCACACTCAGCTGGTTTTCTTTCTGCCCCACTTCACTGTTTGTACCTTCACTTTATCTTCCTGATCTCGTAACATTTAAGCTCTCGGTTCAGTCCTTGGACCTCTTTTTTTCCTGTCTATGCTGATTCCCTTGGTGACATTGTCCAGTTTCAGGACTTTTAATTCATCTGAACTCTAGAGTCACATACCCAGCTACCTACTCAGGTTCACCATTTCAATGTCTTAGAGAATCTCACATTTAACAGGTCCAAAACAAAAATTTAATGTACAATGCCTCTCCCCCGAGTCCCCACGCACTGTCTTCCTTATCAGATAAGGCCAACACCATGCTTAGCTCAGACTCAAAACATTGGAATGAACCTTAATTCCTCTCCTCTTACACATTAAATCCACCTGCAAATCCTGTTGCTCTACCTTCAACCAGAATTTGATCCTTTTTCACCACTCTCATTGGTCATCATCACCTCTCACTTTCTTTACTTGGCTTTCAGGAGACCATAACCTCCTAACTAATTTCTCTGCCTCTTTGACTCTACTGCATCCCTTACAGTCTATTCTTAAAGCAGCCAAAATAATACTTTAAAAATGGAAGTCAGATGTCATATCTCTGTTCAAAACCTTATCTCACACAGAGAACAAGCCAGTCTCCCAAATGGTCCTATGCGATTGGGCTCCCCATTCTTTCAAAACTCCTCCTATATCACCTTTCTATTGTTCTCTCTCTCTCTTTCTCTCTCTCTCTCTTGTTCGCTCAGCTGTAGCCCCAGTGGCCTCCAACCCTCCCCCACTCCGTAGGATCTTTTCATTTATGATTCCTCTTCCTGTAAATGCTTGTCTAAATTTCTACACAGTTTGTGCCCTCACCCTTTTAAATCTTACCTGAAATGATGCTTTTTCATAGAGGCCTTCTCTGACTGCTCTATTTAAAACTGCAATCCCACTTCGACTTCCTAACTTCTTCTCTGCTTTATTTGTATTGATTACACTCTTTGTCATCCCTGCATTTTAAAATTTTACTATTTTCCAATTCTTCCCTAGTCCATGAGATCAGGGATTTTTGTCTGTTTTGTCTACAGTTGAATCCTTAGTGTTAACAAAAGTCCCTGGCACACCCTAGACACTCAATAAATAAATCCTGAATGAATGGATCTCTTCACCTTTGTTCATGCTATCCTCTTCACTTAAAACCCCTGTGTTTTAAATTGTGCTGGTCTTTCAGAACCTGATGTTTGGGCTGGGGAAGGTAAAGAACAGCACAGAGAAAGAAATACAGCTCCAAGACAGATAATAGTAAAGGAGCACAGCACACAGCTGTTTTAAAACAATTTGAGCCTCTAGACCAGATAAAGTATATTCCTTTGGGCTGAAAGAACTTTCAGATGTGTCTGAGAGCCAAGGCAAGGAAAATTTGAGCAAGTATGGAGAAGACTAGAGGTTGGTAATGTATTGACCTTTCAAAAAGAAAAAGGATTCTTTAAAGAATAACATTCTAGAATAAGTTATTAAATGGAAAGTTTGTGAACAGTAAGGAAAATATATGGAGATCCTTAGAGATCTGGAAGGATTTCAGTAAAAAATTAGCTCAAACCACCATGATTTCCTTTTTTGATAAGATTCCTAATTGGAAGGTTGGAGAATGGCCATGAATATAATATATCTGGGCTTTAAGGGAGACTAACAAAATCTTCCATGATTTTACTATAGATAAAATAGTGAAATGTTGGCTACATCATTGTAGTGTTCAGTTTGTTCCCAGTTAGTGGAAAAAACATTTCACAACTAATGAGTGAAGACTTGATGAGTAAGGAAGAGTTAGACTTTGGTTTTGAACATGTCAACAATTTTAACAGTCACTATGATGAAGCTGGAAGGCAAAGCTGTCATGTATATAACCTCCAGAAGAAGCTGGGAGGGATGACAAATGGGAAATAATGTTAGGATTCAAGATAATCTCATGGGTGCATTGTGGCTTTTAATGGTTTTTAAATGATGTATCAAACTAATTTAATAGGGTAAAGTCAACATAGATTTAGGTTCAAATAGGCTTTTCTGTTAGTATCAAGGAGAAGGGGAGATCTGAATTGGTTTTAGAGGATTACCAGTTCAGTAAGAAAAGTGAGATGTTTCCTCAACAGAAAGTCAATACAAGGTCTCGGCGTGTTCCACCTAAAGTTGAGCATTTCTACTGTACCCTGCCCTGATCAGACCATATCTGAAGTTGTGTGCCCAATGGAAGGTCACCTAGATGTCAAGAGAGGTCTCTGTGCAAAACTCAACTAAGGAAGGGCTGGAAAAAAAAAAAAAAACGCATTTTAGCCTGCAAAATAGATTACAGAGAGACTGTAAAGATTTCTAAACTCCTCCAAAGGACCACATTAGATGCTCCAGGGTGGCGAGGCCCTGTAAGCACAGAGCCGTTCACCGGTGTGCTCCGTGACTGGTCACTCGGGAAGCCGCGCGCACACCGTGTGCCCCCCAGGAGGGCTGGGCGCGCCTGGGCCAAAGGATATTCTGGAAAACTTGCCCAGGGCAAGGGCTCCCGAGCCCACAGACACGCTCGAGGGCGGCCTGGACCGGTCCAGGGCAGGGCCTCGGGGAGTCGCCCCTGGCTAGGACACGCGCGCCAGGCACCGCCTCCGCAGGGCGCGGCCGCGCGCTCCCCGAGTTCGGACGGCGGGTCCCGGGGGCCGCGCCCGCGCCGCAACCCTAACCGCCCGCGGGCCGGCCGGCCGCTGGGCGTGGCCTCGCCGGCCTGGGCGCGCGCCCCGGGGCGCCGAGACTCTGCCTGCCGACCGCTGGCGTCACTGGCACCGACCCGCGTCCGGCGCCGCTCGCCCCGCCCAGGCTGCGGCCGGGAGAGAGCAGGAAGCCTTGCGGGCCCCAGTTGAGGCTCGCCCTGGGGAGCCCTCCGTGGTCCCGCTAGATTTCTCAACTTTCCGGATTCGAAGGGGCCTCCGTATTCCCCACAATTGCAGAGACCCCCCGGAGGTCGAGGCGCCACCCCGCAATGCCAGTCCACTCCACGCAGCGCCCACGTCCCTTCACCTGTAGAAGGCCGTGTTGACCCTCTTCTCGCCGGGGAAGCCCAGCATCCCGCAGACCACGTGGCTGTTCTGGGCGCTCCAGCCGTTGTCACACACTTGGGACCAGCCGTCGGGAAGCCTTACTTCCACCAGTCCCTCGGTCACGGGCAGCGGCCGCCTGCCCCGCCCCACGGCCGGTCGGAGTCGCACCTCTTCCACCTGCAGGTGCTGTTCTACCTGGGATGCAGCCACAAGCGGAGGAAGGAGTGTCAGGGCGCCCTTTTCATGTCCTCCCGCCCCCACGGAGCCCAGCTAGTGTGCTTGCTGTAGAGCCCGCGGCGAGGAGGGGCTGCCGCGGGGCGGAGAGGCGTGCCTGCTCCTGCGGGGAGCTGAGCCTCCGCCACCCGGCAGGGGAAGGGCGGCTAGCGCTCGGACAGGCGGTGCAGGGTGCTGAGGAAGCTGGGGAAGGCGCGCCCGAGGCCCACCGGAGCCTGCGGGAGCAGTTCACAGAGGAGGAGGCATGGGAGCAGTGGGAGAGATTGGGAAGGGAGATGTTCCAGGGAAGCAGGGACATCTGAAGCAAGGGATGCCCTGGGGACCCGGGATGAAGCTGGGGAGACTCATGCCAGCTTTAGTAACTGGAATGTTCATGCTAAGACAAACGTGGGCTCTAATATATCCAGGAGCTCTATGGTTTGCCCCCACCCCCAAAGCCTCCCATCACCCCAAATTAGCCTTCAGGGCATATGCCATGCCCTACCTTCCAGTATCCCCTCTAACCACATATAACCATCCTACAGCCCTCTCTCGCCATCATGGGTGTGTGGGGTGTGTGTGTGTGTGTGTGTGTGTGTGTGTGTGTGTGAACGGCAGACCTCAATGACGTTAGAATCTGAGAAGCCAGGGAGGCGCTGGTCCTTGCAGATGACTCCTGCGTCCTCATCGTGGGTACAGTCGCTGTTCCCCCAGCCCCGGGAGGCACATTCACTCACACTCTGCTCCGTCCCACTGCAGCTCAGGTTGTCCAGCCAGATGCGGCCTGTAGAGGGAGAGATGGGGGTGGGTGGGTGGAGAGGCTTGAGGAGGCAGGACAAAGGAGGTGGGGGGCAAATGATGGGGCTGCTGGGGAGAGTGAGCCTAGACACCTCACACCTGGCCACGACGATTCCATTTTTCTGGTAGGATAATGGCTGTGAAAGAGAGGGAACACCTTGGGAGGAAAGGGAGCACAGGATTGATGGCGGGTCAGTGTTGATCTGGAGGATCCTCAACAAGTGGGGAGGGTGAATAAAAAATCAAGAGTCAACACTGAATTTCTCATCAGTCCTGACCCGGTCATTGATAGCTACAATTAATCAAGTACCTGCTGTGTGTTAGGCAATCTGCCATGTGTATGTGTATATATATATATGATTATTCTTAGAGCTGCCACTATTTTACATAAAGAAATTGGCGTTCAGAGAAGTTAAGTAAGTTGCCTAAGACCACACAGCCAATACATGGGGCTTAGGGGTTTCAGCCACTTGTGAGACTTCAAAATCTAAGATCTTTTCACCTCAGCCCCCATTTCTCCCATGGGCCCGCTCTGTCTGCACTACCACATTGCCCCTTGGTTTTTCTCTCTGCCTGGACCATACTGAGATGAGTATCACTGACTTCTCAGAGTTGGATGGACCCAGTTCCATCCAATGGCCCTGGGATTCTATCCAATGTAACTCATCTGTCCCAGCCACTTATAGGGACGCATCATGTATGTCCTGACAGGACTTACCCAGCTTCTGCTGGGATGCCTACTCCCTGCCCCACCAAGCCACTGGAACCATCACAAAGTCCATCATCACAAAGTCCTTGTGACTATGACTATCCCCCACCAGGTCTGATTCTGTCCTTTCATGCCATCCAGAAAAATCCCTCAGTCAAATGACTGTCCTCATGTTTGAGGACAACCTTCAGGTAAATGCTATCCCACGCCTTTTTCTTTCATACCAAATGTCCCTGGTTTCTTCAGCTATTCCCTCTTGAAACTTGGCTTCCAGCTTGTCACATCTGGGCAGCTCTCCTCTGAAAGTATTTCCGTTTTCTACTGTCTCTCTTTAAATGTGGCACCTACAAGTGACATTCTATTCCAGAAGTGGTCCAGCCAGTGAGAAGGGGGGAATGAACGGCAGACTGCACCAGCTTCTGTCCATCGGCCCTACTGTGAGCCCATATAATGTACGCGCTTTCAGGTCTCAGAATTCCTCCTAAGCCCCTACTATCCACATTCATTCTCATCTTTAGAGTTTATACTTGTTCTTAGTTCCAGCTTGTTTGTTTCAGGTCTTGCCTATAAACTGATTTTGTCAGCTGTGGTGTCCATGATCCCTTCTGTTTTGGGATATCTAGACCTCATTTATCTGCTCCCAGCTTTACATCAAGCCAACTGTGCTTGTACAGGGCTCCCCTGCATCAGGGCTGTCCTTGCATGTGTCTTGGTGGCTACATGCCTTGATTTCTCCCATGGGCCCGCCCTGTCTGTGCTGCCACAGACAACGTTTGCAAAAGAAAGGAACTTAGAGGTCATCTAGTCATTTTGCATATAGGGCATCTGAAGTTCAGAGAAGGCACCGACCAGTCTAAGGTCATGCAGGTCTGAGAAGGGATGGTGTTTGTTGGTCTGTCAACCACGGGTTTACTTGACACTAGCTGTTTTGGGTGCCCTGGGTCCCTGCGCCTGTACCATCCTGGTACAGGATGCATGGAGTGTTGCTCACCTGTTCCAGGGCCATATTTGGCACTGTGGGTCCAGCCTGTGGCCTCTGTGAAGCCCAGCTCCCGGCAGAGGACATGGGCAGCCTGAAGCGTGAAGTCGTCATCACAGATGGTGCCCCACTCGCCAGCTCGCTGGATCTCCACGCGGCCCTCGAAGGGCTTCCTAGGGAAGCCGGCCAGCCGGAACCGCAGCCCCTGGCTCCCAGCCCTCTTCTCGGGGGCAGTGGTTGGGGATGGAGATCCCAGGCAGGAGCTGCACAGCAGGCACAGCAGCAGCCCCCATGGGCTCCACTGCCGGATACTGACAGGTCGCATGGCAGGGAAGGCCTGGGTGCCCCAGAGAGAGAGTGTGTAAGAGAAACCGAGATCAAGCCAGGCGTGGGTCCCACAGAGAGATCAAAAGGGGAAGAGACACCAAAGGACAGAGACAGAGACAGTGTGAGAGAAAGACAGGGACCCAGGAACTAAGTGAGAAAGAAATACAAACTACATAAGAGCAGAAACACAGAGTCCGAGAGCTCAGACTGGAAAGCAGGGCAGGGAGGAGAGAGAGGCACAGACACAGAGATAGAGCAGCTCTCCCTCACCAGCAGTTGGTTCTGTCTTACAAGGCCCTTCCCCATCACCTCCATTACCCCACCCACTAGTCTAAGGGACCCAGAAATCAAAAGACAGTGATTAGAGACCAAGAAGCAGAGAATGGTTGAGAGAAAGAGATGAAGACTGGGCAAGAGGGAGACCCAGACAGGATGTGAGAGGAAAGGAAACTACTGTGGGAACAAAAGAGGACTGAACAGATAGAGATGGCAGAGAGCGACAGTGTGGAAGATGGACAGAAGGTGACCGTGACATGGCCAGTGGCACAGAGCAATGGTCAGACGCAGGCAACAGGTGAGGAGAGGGACTGGCTGGAGCCAAGGAGGGGTTGTGGGAGGGACCCAGACGACTCCATTCAGCCAGTCAGAGGGCAGATAGCTACTGGTTGTGGAGAGAAGCAGGCGAGGGGGCTTAGGAGACCCTCAGATCTTCGGTTCCCTGATGGGAAGTCAAGCTCAGAGTCCTGTGTGGGTAGATTCCACCGCAGAGGGCAGAGACCAGGATGCATGGAGAACCCCCTGCACACCCTACCAGCACACAGGCTCTCACATACCCTGCAGGGTCAAGGGGCCCAGGAGGGCCAGGCCTCAAGCTGGGAGGGAGAGCGGGGTGGGGTTGTCCAGACCTCCTGCCAACAGTGTTGTCTCAGGGCAACCGGAGGCCAGGGTGCCAATGAGCTCCTCAGCCAAGGCCTTCCCTCTGTCTGGGGCTGAGAACAGCCCCTCTCCAGCAAGGGGCCCCTGGAACATGCTTTCCCCAACTCAGACAAACAACACAACAGGACAGCTTTGTTCTGGGGACATGTTGGCTTGGGGGCCCAGGGGTAGGGCCTCACAGAGGAGCCTCTAGCCTTAGGGCCCTGGCAGCAGCCCTATTTGGAACACCCTGCAGCCCCCCCACCTGCCAAATATCTGCCTCCTCTCTCCACTCTACTGTGTCTCACTCTAACAATGCTAAAAGCCCTCTGTTGGTTGGTTTCCCTTCGACCCCATCCTGCATCACCCCTTTTCCGTGGTCCCTTCACCATCCTCGCCATCCGAAACTCCCCTTTCTGCCGCAGCAGCGTGACTCCCCCTACCTTTGGCTGAGCGGGGCCCTAGGTGCTGGGAGAAGACTCCAGGTCCTGGAGATCAGTCCTAGGACTTCCCAAAAAAAGTGCTCGGCCAGGGGAGACTGGACCCCCCCTTCCTCCCCCCTCTCCTTTTGTCCCTCCCACGTCTCCTTGAGCCCTCCCACATTCCGCCTTCCTCCACGATTCCTCCCCGGCCAGTTCCCTCCTCTTCTCCTTTTGGTCCTCCCCTCCCCCGTGGAGCTGGCCGCGGCCGCTCCACCTCCCCCCGCCCCCGCCCCCGCCCCTCCTCCCTGCCTGCTCAATGAAGCTTTCTTTTCCCGCGGGCTGGAGGCCGGGCGGCTGCGGTCACGGAGCTGGACACGCAAGAGGCCACGGGGCCGCGGACCGGCCCGGGCGGCGGCCCCTGGGGCGGCGGGAGGCCGCGGCTCAGCTCCCGGCTCCGGGAAGCCTTCCAGTCCCCAGTCCCCAGTCCCCAGCCCTTCCCCCACGTCCCGGGCTCCGCGGAGTGTAAACAGCCGGACTCCAGCCGGGCTGGGGGCGGATCCGGTCAGGCGAACTGAGGCGAAGAAGGCCCGCCTGGGCCCTTCGGTGCCCCAGGGTGCCCACTGGTATTTTCGGGGTGACGTCACGGCCTTCACTCTGATGTCACGTTGAGCATATGACATCCTACCCAGCCCGTAAGCCTGGGCGCCAGAGCCCCCTGGCCGAAGCCTCGAGGTTTCCCTTGGCGGAGCCACTTGTGCGGGCCTCGGGGCCGTGGGCAGGGGTCTGAAGGTGGTGCGCGGCCCAACCTGTCTACGGACCCCCGCGCCTTCCATGGTGCTGCTCTGCTCGCTCCCCCTCGGCGGTCGGCTGAGGCCGGGGGAGGGGCGGAACGCCCCGGGAGGCCCGGCCCCGCCCCGCCCCGCCCCGCCTCTAGCCCGCGGGGCCAGGAAGCGCGGAAGGAACCGCCGGGGGCCATGGACGGGGCCGTGATGGAAGGGCCGCTGTTTTTGCAAAGTCAGCGTTTCGGTACCAAGGTAGCCCGGGGCAGGGGTCGCCGCGCGCCTGCAGACCTAGGAGGGGGCTGTGGAGCCCGCGGGGGGCGGCAGCGGGTTGGAGCGCGGGGCGGGAGCTGTAGACCCCGTGACGTTCCCGCGGAGTTGATTTCCCACCCGGGAGAAGCGTCCGCTGGCCTCGGGGTACCCCCGCCCCCGGTTCTGGGCGGACGGAGCGGCTTCCTTCTCGGGAAACTGCGCCCCGGTGGGAAAGCTGCAGACCTGCAGTCGGCCTGCGCGGGTCTCTCCTGTCCCGTCGGGGCCGGGCCGCCGGTGCTCGCCCGCTCCCTCGCCAGCGTCTCTCGCTCTCTCTTCCCAGAGGTGGAGGAAGACCTGGGCTGTGCTCTATCCTGCCAGTCCCCACGGCGTGGCGCGCCTCGAGTTTTTTGACCACAAGGGGTCGAACAATGGAGGGGGCCGAGGGGGCTCGCGCCGCCTGGACTGCAAGGTGATCCGCCTGGCGGAGTGTGTGAGCGTGGTCCCTGTGGCCGTGGACAGCCCCCCCGAGCCTGGCGCCGCGGCTTTTCGCCTGGACACCGCGCAGCGCTCCCACCTGCTGGCGGCCGACGCGCCGTCCAGCGCCGCCTGGGTGCAGACCCTGTGCCGAAACGCCTTTCCGGTGAGGGGGCTGGGGCGAAACGCCGTGGACCCAAGAGGCGACGCGGGGTGGGGGCGGTTACAGGAGCCGAGCGCCGCGGCTGGCTCGGACCCCGGGAACAGCGGTGAGGGAATTGCAGGGACCTCGATACTCCCTCTCTTTACCCCAGAAAGGCAGCTGGGCTCTGGCGCCTGCGGAAAACCCACCCAAGCTTTCTGCCCTGGAGATGCTGGAGAACTCGCTGTATAGTCCCACCTGGGAAGGTAGATGCCTGAGAAGCCTGCGGAGGGATGGGGTGGAAAGGACGGGTGCCCTTGAGAAGAGAGTGGTTAAAGGGTCAGGGACCCATGGGGAATAGGAAGCCCCTGAAGCTGGTTTCCAAGTGAGTGCTTGGACAACCCGTCCCCACCTCCCCAGCGCTCTCACCCAGCAGTCTCTTGGGTGCCCATCTAATTGTGTATTCTTTCCAGGATCCCAGTTCTGGGTAACAGTGCAGAGGACAGAAGCCGCTGAGCGCTGTGGCCTGCATGGCTCCTATGTGCTGAGAGTGGAGGCTGAGAAGCTGACTCTCCTGACCATCGGGGCGCAGACTCAGATACTGGAGCCACTCCTTTTCTGGCCTTACACTCTGTTGCGCCGCTATGGCCGGGACAAGGTGCAGGGGGCTGTCAGGGAGAATGGGCATCCCAGGTCGGGATAACTGTGGGATGGGTGGGTGGGGTGGGGCAGGACAAGAAGATGGCGAGTTCTGTCCTCCGGGTAACCCTTCCTTGCCTAGCCTGTGACCTCTGCCTGTGCCCCCACCTCCCTCCCCCCCAAATAGTTTTTTCTTTGTAGATCCTCTGTAACTAGGACAGGCCCTGTGACTCATCTCCTCTCCTGGCTCCTGGTAATGTGTTTTCCTCCACACCTTCTTCAGGTCATGTTCTCTTTTGAGGCTGGTCGCCGCTGCCCTTCAGGCCCTGGAACCTTTACCTTCCAGACAGCACAGGGGAATGACATCTTTCAGGCAGTTGAGACTGCTATTCATCGGCAGAAGGTCCAGGGAAAGGAAGGTCAAGGGCAGGAGAGTCTGAAAGCCGACTCCCACGAAGGAGAAGTGGCAGAGGGGACGCTGGCATCCCCGCCTGGCCCTCAGGAGCTCCTGGGCAGCCCTCCCGCCCTGTATGCTGAACCCTTAGACTCTCTGCGCATTCCTCCAGGCCCTTCCCAGGATTCCCTGTACTCAGACCCCTTGGACAGTACTGCTGCTCAGGCAGGGGAGGGAGTACAGTTGAAGAAACCTCTTTATTGGGACTTGTACCAGCATGTGCAGCAGCAGTTGCTGAAGGCCAAGCTGACGGACCCCAAAGAGGACCCCATCTATGACGAACCTGAGGGCCTGGCCCCAGCTGCTCTCCGGGGCCTTTATGATCTGCCTCAGGAGCCCAAGGATGCATGGTGGTGCCAGGCTCGGGTGAAGGAGGAGGGTTATGAGCTCCCCTACAACCCTGCCACTGATGACTACGCGGTGCCACCTCCTCGGAGCACAAAGCCTCTCCCAGGTCCCAAGCCCCGGGGCTTAGCCCTCTCTGAACCTGGAGCTGCAATGGGCAATGGCAGCAAGGGCCACAGCGCAGACACTGCCTTGTACAGCCAGGTCCAGAAGAGCAGTGCCTCAGGAAGCTGGGACTGTGAGCTGTCTAGAGCAGGGGCTAACAGGACTGGAGTCCAGGCAGAAGGCTCCACGTGAGAGGTAGGGTGAGGCGGGGGTTGCTGATAGGACCCCCACAGGGAGGTGGCACTGGGGATCAAAGAAACATATTAGAACCTGCAGGAACTAGAGGGCTGGAGGGTCCCGTGTAAGCCAGCCCAGGGGACCAGAGGGATCAGGGGAGTCAGGGGAAGGATGATCAATCTCAAGAAGTCCTGGAAGTGGGACAGATGGCAGAGGTGAAGGATGGGGCCTGAGAGAGACCAGCACCCCCAAGTCATCCTCCCCAAAGGAATGGACAGCTGCTGGACCAGGTCTATGACAATGGGGGCTTTGTCTGGGTTGGTACAGTTTGAGGGGGCTGAATGGAGGCTACAGGGTGATGCTGGATTGTGCCTGGATTGTCACCCCTGTTTTGTTCTTTGCCAGAGACAGATTTTAAGAAGTTTATTCTCATTAAAGTCAGCTTGGGTTTAAAAGGTCTATGTGTGTGAAGAGTCACAGATGGGACATGGTGGCAGGGTGTGCTGGGTAGGTGTGGAGGGGTCAGGAGAATGTACTGGGGGCCACATAAAGAGGAAGGAGTCTCAGGGAGGTGAGCTGAGCAGTGTGATTGTTGAGAGCCTCGGTGGTCCAGTCAGGCTCACTTGGGCTTGAGCCTGTCTCTGTGATGCTGGGCGAGCTCTAAAACATCTGCAACTCTCATTTGCCCTCGGTGCCCCTCTGTAAAATAGGAAAAACCCAACAACAGACTCTACTTCACAGGGCTATTTGTGTGAAAGGAGTTAAGTTTCTCAAGTACTTAATGCAGTCTGAAGCACAAGATTAAGCATTTTATACATGGTAGTTATTCCATGGATGGAGAAGGCCAACAGAAAGGTAGACAGGCATGGACAGAGGGGAACAGGAAGGCAATAGGTCTTTTTCTCAGCCATATGACACCACTTTCCCCAGCACACACACACTTTACCTGTAGGTACTAACCATCAACCACTTTTTTGTTTGAGGGTTGAAGGGAACTGCCATGTGGTGGGTATACTGGGAGGAGCACAGGCTTTGGAGGCTTAGATTTTGGTCATACTTATTTTTCATGAGCTCTGAAAATCTGGTCCTTGTCTCCTGAGGTCTGGTTTCCCCAAGGTGACCTAACCTCATCTACCTGCTTACAGGGAATTACAAGGAGAAATTTGGGGTTAGGAATGCTCCTAACAATGGTAGAGACCTACTGGGTATTTAATCTTCATCTGTGTTAGTGGTATCAAATGATCCAAAAGAAAATGAAAATGAGCTCCTGCCTGGAAAAGGAAAAAGTTCAGGTGTGTCTCTTCCAGGCCTGAGCAGTGGGGCAGTAGCGGCACAGAAGACAGGAGGGAAAGGCTCTGTTTCCCAGTCACCTGGAGGTCACAGAGGCTCAAGTGGACAGAAGGCCAGTCTGACCACAAAAAGCTATTCGTCGTGTGAGCCTTAGTATGGATATGGTTGAGCAGGGCAGCTGGGCTCTGGTGCTGGGGACCTAGAGCCCGGAGAGGTACTCCTCCTCCTCCTCCTCTGCCACTCCCTCCTTGGAAGGCCAGAAGAAGGCTTCTGAGGAAGGCTTGCTGGCTGCTGGCATCTTGGGGGCTCTGCTGGGAGTTGGGATCATAGGCAAGGGGGCTACTGTGACTCGAACTCGGCTTGTCTGCAACTGCCCGGCCTGCAGAGAAAGTGAGCAGACTTCTCTGAAGCTCAGACACAGTTCCTGGTCTCCTGTCCTGTTCCCTGTGGGCCTCCTGGCCTAACTCCTTCACATGTCCCATCCCTTGAGTGACAGCCTCAAGGCCCAGGGCAGTGGATTTCCTGGACTCTCCTGGCTGAGTGTCAGCTTGCTTACCAGCTAACTTATGCTAGGCTCCGCTCCCATCTCTAGGCTATTAGATCTTTTCTCTTGTAACTGCAGCTAAGGCAAAGCAAGAGTTTCTAGAGGCTCTGTTACTGAGAAATTAGGAAAAGATTAATGACAAAGGGAAATACTATAGAATATGAATTTCATAAAAATAACTCCACTCTCGATTCCTTTTCTCTCTTTAACCCTTGTTGCTAAAGCCCTGACTCCAGTTGACTAGCCTTGTTCAGCCACCTTTTCCTCATCTATACAATAAGCGTAACACTTAACTTGAAGGGATGCTGTAAAGATTCAGTGAAAGCACTTGTCACAAAACCTGGCAAATGGCTGGTGTTCAGTAAATGCTAATTGCCTTCCTTTTGAACATTTCTTTTTCTACCTTCCATTTAGCCTTTTCTTTGAACAGAAGCTGTGGTCTTCCTGCTATCAGTTTGCTTAGTGGGACAGTGGTCTGTTAAATGACTAATGAGTTATCCTGAGTGCTACACTTAAGATACCTAAACATTACCATATGTAAATATCCACTGCCCAGGCAGAAAAGCTTCCCTACCTGGCAGGGGTTGTAATTTGCTTTGTCTAGGGCAAATGGCTGTTCTTTTTCTTCTTCCCTGTTGGCTTTCCCCCCAGGGGTGGGGGTGGGGTGGGGGAATCCTGGGGGTTGGTTCCAGGGAGGAGGGCTACTCCCATGGTCCTTGGTGGGGGGAATGGATGGGGGAGGGGAGAGTTGGGGGCCTGGGAGCAGGGCCCTCTCCTGGATTCTGCCTGTAATGGGGAGAAGGGGAGGAGGGAAGGAGCTGTACCTTTCTCAGGGCCTGGCTCTCCCAGCTTGGGTGGAGCCGGCCCTGAGGCTTGGTAAAGGTGCTGCTCAGGTGTGAGTACAGGTGGCTCCGAACTTGCAAGGGGTTGTAGGTGGGCTCTAGCTCCAGGCTGTCCAGCATGCTCTGAGGAAGAGAGAAGAGGAGCCTTACCCAGGGAACTTGAGGTCACAGAACACAAGATGTCAGGCAGAGATGTTGAGGTGTGAGAGGCTGGAGCAGGTGTGAAGACCCAGCACTTCACTGAAAACTGAAATAGTTGTGGGTCCTCTTGGGTGTCCTGGACCCCAGGTCTGAGTGTTTGTGAGGATGTACAGTTCCAGCCCAGAGTGCAGCAAGTACGTACAATCTGGAATGGTTAAGGAAGAGGAATAATCTGGACCAGAGAAGTGTGTCATGGGATTCTGAGAGGGGCTGGAGTGCCGTGAGGTTACAAGAGATCCAGTGTGCACAACTGTGAGGGAGGGGGTGTCGGAGGCCTGGGGGTGCTCACAGTCTGCCTCAAGTACACTGAGTTCCCTGCCTGGCTTGTGAGGTGAGCATAGCCGGAGGACACACAAGCACAGCATTCCTGAGCAGTCAGGTTTTCCGGCCACAACATCCTGTGCCAGGAACCCCTGGCCCTGAAGTGAGACACTGAGCGAGCCATGGCCACTCGTGCCCACCTCTTTTTGTATGCCAGCAGCCACCAAGGCAAGAACACAATCCTAGGCTCTGTCCTCTCTGCACGTAACCCAGTGATCCAGCAGTGATGTGGTTCCAGTTCTCCCTGCCCAGAGTCCCTCCTCCTGCCCTCAGCCTGGGAAGGCTGGCAGAGGAAATTCAGAATTCAGATCAGAGGAAGAGAGGAGGATGAAGGGGAGTGGGGTGGGGAGGGGCCGGTGGGAGTGGGGGTGGGGGATTGGCTGGGCAGCGCAGTTCCGCTGTTGCCTGGGAGTGTCATTTGGAAGCCCTTCCCTTCCTGGGCACCGACACTAGCTAACTATTCTTAAAAAAAAAAAAAAAAAAAAAAAAAAGATGCACACAAACAAGTACACACATCTGCACACACACAGTGCACAGAAAGACTCGTGGAAACACACTGCACACTGTCACACACACATCACATTATTCTCTACCACCTTCTTGGCATGACCACTTCTGCTCCCCAGTCCTCTCCTCCACAGACTTGCTGTTCCTCTTCCTCAGCTCTTTCTCCAACTCCCAAGTCTTCTCTCCCTCTATCTGTCCCATATGATCTGAGTTCCACTTGCCTCCACAATCTTAAGGCTGTCATCCGGTGGGTCCTCGGGCAGCAGGGGGAAAGGGCTCGGCAGTAGCAGTTCCCGTGTGGCCACTGCCTTCACCAGTAGGGTGGGTGAGCGCGATGGCACAATCACATAGAAGGTGCTGGTAGGCTCTCTCTGGCTATGTCCTCCACTCAGGGGCTCCCCTTTGGCCAATAGCAGCCACTCTCTTTTCTGAAACAAGGACATATATAAAAGGTGGTTCACCTTCAATCTTTGGCATGTTTTCAAGATCGACCCCCATCAAAGCTTCCCCAAGTTTCTCCAAGAGTAGCAGGAAGGCCCATACCATTTCACTCTGGCCTGAGAGAGAGGGACTTCCTGCCTGAGTTGCTAGTGCCCCAGGGTACCGCCCTTCCTCCCAAGTTGGAATTGTACACAAAAGAATTAACAACACAGAGACAGGTTATGAGATGCCCTTTAACCTGAAGTAGGTGTTCATCCCAGAGATGGCTAACACATTACTCGGTGGTAAATGTAGAATTTTATGAATTATAATTTTTTAAAGAGAATTTTTTTTAAGTTTTTATTTATTTATGATAGTCACACAGGTAGAGAGAGAGAGACAGAGACATAGGCAGAGGGAGAAGCAGGCTCCATGCACCGGGAGCCCGACGTGGGATTCGATCCCGGGTCTCCAGGATCGTGCCCTGGGCCAAAGGCAGGCGCTAAACCGCTGCACCACCCAGGGATCCCCTGAATTATAATTTTTTAAAGATTTTTTTAAATAAATTTTTTATTGGTGTTCAATTTACCAACATACAGAAAAACACCCAGTGCTCATCCCGTCAAGTGTCCCCCTCAGTGCCCATCACCCACTCATCCCCACCCCCTGCCCTCCTCCCCTTCCACCACCCCTAGTTCGTTTCCCAGAGTTAGGAGTCTTTATGTTCTGTCTCCCTTTCTGATATTTCCTACCCACTTCTTATCCCTTCCCTTATATTCCCTTTCACTATTATTTATATTCCCCAAATGAATGAGAACATACACTGTTTGTCCTTCTCCGATTGACTTACTTCACTCAGCATAATACCCTCCAGTTCCATCCACGTTTTTAAAGATCTTATTTATTTATTCATGAGAGGGGCAGAGAGAGACACAGGCAAAGGGAGAAGGAGACTATGCAGGGAACCTGCCCGATATGCAACTCGATCCTGGGATTCTAGGATCACGCCCAAAGGCAGGCGCTAAACCGCTGAGCCACCCAGGTGTCCCATGAATTATAATTCTTAAAAACAGAGTTTTGAAACAGAGACTTGTGTTGTGAAAATTCAGGTCTTATTTTGAGGGTGAAGGAATCTGATTGTGTTGCACAACTGGGCTGGTTAGCGAATATCCCTGGAATACCCAGAAAGGGTTTAAGAAGGTGGTCAAAGTCACCTGCCAAGCGAGGGGAGGAGGGGATAACAGGGAGAAAAAAAAATCTTAGGTATATGGAGGTGCATTGGAAACAGAGCCCTTGAGATCAACTCAGCTGGTCACGGGATTCTGGGGGTAGTGACTCTGAGTGAAAGCTACCTCAGAACAGAGGGGTGACTCTGCATTGTGCCATGGGTAAGGAGAAGATATACTGCAGACCTATCAGCAGATCTCATAGGTGTGCCTTTTAAATCAGGCATGGGAATAAGGCAATTTGCTGTGGTGGTTTTTCAAGGAAAACCATAAAACTCCAAGAAGTACAGAGTCAGAACTGTTACAAAGATCTGTAATTGTGCCCTCTTGCTGGAGGTGATCATCACTTAACACCTGGCACAAATATAACAGCCTCCCCGCTACAGAAGATGAAAGAAAGCACACTAGCTCTACCCACTTCTAACTTATATGGAAACTTGGAATAAATAATGAGAGGAAAGGCAAACAGGGAAAAAAGATCTTAGGGGACAGAGGAATATCAGTGTCTTGTGGAAGACAAGTGGAAAGTGACATGGTAAAGCACACAAAACCTTGCTGTAATACCCCAGGGGGAATGTGCTAGGCTGGAGGTGGTGTGGAAGTGCTGACACTTACAAGCAGTGTCATCATTTTGTGCAGCACAGACCTCTGAGGAGGTCTGGTTGGCTGGGCAGCACCTGGTAGGTACCTTCTGAAGTTTCTGCTTTCTTAACATTTTGCTTATATCTAGTCATGTGCTGTCTTCTTGAAAAACAGGTCCAAAATGCGATGGAAAGTCTACTTGACCCTTTTCAAATCCATTAAATTGTAAACAGATGAGGTAGAAATCATGTTGTGTGTTTTTGTGTGGGTGCCCCTCCTCTGAAGACATAGCCTCTTTAAGCCTGGAAGGGATGTTCACTGGAAGGGATGAGGAGCCAGTGGTAAGGCATTCCATTTCAACTGGCTCAAGTAACTTCTGATGTGGATCAGGCTTGGATTACTACAATCATTTTCTCTTCTATGTTTTATGCTAGTTTATGTATTGTTTGCAAATTAGTTTATTAAGAATGTTCTGAGTGCCTGTTATGTCCCAAGCACTAGGCATGAGAATATAGAAATTCATTAGACATGTTCCTTGCCCTTTGAGAGCTTATAATATAGTAAAGGGAATGTATACAAATTAATGTCAGTTCAATATTTAGGATGACCAACTGTTCTGGTTTGCCCATTTTTAGCACTGAAAGTCCTACCCCTCCAATCCTGGGCAAATGGGGGTGGTTGGTTACCCTTCTACAACTCCACAGGGAAAAGAATATCTTGCCACTGTGGCAAGTCACTGGAGGGTTAAAACTATGGCAATGGATATTTCTTAGACTTTTTTTTTAAAGCAACATATTTCTTACACCTCAGTGTTATGGAATAAGTTTATGATTGCTACATTGTGGGGCTACTAAGAAACTCTGAATGTTGCACAAAGAAAAATTATGATCCCTAGAATTTGAGCCTCTAGATTTTGAGCCAATAGCTAAGATTCTATTAGAGAAATAGTATGCAGGATTGAATGAGGCCCCTCAAAAGTAACTCCTGATGTGTGGACTATCAGAGGACTGACAAGAGATGGAGTTGAGAGGATTTTACATAATGCTTTAGAACTCTGGGCTGATTTACAGAGAGGTTAGCAGAAGGCTCTGGAAGGAAGACAGGCAAATGCACTTATTAGAGTTTGATAAAGATATTAATTTATCTGTAATTCCCAGGAGCATTTGGGAAAAGCGAGAGATAGGGAAGTTGAGCTTTAGGGCCCTTATTTTGGACTCTGAAATTCTAACCTCTTCCTAGATAGTGGTTAATGGCACTAGAGACCTGACGTCCAGGACCCAAGCTTGAACATATTACCCAGGTCATGGGTTGACTTGTAGGTATAGGCAGTTGTACATGTGATGGAAATGGTTAACTGCCAGGGCAGGTATGCAAGGCTGAGAAAAGACAGGGATGTCCCAGAAACTATTGTGGTCCTCAAATTGAACAATGCTTAATGATGGCAGATGACAAAATATAATACTTTTGCTAATTCTATTTTTAAAAGAATTTTTAAAATAATTTATATATAATTTTTATATAATCTCTACATCTAGCATGGGGCTTAAACTCACAACCCTGAGATCAAGAGTCACATGCTTTACTGACTGAGCCAGCCAGGTGCCCCTTTGCTAATTCTAAAGAAAGGAGAATGAGTTAGATGCTGAATTTATTAGAAAGCAGGTGAAAATGTGTCTGTGTTTGTTGTGTTTGCCATAAAGGTGCTAGGGAGCTTAGATTTTAGGAGGTGGGGACTCATTCTGTTTAGAACAGATACGGACAGGGGCAAGAGCTGAAGGGCATGCCATACTCCAAACTCATTCTCCCTCATCTCTGCCCTAACTTCTAATTTCTAAGACTGTGAAAGTAGGTGTGGTAACTGCTATTGGGTGACTGCCCACAACTCTCTTACCCCTCTCCCTTTTCCCTTCTCTCTACACATTTTCAGTCTTTCAGTGATTGGTCTAGGGTGACACGTGACCTAGATTTAAATAATGAGACATAAGCAGAAGTTGCTGTGTGAGACTTCTGGAAAAGTTTTGTAATATGCTGGCACGCTTTTTGTCTCTTTACTCCTTTCTCCCTAGGACAAGACTTAGTCTTAAGGCACAATAGCCACATGAGGAACAGGCATAAGGATGAAGCCCATTGCCATGGATGCTGCAGTGGAAAAATGCAAAAATCCAGGGTCTTTGATGGTATCACTGATGAACTGTATCAGTCTCAGAATTGTCTGTCCCCATACTCTTTTTAAAAAAAAAGATTTTATTTATTCATGAGAGAGAGAGAGAGAGAGAGAGAGAGAGAGAGAGGCAGAGACACAGGCAGAGGGAGAAGCAGGCTCCATGCAGGGAGCCCGATGTGGGACTAGATCCCGTTACCCCAGGATCATACCCTGAGCCGAAGGCAGACTCAACCACTGAGTCACCTAGGTGTCCCTGTCCCCACACTTCTTGTTATATCAGAAAAATAAACCTTTTTTTAAAAAAAGATGTTATTTATTTATTCATGAGAGACAGAGAGAGAGAAAGAGAGAAGCAGAGACACAGGCAGAAGGAGAAGCAGGCTCCATGCAGGGAGCCCAATGTGGGACTCGATCCTGCGGCTCCAGGATCATGCCCTGGGCTGAAGGCAGGGGCTAAACCGCTGAGCCACCCAGGGATTCCCAGAAAAATAACTTTTAATTACTCAAGTTAGAATTGGATTTGTTTTCTCTTAGTTGCAGCTAAAGGGATCCTTTACAGGTAGCAAAGGAAAGGAAAAGGATATAGCTAATGTGGAGACAGAATTAGAAAGGACAAGTTTAATGGCACTAGTGTAGGCTTTGCCAGAAGGGAAGATGGGAATTTATTATAGCAGGTAAAAGCTTGAATCTCACCAAACCAGTACTTCTTTGGTCTGTCATCAATATGATGTCCTAGGACCAAATTCAGCAATTAAAGTTTTCGGGAAGTCAAAAGTCATATGTGGATTTTTTATTGCAATGGGAAGTTGGTACCCCTAACACCCTACATTGTTCAAGGACCAATTGTACATATCACAACCACGTGGGATTTATCCCAGGAATGCAAGGTTGGTTTAGTAATCCAATGTAATACACCTGTTTCTAGAATAAAGGATAAAAAGTACATAATCATCTCAATGGATACAGAAAAAGCATCTGATAAAATCCAAAACCCTTCCATGAACAAATTAGAAACAGAGTGGAACTTAACCTCACAAAGGCTCCATAAGTAGTGATAAGACACTGGATGCTTTGCCCCTGAGGTCAGGAACAAGACAAAGATGTCTGCTCTTTCCACTTCTATTCAACATTATACTGGAGGTATACTGAAGACCAAAGGGCCATTTCCCACATTTTCTGGACTATTAGGGCCCTAGGATTCTGGGTGTGAGCCAGGGAGAGGCACTCATAAAGATACTGGGTGTGTCGACATCCTAGTTCCTGGGGATTACTATTTTCTGAATTTGAGTTAGAAAAAAAAATAATATGATATTTCTCACATTAGAATGGTAAGGTACAGCTTCATACCCTTAATCACTGCTGTGGGGATCCCTGGGTGGCGCAGTGGTTTGGCGCCTGCCTTTGGCCCAGGGCGCGATCCTGGAAACCCGAGATCGAATCCCACGTCGGGCTCCCGGTGCATGGAGCCTGCTTCTCCCTCTGCCTGTGTCTTTGCCTCTCTGTGTGTGTGTGTGTGACTATCATAAATAAAAATTAAAAAAAAATCACTGCTGTGAAAGTAAAGATAGATGTGAGAATCAGATACATGGGTGGGTAAGGGGCAAAAAAGATGAGTGGGAGCAGGCTGTGGTGGGGGCAGGAACAGAATAGCTTCCTAGTGAAGGTATTTAAGCAGAATCTGGAAAAAATGGGTAGATATTTGTTAGGTAGATAGAGGCAAAAAGAAGGGAGCAGCATGAAAAAAATATGGAGGTGTGGAACAGTTTGGTATATTTGGGGGACATTTAGCAATTTATTAATGTGGCTGGAGTAAAGGATGGAAGGGGCATGGTAAAGGATTAAGCAAGAGAAACAGACAAAGCTGGGTCCCAAGAAGCCCACTGATCCCATGCTAGGCCTGCTGTTTGTTCCAGCATCTGTTTCCCTTGCAGGCTCAACACTCTAACTTCATTCTGATTTTTTTTTTTTTAATGCCTCCTGACCTGCTATCACCCCACTCTCAGCTTGGATTCTTGTTCTTGACTCTTTGCCTAATGTAACCAAGGACTTTCCATTTCTCCACCCATTTCCAGCTCAACCAGATCATTGCCTGTGTAGTTAGACTCCTGCTGGACATATTTTGGCTTGAATTCTGTCACTTCTGTGGCCAATTAGGGCAGACATGGCCTGTAAAGCTCTGGAATGCATCTCCAGAGACTCTGACATTTTAAGTAGGAAATTGAAAGACCTAGGTGGTATTCCCATTTCTTTTTCTAGTTCATACAGACATGACTTTGTAAGAGAAATGAGGATGTGGAAAGTGAGTCATTAGCTACATAACTGGGACTACACAGTAGGATTTGGTAATTGAAATTATGTTTTCCTGGTGATGGATAGATTCATAAATACTTAGAAAAATAATTTTATTTATTTATAAATATATTTATTCCCTACCACATTCCACAAAGCAGTTATGCCAGTTTAGAAAAATGCAACAATACAAAAAAAGATAAAATACCCAAGGGATTGGGTAAAGGAAAAATAAGGGTAGGGCAATAACAAAGCCAAGATTAGGTAAGCTCAGAGAAATGCAAACCACTCACTTTTGCTAGGAGGGAGCCTAGCACGCTTTTCCTGATAAAAGTGTTTGAGAAACTATCTTGTGGATCCTTATTGAGTAGTGAATGTATTTCAGAGGACTCCTTCAATTAATATGATAATGAATTTCATATGGCTATAGAGTAGTTAAGAGTTTGGGTCTTGGAGTTAGCTTTTCTGGATTCCAACCTGGCTCTACCATTTACTAGCTATGTGATCTTGGAAAACTACTTAACCTCTCTGGGCCTCAATATCTTCATTTGTAAAATAGATACAGTGAGTCCTACCTCAAAGGATAGTTATGGACATTATATAAATTAATATTTGTGAAGTGTTTAGAACTGCTTCTGCACACAATAGGCACCATGAAGTCTTAATTTTTTTAAGTTAAAGTATATTGCATAATTATTAGATGTTTATTAAATTTTGTGAAATTAAAAATTATTTATAATTCTTAGATCTATAAAAGTTCCAGAAAATACAGACAGATTGCTCTCTTGTGGTCTGAATTGACCTAAGAGTGAAATTTATGGGAATGAATGGATGGCACATATCTTTCAGGAAGGGCTGGGGAATGGGTTTATGAAGAACCTTGCTTATCTGATGAAGTGATATTCTTCTGAGGAAAAAGAAATAAAATACTCAAATGGAACAAAATAATCTATTAGGAGGATGGTGAGTCAATTCTTAAGAAAATTGGGGGATGAAAAAAAAAAGAAAATTGGGGGATGGAATAATACTTAAGGTTGCAGTTGACTAAAGTTTAGAGTGTGCATGGAGTGTAATTAGAAAGGTTACACAACATTTATAGTTGATGAGACCTGGTGGACTGGCACTAATGACTAGAATTTATTTATGGCAGTATGGACTTTGTTCAAAAGAATTACTCTAGGTAGTGGCCTTGTTCTCCACCTTTCTCTTCTGGTCGGCGAGGCTGCTCTGCTCTTGTCAGCCTCCTGCCTGCAGTCTGCTTGAGAGTGAGCACCATGCCTTCAATTAAGTTGCAGAGTTCTGATGGAGAGATATTTGAAGTTGATGTTGAAACTGCCAAACAGTCTGTGACTATCAAAACCATGTTGGAAGATTTGGGAATGGATTATGAAGGAGATGATGACCCGGTTCCTCTACCAAATGTTAATGCAGCAATATTAAGAAAGGTCATTCAGTGGTGCACCCACCATAAGGATGATGCCCCTCCTGAGGATGATGAGAACAAAGAAAAGTGTACAGATGATATCCTTGTTTGGGACCAAGAATTCCTGAAAGTTGACCAAGGAACACTTTTTGAACTTATTTTGGCTGTGAACTACTTAGACATCAAAGGTTTGCTTGATGTTACATGCAAGACTGTTGCCAATATGATCAAGGGAAAAACTCCTGAGGAGATCCACGAGACCTTCAATATCAAAAATGACTTTACTGAAGAAGAGGAAGCTGAGGTTTGCAAAGAGAACCAGTGGTGTGAAGAGAAGTGAGATGTTATGCCCGACACTGTAACACTGTAAGGATTGTTCCAAATACTAGTTGCACTGCTCTGTTTATAATTGTTAATATTAGACAAAGAGTAGACAAATGCAGCACCAAATCAGTTGTTTTAGTAGAATACTGTATTCCTTGCAATGTGTAGTTAAGTACAGATTCCAAAGTTATGGCTGAGTTTCTTCTAGTATGATCAAAGTTTCTTTTTTCTTTGCTCTCAATAAACTGAACTGTGGGTTCTCTGTAGAAGGTGGCATTTTGGGCTTTCCCTCTCTTTGGAAAGTGATTTCTGCCTAGTTTACTGTCTGGTTAACTTTAGTTTAATGATCTTTTAAAAGTTGTCATTGTAAATAAAACAAATTGAAAAAAAAAACTACTCTAAAAGAAGAGGCAGAGGAAGAGACAGCATTGAATGAACTGAGCTGTGCTTATAGTTATAAGGAAACCCAGGAACCTAAATATGAGAATTTGGTAGAGCCAGCCAACTGGCTAAGAGTAAACCAGAAAGTGTAATACAGGCTGTCTAGCTGAATAAGACATGTGAAGTGAGGGATGAATGAACATTCAATAAACATCTCCTTCTGGGATGGAATGGCCAGAGGCAGTCTTGTTCTCCTGCCTAGAACAACTAGAAAAGCTGGACTACACAGAAATCATTTGTCTGAAGGCAGTGAGGAGGTGCTGAGACAATGAAAATGAATGGTAGCTAAGTTTCTGGAGAGGGGAGAATCAAGGCAGATGGGGAAATTACTGCAACTGCTTTTACCCTGAGGGCACATGTTTATTCTGAGTTGGAGGGAGAGCTGGTCAGAGGTGAGAATCTAGGATTTTCACATGCTGAAGTACTTGCAAGGGAACTAAGAAACCAGCAGATTCTTTTGGTGGAGACCAGGCAGGGGTGGGGTGGGTGCTCAAACCAATTTTTCACTAGCACATTTACCAAATACTGGGGCTGCATAGAGCAGGAGGCAAAAACACCCAAGGAAAAAGCCTTTAGAAGCAGAGTATTTTAACAGACTTGGGATAGAATGATTAGAATTGGGCTTGTCCAAGGGAAGGGGATGCACATAATATACCAGGTTTCAGTGGAAAATCCTGGAAGGCCAGGAGCAAACCAGGGGTAGATTGAGCCTTAGCAGGACTATAGTCCAGCCTGGACTTAATATAGCTCCTGAGTAGATAGGATGATTTGTCACTAGTCTGTCTGCCCAGTGCAGGTCAGAATGGACCCTCTCTAGAGAAATACCAACTGGAGCCTCTGCAATTTATTTAGACACACTGAGCATCTCTCATTAGAATAGTACCAGGTGCACCAAAAGATAGGATCACATGTCTGAAAATCAGAAGAAAAAAAGAGCTAAAACAAAGCCACAGGTGATGCAGGTATTAGAAGCAGCATACAAGAACTTTAAAATAGCTATGATTAGTATGTTCAAGGAAATAGGTGAAAAAATGGAGAATATCTTCAGAGAATTAGAGTCTATTAAAAAAAAGAAACAAATGTAAATCAGAGAACTACTAACCTACAACCACATGCAAATCATAGGCCAGACATATGCTGGGTGTTTTAACATGCAATATTATTTAATCATCTTAAAAACTATATGAGTTATATCTTGTTGTCTATTTAACATGTGACAGGGACAAGAGTTACTAATGTGTGTCTGTCATGCTCATTCTCCCCTTTTTTCATTCTCCCCCACTCTATTTCTACTCACAAAAGGACAAGTCTTGTGAATTCTATTCCTGGATATTTTAAAGATTTTATTTATTTATTGTGTCGGGGCGGGGGGTGGGAAGAGAGAAAGAACTCAGAGGGAGAAGGAGAGGGAGAAGTATATTCCTAGCTGAGCATGGAGGACCCTGACTCAGGGCTGGATCCCAGGACCCCAGGATCATGATCCAAGCTGAAGGCAGACACTTTACTGACTGAGCCACCCAGGCGCCCCTATTCCTGGATATTTAATTAATTAATTAATTAATTAATTAATTAAAATATTTTACTTATTCATGAGAGACACAGAGAGAGGCAGAGACACAAGTAGAGAGAGAAGTAGGCTCCCTGTAAGGAGCCCAATGTGGGACTTGATCCCAGGACCCCGGGGTCACAATCTGAGCCAAAGGTAGGTGTTCAACCACTGAGCCACCCAAGTGCCCCTATTCCTGGATATTTTATTTTATTTTTTTAAAGATTTTATTTATTTATTCATGATAGTCACACACACACAGAGAAAGAGGCAGAGACACAGGCAGAGGGAGAAGCAGGCTCCGTGCAGGGGGATTCAATACCGGGTCTCCAGGATCCCGCCCCGGGCCAAAGGCAGGCGCCAAACCCCTGCGCCACCCAGGGATCCCCATGGATATTTTAAATAGGAAGAGAGAGAGAGACAGGACCTCAGGGGGAGGCAGAGTAGGGGCTGCCAATTTAGAGAATATGTATTAGCTGAGAGAGAGGGAGGGAGAAGGTAGAGGAACAGGGGCTGGTGATGTAGGCAGAGTTTTAGTTTTTTTTAAAGTGTGCATATGTGTGAAAGGCTCTTGGAATAGCTTCTGGTTAGATATAATTGAGGAGTAGGGGAAGAATATTTAAGAAATGTCGTGGGTAATGAACTATTTCCTCTTTGGTATTCTTTGAAAGTACAAATAAATGTTAAAAATCACTTTTTGGCCTCAAGATAGTGCTTCTTTGTATACCGCTTATGCAGAGATTAGCCAAATGGGGCTACTAGGTTTGTTATGGTTTCAAGTAAATGAATATACTATTGCATAGAGAGGTTAAATATTTCACATGAATTCACACAGTTGGCAAATAATGAAGCTGTCAGGAACCTAGGGCCATCTGATTCCAAAGTCCATGCTTCATGGACAATACAAACTACATTTTGGGATGCCTGGGTGGCTGAGTCAGTTAAGCATCTGCCTTTGGCTCAGATCATGATCTTAGGGTCTAGGATTGAGCTGAGTAGGGAGCCTGTTTCTCCCTCTCCCCTCTGTTCATATGCTCTCTCAAGTAAATGAAATCTCTAATAACAAAACAAAACAAAAACCCACCAAACTACATTTTACCACAATAGAAAGCTGCCTTGCTTTGACTCCCCAGAAAGAGAGGTAACAAAGGGAGAATTTCTACACTGAACCTAAATTTGACTAAGGCTGAGAAATTAGTTGGTAAAATGGGAAAGTGGTAGAAATGCCAGGAAAAGGCAATTGTGTTATCCTGGAGTCTGCGTGGTCAGACTTGACTTATAGACTTTAACCCAAGTCATAAGACCATATATTTAAAAAGGTAGAAGAAATATGCTTTTCCCTAAAAAAGAAAATAGAGCACACAAAGGTCTTATGATAAATAAAGGGATCCAGAAAGACCTCATTGCAGAAGCACCATTTGAGCTGAGTCTTTCAGGACAGGGCAGGGTTTGAACATACAGAGAGAGGAGAAGGGGCAATAAGAACAAGGGCTCAAAGATGTGGCAACTTAAAGTTTGTATATTAATTTGGTTGGACTCGATGGTGCATGAAAGGTGATGAGGGGAGGTAGACTGGAGTTTGAATACTTGGCTAAGGAATATGGACTTTAGAGTATAATCAATAGCAAGCCACAAGCCATCTTTAAGCTGAAGAGTGGCAGGATCAGTGCTGTGTTTCCAGAAGATAAATCTGGTGGCAGTATCAGATGGACTGGGAAGGGCAGCACTAAAGGCATGGAGACAAGGGATGACTACAACACTACAGGGAAGAGGGAAACAGACTCTGAAGGAGGACAGTGAGGGTAAGAAGAGAGAGGAGAAAACATGCAGCAGATGCTATGGGGACAGCATAGGCAAAGCTTATGTCGCTGGGTACTGGCATGACCGAAAAACATGTGGCAGTCAGGGGAGTGCCTCATGAAGATTAATCTGGCCTAACAAACAGCGTAAGTTAGACGAGGGAGAGACTGGAGGTAGGGAGACTAGCTAGGAGTGTAGTGAAGAAGTCTTGGTGACAATAAACAGTAGGAACAGGAAGGAAAGGACAGTTACAACTCATGAGGAGAAAACTGATATGACTTAGTGATGAAGGGGGTGTGAAGGGCGAGAAGGCTGGAGGTCACTGAGGTTTCAAGCCTGACTGAGCAGAGAGTGGCGGTGCTGCTATTAACAGAAAGACAGAAGTCAGAATGAGAAGTTAGCTGTGGGGTTGGGGAACATCACAGCAAGAAACAGAAGATGAGAGATACACAGGGAGCTGAGGACATCAGATTTTAAAAGAACATATGAAAAAGATTCAAGAAAGACTAGAAAACCAAGGAGTTAGAGAAGTGTTGAAAACTTGTAAATATAGGATCAGAAAGGTTCAAGCTTTAATAAGGTTCTTGTCACATAGCAAGCATTGGAAAGAGATTTGTTGAATGCATCAGAAGAGGATTGTGGGGAATTCTCCCCTCTATAATACACTGCCTTTCAGGATTTTTGCTGCTCGGAGATGTAGAACAACAGTAACACAAGATGGTTGAAAGGCTATTACAAGTACCCCCTCACTTTAAGTGAATTCAAGTACAGAAGGCTGGGGTGTTAAGTAAAGGGAGAAACAGCCCCAGGGGTGCAGGCTATGTTTATCTGGCTAAATCCAGAGTACGGAATTTAGCAAGGAAGTTAAAAGCATAGGCTTTGCAGTCAGTGGACTAGGTTCAAATTCTGTCTTGGCCACTTTGGTAGTTGTGTGACTTTTGCTAAGTCACATGATCTTTTTAGACTTCAGTCTTTTACATGTATAAAAATGGTGACAACAGTCCATATCTCACAGAATTATTGTAAGGATTAAATGAGGTAAACTATGCAAAGCCCTTGCTTAAATGAGTAGCACTTAGTAGGTGCTCCAAAACATGGGCATCTATTAGTGATGGGTCAACCACATACTTGTACGTTTCCATGATAGAGGAGTGATACAGAAGATCCTCTTTGGCCCTTAGAATGGTACCTGGCATGTAGTGCTCAATAAATATATTTTATTATTATTATTTTTTATTGGAGTTCAATTTGCCAACATATAGCATAACACCCAGTGCTCATCCCATCAAGTGCCCTCCTCAGTGCCCGTCACCCAGTCACCCCCACCCAGCTCCCTTTCCACCACCCCTTGTTCGTTTCCCAGAGTTAGGAGTCTCTCATGTTCTGTCTCCCTCTCTGATATTTCCCATTTTCTCTCCTTTCCCCTTTATTCCCTTTCACTATTTTAATAAATATTTGTTAAACAATTAAATAAATATTAGATGCTCAAACACCAATTCAGAGGAAGAGTCTGATTTATATATGTAGGCTAGAAGGAAATAGAATACTCTTTCCCATTTTTATTTTTAATGGCTGCATAATACTTCATTGTTTGGCTGAATTATCGTTCCCATAACCTTTCCTTTATTTTGATTTAGCCATTTCTCTATTTAGGACATTTAGGTTATTTGAATTTTTGACTATTGTAAATAACACTGAGATAAGCATGCTGATATATATTTTTTTATTCCCTTTGTTGCTTATGTTCCTGTGCTACATACACTCCCAGCAAAATAAAGTATTGAAATAGCTTTCACTTTCCAGAAAATTTACACTCCTTCTAGCAGCATATTAAGATGCAAATGTCTGTTTAAAGTATCATGTACTATAAGAATGTAGGGAGGCCACTCAAGGGAAATTCCTCCCGAGTGATGTAGCATTTCTGCGATCCTGAAGAATGAGGTGGAGTAAATAGTCAACTGAGCTGTGGGATGTATCTGTTGTCTCTGCTCTGCAAAGACAGGGGATGGGTGTTCTTCAGATAGGAAACAGGAACTCTGTGGGTGGGCCTAAAAGGGAGTGGGTTTTGAAACAGGAAAAAAGAAGCCTTCTGATAGTGAAAGAGATGTATTGCTGTGCTGGTCTGATCACCCATATGCTACTAGGTTAAACTGTTCTCCTATTTCCACTCACAGACCTGTCCTCGATTATATTTACAGTTGTTTTATCTTGCTTTGTAAGTGTTTCCTGCTCTTTTCTAAGTGTTTCTAAGTTATTTTTTTCCACTTTAGGAAATGGGCATCCACTTAGTTACTCCAATCAGAAACCAAGCAGTTGATACCTTCATCTTCCTCACTCCCTACAACCAATCCTTCACCAAGTCTGACTCTCTCTTTAAAGTATGTCTTTTTTGGGGGGGATCCCTGGGTGGCTCAGCAGCTTAGTGCCTGCCTTGGGCCCAGAGCCTGATCCTGGCGACCTGGGATGGAGTCCCATGTCGGGCTTCTGCATGGAGCCTGTTTTCCCTCTGCCTATATCTCTGCCTTTCTCTCTGTGTCTCTCATGAATAAATAAATAAAATCTTTAAAAAAAAAAGAATGTCTTTTTTAAATTAAATATTATTTATTTATTTGTTTGTTTATTTGAGAGAGAGGAACAGAGAGAGAGAGAGAGAGAGAGAGAGAGAGAGAGAATGAGAATACAAACAGAGGAAGGAGCAGAGAAGGAAGGAAGAGAGGGGGAAAGAATCTCAAGTAGACTGCCTGCTGAGCGGGGAGCCCGACTCAGGGCTCCATTCATGACCCTGAGACCACAATCTGAGCTGAAACCAAGAATCTGATGCTTAACTGACTGAGCCACCTGGGCACTCCTAAAATATTTCTTTAACTGGTGTACTTTTCTTGACTTCCAACATTCTAGTCCAAGTCATCAACATCTCTTGCCCAGACTATAGCAATAACCCTCCCACCTAATTTTATTGTTCTCATTCTTGCTTCTGCCAGTTATTTCCAATGTTTGGTGTAAGTAATCTTTTAAAAATTCAAATTGTCTCTCATGATTTCTTGTACTTAAAGTCTAAGGTCCTTAACTTGGCCTACAAAGTTTCGCATGATTTACCCCTGCTCACTTCTCCAGCCCACCTTTAGGCTCTCCTCCCTTGCTTTCTTTGTTTTAGTCACAGTGGTCTTTCTGTTCTTGATTCTTCTCTCAGCTCTTTCCTGCTTTGTTTGGGGTATTTGCACATGCCTTTTCTAGGCATGATCTTTCTGTCACCCTTCACCTGGCTAATTCCCACTCCCATAAACTGGCAGGTCTCAGTCTAAATGTCACTTTCACAGAGAGGCTTTCTGGCAGCAGCCTCTTCTTCATAAACTTCCCACAATAAGTATTGATATATATATAATTACATTTCATAATTATGTAATTTATATCTATATATATAAAATTATAAATGATATATTACGTATATATAAAATTCTGTCTCTTTTAATAACAGTATAAGTCTCTTGAGGTCATGGATAACATCTATCATGTTACCATTGACTACAGTTTAGCAAGATGTCTGGAACAGTCTAGGTGTCCTTCATTTAAGTAAACCATAATGCCCAGCCCGGTGTTAGAAAGAGAAGTGTTAATATATAGCCACTTATGGAAAATACCCTATTTCTGTTTAAATGTACAAAATTAGGGATTTTCAAGTTTAGTGTCATATAACTGAGTTCAGGAAGTATTCTCTATGGCATGAAACCAACGAAGGCAAGTCATATTTAATACACATTTCAGAATATTTCTAGTTTTTTCCTGTCCTCTTGAGAATTGGGACAGGTTTGGGATCAGAGCAGGATGAAGCTAGCTACTTTTCTGTGGTTAAGGCCTTAACACTCTTCTTCCTCACCTGGGGACATGGATACTCACCAGCAGGCTGTGACACAAAGCATGGAAATGCTGCTGATTTGTCTCCAGCTCATCCCAGTCCAGCTGCCAACAGCTTGTGGGTCTAAGGATGAAGGGCAGTCCATATGTCAATGACTCGCAGATTCCACTGGAATTTAGAGCCCTGGCAAGAGACAATGCAGCAAAAATCTCCTCAGTGATATCTAGAACCCTGACACCAGATCAGCTTAAATTCAGTTTATGTCAGTTTACTGTGAAATCCTTTGGGTTAGAGACTGAATTATTCACCTTAGCATGGCCAGCACCTAGCAAGGTATCTGGCACATAGCAGATTCTCAAAATCTGTTAATCAATGAATGAAGCATCACCATGAAGAGCCATCTAGACTCTGATGGATGTTTCTTCTCCTGAGCTCACTCCATTTTAAGTGACTTCTCTGAGGACACTTCCAGAATACCCCTGCTACAATAACCATGTAACATGACAGTATGCTAACCATCTGCATCCCAGTCCTGGCTATCCTGTGGCAAGGTGCTGATGAGAGAGATGCATTTAAGAAAGGGTGAATTGGGTGCCTGGGTGGCTCGGTCGGTTAGGTGTCTGACTCTTGATTTTGGCTTGGTCATGAGCTCACGGTCATGAAATTGAGCCCTGCATTGGGCTCCACACTGGGCATGGAGCCTGTTTAAGATCCATTCTCTCCCTCTCCCTCTGTCTCCCCCACTACCCGCTCACTCTCCTCTCCGAAAGAAAAAAAAACAGGAAAAATTTAAGAAAGTTCCCCAGTGCATCCATAGTCAAGCTTACTCATATACTTGTGCACAGGTACTCTGATAGGAACTAGGAAGCAGTAAAAGTGGTGGTCTTTGCCATCACTGCTAATTCTACCCAAGAACTGGTCCCTCTGGAAGCAGAATTCTAGTATTTAGAAAAATGGCAAGGCAGGAGTAGATCCTATCTATCCCCTTGTTCCTTGAAGGTCAGATCTCTGTCCTGATGCCTAAACACGGCAAGGTATTCAGTACACAGTTGTGGAATGCATTAACACTGCTGATCTTGTTTTTCTTTGTGTTCAGAGACTTTCTGGATTTCCAAATCTTCATCCAGGTTTCAGAATGTCCTACTGAGGCACATCTTCCACCATATGCCCATTTGTCTCCACATGTGGAGTAGCCTGATATTGCTCTTTCATTGCCATACCTGCAGTTTCTGCTTTGGAACTAACTCCCACTGCCTGGCACTTGGAGATGCCCTCTACCTCTGGACTTCCTAGCTGGAACCAGTAAGAACAAGCATTTGCACAGATTGGGGAAGTTCCCTTGTCCCATACTTGATCACCCGGAGCTTGTAACAAGAGGCTGATGACTGGGAGGCCATCTGGTAGAGTGTGCTGAAGTCTCCTTTGGGGTCATCCATTCTCAAGGAGCCATCAGCTGTGCCAGGGAGTAGGGACGGGCTGAGGAGTCGCTCTTGGAGATCACATTTCAGGCACACTACAATAAAAATGGCATTGGAGGAGGGATTGTTTGTCACAAGTTACCTCAGGCTATGTGAGTAAGAGACAACATCTGCTACCCATTCCACATCCACCAGGCAAGTAAGGCTTGGGAGGAGGCAGGGAATGGAAAGGGGAAAGTATGACTGGTCTGGAAAGACAGAGCAGGTCTGGACCTACAGTGTTGCTCAATACTATATCTAACTTGTTTTCTGGGTCTGATATGATTTTTACTTGTCTTATATCTGGGCTGGCTGAACAGTAGCCTCTTAGTGAGAGATCTGGCTTGTGATCCAGTCTGAGAGGAATATGGGCCCTCTGTGGAGGAGGCAACTAACACTATAATATGCAGAGCCCTTTGCAATCACAGATGGAAATCTTGCCTCTGCTGCTTCCCTGTGGCTAAGCTTTGGCAAGACTATAGGTCAGATGAAGGAAGAGTAGGAAAGCAGAAGTCAGGGAGTCAGCTGACAGCTATTGTTTCTCTGTGGGCTCTTGTAGGGACATTCAGGGGAGGGGGAGGAATAAGTTCCTGAAATGGTTTATTTTTTAATTCCCCAAAGAAACCTGAATGTAGAATCTTCTAGAGCATCACTGTGGCAACAGACAACCATTCTGAGGGGGCTTCACCTAGGTATGAATTATTCATCAAGGTATTATGTTTTTCTGTATTAAGATTCTGCTCTGGGAGGTGGGTACATTCACATGCCACAGTGTGCAATGTTCTATTGCACTAGGCTTTTGAAGCCTTGATACTACAATTTTTTTTCAATAAAAATGGTATACATACAGGTTTGAATACTGTTAACGAACATGAAGTAAAAACGAAAGCAGAAAAAATATAGAAGAATAAATATGATGGCAGAATAGATGTCAGATCCAGCTGGCCCAGCAACTAGACATAGACATTAACTTTGGGTGAGACAGTCTTAGCTGCTATGTCTTGGAGCCCAGGAAGTCAGTAGGAGTGACTCGGCCTAGGACTCAACTCTCCTCCTTTCCTTGGTGCCTGACTTCTCCATTGTTAGATCTCTGGGCTTTAGGGCTGGAGAGCTGTGTTCATCTGGCTGAGATTCTCCATGCTGGTTGCAATAAGAATCACCTCTTTATTAAGGAAATTTTATCTTTTTATATTTTAAAAGATACTGATGTTTGGGCCCTACTGCACACTAGTGAAATTGGGATCTTTGGAGATGGAAGCCAGATCCTGGTGTATTTTTAAAAGTCCCTTGTGTGATTCTTACTGTAGCCATGGCTGAGAACTACTGGAACTGAAGTCTCGACAGTGTGCCAAGGCTGCGAAAGCTGTCTTAGCAGGACTAGAATCTAAAATCAGGTGTGCTTCTCGCCACCCTGAACCCAGATGCTGAGGTGGCAGACTCCAAACCCATGAAACAAGAAAAGACACTCATCTGAAGCTGACTGTGCTCTCTGTCAGGAGGCCTCTGAGGGAAGCACTGAAGAGCAGGCTGAAGGGCCCTGGGCAGTTACAGAAGCAGGTGGAGTGGGTGGAGAACCTTGTAAGGAGTCAGAGTGAACATCTGAGGAGCAGTCCTCAAAAGATTCTAGAGTAGGAAAGCTCAGGGTTCTCTATTGTTTTGTTTCCTTTTTTATAGTGAGCCGTTATTTCCAGAAATACAGTGTAGTCATGTATCAGTTTTTTTTTTTAAACAATGGACAACTACAGTATGGTCTTTATTGTAGTTGTATAAACTCTCAGATGGGTCACATGCACCCTGGAGAAGGGCTACTTTCCCCAGATCTCACTCCAATTGCGCCCGAGCATCTGGACTCCAGTGTAGGCCTCCCTAGTAGAAGAGCTGATGAGTCTGGATCTAAGTTCCACCATACGCCCTGAAGACCTGCAAATTTCCAAAAAAATAACTGCAGATGGAGATAAACATTCTGGGCTGACCCTGGTGCCATGGAAAGAGGAAGGGGGAAGGTAGAGAAGTTCTCCACTACTCCATGAGCAAGTGCTGTGTAACAGCTGAAAAAAGGCTGGTTGCAGGAGTTCCTGGCCTTTGAGAACCCCAGCCTTCCATATGAGAGAAGTGCTCAGCATGAGGCAGCATCTTTGTTTATAAATGCCCAGCATGAGGCAGGTTGTGTAGTAGGTAAGGGTCCAGGTTCTGGAGGCAGATAGACCTGGGTTTGATGAACATTTTCTGGGCTTACTATAATCAAATGTCCAAAATATGGATTTCTAATCTTAAGAATTAATGGGCTCTGGAGTTGCCTAGCCTCAGATTCTGCTATTAATTTTTCTGTGGAGTCCTAGGGAAATGTTTAATTTCTCTAAGTCTCAGTTTTCTCATCTGTAAAACAAGGAGATATGTTTAATTGATTCTAAGACACATTCCCCCCTCCCCCCACCACACACACATACTAACATCTCTACATATGTCTTACAATTGTCATTGGCCAGGCACACACTCCTAACAATTACCACTTTAACTTCTCAGTAAGGATAAAACAATATTTCTTAGTGATAGAAAGCACCGAGTCATGTTTAATTGGTAGTCTTTTTCTTCCTTAGTGGTACATAAAGTAATGGTGTATCTCATAACTGATAGCATCTCAGATTCAATGACATATGGTAATAGTACCTGTTTCACGGTGGTGGGGGGAGATGAAATAGGATAATGCAGGAAAGGAGGTAACATACTGCGTGGGGGAAAAATAGATATGGAGTGGATTCCAGAAGATGGGTAGGGAAGAATCAGCACCATCAGCCTTGAACAAAAGGAATGGAAAGAAGGTCCAGGGAAGAAGATTTACACACCAGTGAAAGACAGGTTGAAATCAAGGTAAGTCATTAAAGGCATCCCAGGCCTTAGGTTGAAATGGGGGTATGGAGAAGGGTCAGAAGGTAAGGATCTGATGGCTATCTGCAGAAAGGACCACCATGTGTCCTCCCCTTTGGGGGTGGGAATCTGTACCCTGTTTTTCTCATTGAACTCCCACCTCTACTAGCTGGGCTACTAGTTGTCCTCTGTGGGGCCTGCCTCTGTAGTTGCTTTAGTTTACCTCAATTTGGTGTCTTCCTATCCAGAAGTCCTCATTTAATCTTGGTTCTTTACTTTCTCACAGGCCCTCTTGATATTGTTTAAATACCAGCATGCCTCAAGTTATTATGTCAACAATATACTACAATTCAAAATGAAAAACTTGAGTAAAACATATGATTCACTGTGCTCTTCTTTAGTTTAGGTGCTCCCCAATTATTGAGGTATCTAAGTCTTTGCTCCCAAACTAACTGGCCCTTGCAGTCTGGGCTTAATTAGGTTCAGTTTCTTACTGTGGTTACTTTTTAGAAATTCTTTTCTTACTCCTTGTGCTTATACTGCACAGCCTCCTCCAGTCCCTAAACCTCAACTACAGTGTATTCTGATGACTCACAAATCTAGAGTCTTAATCTGAGACTAGGATAATCATAGCCTATATAATGTGTCTTTTGAGGGTGTGTACTTGAATCATCTTTGGCACTGGAAATGTTGCTGAAACACCGTGAAGGAAGAAGAAGATGGATATGTTCTTGGTCCGTTCCACTGTAATGTAGCCAGGCTTTAAAGAAAATCTCCATGCTGACAACATCATTGTCTATAGTCTGAAGGTCAATGTCAGTTCCCAGGATAGAACTCTCTGCAGAAGAAAGGAATTAGTTGGTAAAATTTTTAATTCTTTAATTGTACACCTTGAAAAATGTAAACATTTAAATGCATCTATCTTTTGACCTATCAATTCTATCCTTAGATAACTCGCTTAGAGGCATTCTTAGATAGTACACATGGACACATATGCAAAGATGTTCAGTACAGCATTATTGTAATAACAAATAATCAAAACCTCAAACAGGAAGCAATTCAAATATCCATCAATAGGAGAATGTTTAAATAAATTATAGCACACTCAACCTTTGGAGAATTACGAAGCTGTTAACAAACAAAATAAAAAATATACTGGCAGGGAAAGTTAAGAGACAGTAAATGGATAATGAATAAAGAAAATTGTAGGGAAGCCTGGGTGGCTCAGGGTTTGATTGTCTGCCTTTGGCTCAGGGCCTGATCCTGGATTCCTGGGATTGAGTCCCGCATCGGGCTCCCTGCATGGAGCCTGCTTCTCCTCCCTCTGCCTGTGTCTCTACCTCTCTCTCTCTGTGTGTCTCTCATGAATAAATAAATAAAATATTTTTTTTAAAAAGAAAGCTATAGAACAGATGTATATTATGAACCATTTACATAAAAATAAAATAAATAAAAATGAAACCCTTGGCCTAAGTACATATATATGTATGTAAATGCCTTTTACAAAGGTCTGGAAGGCTACCATCAAACTGTTAATGGTGGGCAGGAGTGGAAACAGGACAGAGTTCTGAAATATGTTTCTTTTTTATTATTCATACTTCTTTTGTTTGAATTTTATTGTATTTTAAAAACACTCTGGAATACAAAAGTAGCCCAAAAATAATACAGCAATGCAAGTTAAATATTTTGTTAACAAGGGGGAGCTTTAGCTTCTTCAGCTCTTATTTATTTTTAAAGACTTTATTCATTTATTTGAGAGAGTGAGAGAGCACAAGCAAGGGGAACAGCAGAGGGAGAGGGAGAAGCTGAGCATGGAGCCCAATGCGGGCTTGATCCCAGGACCCCAAGACTGTGACCCAAGTCAAAGGCAAATGCTTAACCGACTGAGCCATCCAGGCGCTGCTTCTTCAGTTCTTGTTTCACAGTAAAAGTGTATTCAATTATTACTTCTGCTATAAAAAAACAAATTTTTTAAAAAAGTAAAAGAAAAAAATGGTGCATCCCTGGGCTTTACCTTGGACACAGAGTCTACAAATTTGTCATTGGCATGCTGTAACTCACAAGTGTGATTAGCAGCCAGGAAGACAGGAATAGTCTGTGATTTGTTTCCAAATCTGAGTGAATGGAACTGGGTATGTGGAGGGGATGAGGTTTTGCTGGTCTACTTCCTACTTTAGGCAACACTTGCTCAGGAACTGCGGTCTGGGTCTGCAGGTAAAGGTTATCAGTAAAAGCCAAATATAAGGTAGTAGAGGAAGCCCAGAGAGAGGAAATGAGCCAAGAGCTGGAAAGAAACCGAAGAGGAACCTGATTTTTTTTTTTTTTTTTTGCCTTACCATGAGGGACTCTCTGAAATACTTTTACAAAGAGCCTAAGAAAATTGATGAATTAACTTCTGTGTATGACTCATAGACCCCAGGGAGAAGGCTGGTTTATTTCTAGAACGACATTCCTGAGGACAAGGCAGCAGAGGTGGCAGTCTCTCCACAGGGAACAAAGGGCTTCAGTCCAGCGTGTTGGTACCCACATAGGAGAGGTGTGGTGAGACTCAGATGACTTCATGTCATATTTAATGACTTATTCTGTGGATGAAAAGGGGCTCTAAACGCATTTCTCTTTGGCCAGTATGATTAAAACTCTGACATCTTCCATGAACATACTGAGGATTCGTTAGCAAAGTATTTCATTCATTCCATCAAGCAGCAATTTTATTATGTACTATATAAAAAATGAAATATTGCAGAAGGTACAAAGATTATATGATATTCTTTTCCTTTAAGGAGTTTTTTTTTTTTTATTTACGATAGTCACAGAGAGACAGAGAGAGAGGCAGAGACACAGGCAGATGGAGAAGCAGGCTCCATGCCCCAGGAGCCTGACGTGGGATTCGATCCCGGGTCTCCAGGATCGCGCCCTGGGCTAAACCGCTGCGCCACCCAGGGATCCCTCCTTTAAGGAGTTTATAAAGCTACATTATTGACCATTCCTCCTCAAACTGTCATCTGCCACATTATGCTTTAGGTACTGATAAATATAAAGTCACTGCCCAAGAAATGTCTTCATGAGCAAAGAGAAAGTATCTTTTTAATAATGTGAATTTTGTTTTGTCACAGGCAAAAGGAGAAGTAATTTAATTTTTCTGAGACTGAGGCCTGGACTTCAGTTTGAGTAACAAGTAAGGAAAGAACTGAATCCAGAGAACTTCAGTGAGGCAAAATCATCCTTAAAGCATAAGAAGGCAGATAAAGAACGAAAGAAATGGAATTGAGTGAAGGATCTCTGGAAGTGGAGAGGATAATATGGTTTAGAGTTCAAACAACAGACTTTTGCAGAAGAGAACTAAGTGTTTCTTTTCTTTTTCCCCAGGGAAAGGGTAGATTAGAAACTCCTAGCATGGCAGTATAAGGAGATCACAGCAAAGTGATCTCCTACCAAAACCTTGGAAATAGAAAAATAGGACTTTCCTCAGATAGTTAAACTACAATATCAACACAGAGTGGTAAGGTCACTGAAAAACAGTAATCTTAATAAAAGGGAATGGCTTACTGACCAGAGCAAGATTTGGCTATAGCCTATGGATGGGACTGGCTTTATACAAAAAATGAATGTGTCCATTAGCAGGGAAGTGGGTTGGCCAGAAATGGAGCACAGATAAGGGTAGCAACAGGAGAATGCAGAGGCTGCACTCATCCAAGTGTAGCTCAGAGGAGAGGGCATGCTGGCTTAATGGCATGTCCTGAAGGCAGGATGTGTTTATCAAGTCTCTGCTGTTCTTGGTATTATGGTAGTTATGGTTCTCGTCTAAGACATTCCAGCTTATACTGTGGTCTTGAGCTTGGTAGGGTGAGTCTATCTCTGAGATGCTACTGAGAAAATAAACTTTCTGATCCTGCAAAGCTGAAGAACCATGCCTGAAACATGCCTTTATGAAGGAAAATGCCAGCCTTCCCTGTAGAAACCCCATCAATGTTCCTGAAATTTTTTCCAACTTCTTAACCTACAGTTTCTTGGGAGAGCCACAGAGCTTTATCCTTTGCAAAAATTTTCAGGTAATTTCCATAGAAACTCAGTGCTTCAGATTTGAGTCCACAGTTTTGCAAGCTCAGAAGGAAGTCAGCAGCTTCTCAGGGACAGTAACATTGTCCAAACTAAAGACTAATGTGGAAACCAGAACACACTAGAGAGAGAACTTTTTAATTCATTTTTCTCTGTCACTGGTTCAGGCATTCCTTTCCTTATGCTTGGATCATGCTGTCCTATCAACTCCATTCCTCCTCTAGTACTTTTTTTTTTTAAGATTTTATTTATATCAGAAAGACACACAGAGAGAGGCAGAGACACAGGCAGAGGGAGAAGCAGGCTCCTTGTGGGGAGCCTGATATGGGACTTGATCCCAGGACCTCAGGATCATGACCTGAACCAAAGGCAGATGCTCAACCACTGAGCCACCCAGCCGCCCCCTTCTAGTACTTCTTAGGTACTATTACCAGTTAATTTTTTTAAAACATGGTTTCATCAGTTCCCTCCTTTACTAAAGAGCACATACTGCCTTCCTTGGTCATTTTCTTTATTCCCCTCACTCATCCTGTTCAGTTGGTTCTAGTCATTATTCCTTAAACACCCCACTCTTCCCTTCTGTAATGGCTCATAGGGTTCTTCCACAACCCTGCCTGTTGAGATCCTATATGCCCATTCAAATCCCCTAGCTCAGTAGCTAGCTTAGAGTTGAAGCTTAGCAAATGCCTGTTGCGTTCAACAATTGCTCCCCCTCCTCAGCTCTCCTTACTTTTTCCTGTAACTCTTCTGCTTCAACTAAATTAGTCTCCTTGCCACATGACTTCCTTCCTTCCTTCCTTAGTGCTTTTATTACTCTGTCAATCCATGGCTTACTCCTCCCTCCAAACTCAACTCCAAACTGACTCTGACCCAGAAGTTATGCTTAATTATATCCTCCGTTATTTGGGTTTAATCAGCACCTCTTGGGTATCTGTGGGCTTCATTTGGGCAATACTAACTACACTTGCTAATCTGTTTCTTCAGAAGGATTTTCTTCTCTTTCCGTGAGTTTATGAAAAGCAGTGAGATTACTAGAGCAGGGTTTGAATCACAACTTGAAAGTTACTGGTTATGTGACTCTGGACAAAGTGGGAATAGTACAACCTATTTCATAGTTGTAGTGAGGCATAAGAAGTGAGATGATTATGTATGGCATGTGTAGGTCCAACAAATGGCACTTTCTTCCTTTTCTCTCATCAACAAAATGATTTACCCTTATAGGATAAGAATGTGCTTTCCTTTTCTTAACATTTCCTCCTCATCACTTCTCTTGGCAACTGCTTTCTCCCTACCACTAACATATGTAAGAACACTAAGGTATAGAACTGAGTTCCTCACAAATATAACAAAATATGACAAACTTGGGGAATGGGGAATATATTTGTCACTTCTCAGATGTTGAAGAGCAGCTCCTACCTTGACTGGCAAGCAGGGCACTGGGCACAGAATAAGATAGGTGCCACTGACCATATGAAATAGGAAGGTTACCGGAGTGAGTGTGGCTCTTAGTGTTTGGGTGGCGAGGGCAAGGAAGGACTGGTTCACTGCAGCCAAGCTAAAGCCAGCATTTGCATTCAGTGTTTAGACTTGCTCTGCCCTCCTGTGGCCACAAATAGTGACATCTTTTACTGAGCTCTTATGGATGAGCCACAGTAATAGGAAAAACTAAGAGAGCCAAATGATTGAAAACAAAGTAATGCCTAAAGCAGTCCTTCTCAGAATTCAACCCTAAAACAAGGTTACAAAATGGAAATGTGTTTAATATAGGAGAATGTAACACTT